TGAAAAATATGACTTTCCTCACTGAGGAAAGTTGGAAGCTTTGTTGATGCAATGTTTGAGCAATTATACTGAAATGGACGTTCAGTTATATTTCCAAGGTGGAGTTTGATAACATAGCGTTAACACGACGTGTGCCATAATGATTGTTTATGATTCGTATTACATACAAAATTTTACCTGATGGCATTTATATTAATACGTTTTCAAAAAATTAAAAATTTCATTTTTGACATGTCACAATGACAACTATTTTTAAAGGAGTAAGTATATGTAATGCGGAAATTTTTTGTAACTTCGGAGAATATCCCAGGATTGAATATGGTAGAACTTGTCGGACAATATGTGAAAATACGACCTTGAAACACAAACCATCTACCATCTACTGAAGAATATACCGGACATTGTTTTCGGCGATCGTCTGCTTCATTTTTGGTTGATTCTGGAGCTGATCTCTGCATGTGTACCGTGAAACGCCATGGCGGATGGAAAAGCAATACCACAGCTTACCTACGCAATACTATTTACAGGATATCCCTTTTCGTGAGAACCAGAACATAAAAAAAATCGACCTAACATCAGAGTCAGAGATAGGTATATCTACAATTACCATATACAAGGTGATTCTAAAATAGGTGGTCGAACTTTGGGAGTATATAGATTGAGTGAAATAATTACGAAAACCTTGGTAATATTTTTTTCTGAAGTGCCCCCCAAGAAAGATATACTGTCCCTCAAAAGGGGGCCTCGGAGAATGATTTTGTACTATTATCTCCAACACCTTGTATGATGAAAATCTAAAATTTTGTTTATCCACTGACTATTCAGTGCCGGTTCGAATGGAGTTGAAATCACCTCAAAATTAAATACAGGGGTGTGTCAAAACAGGGAGGTAGGGGGTAAAAATAACCCCAACATTTTTGTTCATCGCAATTTCAGTTTTTTTACATGAAATTATGAAATCTCAGGGCTATCAACATAAAAAAGGAGCTCTTGTTGGATCTCGATAAATTGAACCATTAGCGAATGAAATTTATTTTTCCAAGATTTCATTTAAATTGCAATTTTGGTATGCACTTGAGTTTAATTATCTAGTTCAAATCTTGCAACTGAATTTTCACCTACTTCTAATCGTCTGATCAACTTGAAATCTGGCAGATGACAGTTGACAACGCGTTATGGACTTTTTGATAGAAAAAAATAGGGCGGCTCCAATGTGGCTGACCAGATTTGTGATTATGGTTCGATCGATTCAAAATTGGTTTGTAAGGGTTTTTGGGGTTGGAAATTTTGAATTCATTGTCGGAATTGATGAATTAACAATAGACGATGAGTTTCGTGATTATGGTCTGATCCTATTGAAAATACTAAAATGAAAAATATTGTTGAAAACAAGATTTTTTTAAATTTTATTCGCTAATAGTTAATTTTATCGAGATGCAACAAGAGCACCTTTTTCATGTAAATAGCCCTGAGATTTCATAATTTCATGTCAAAAAACTGAAATTGCAATGATGAAAAAAGTTGGGGTTATTTTTACCCCCTACCTCCCTATTTTGAGACACCCCTGTATTTTATTTAGAGGTGATTTTAACCCCATTCGAACCGGCACTGAATAGTAAGCGGATAGACAAAATTTCAGATTTTCATTATACAAGCTGTTGGAGATAATAATACAAAATCATTCTCCGAGGCCCCCCTTTGAGGGGCTGTATCTTTCTTGGGGGTCACTTCAGAAAAAAATGTTACAGAGGTTTTCTTAATTATTTCACCCACTCTATATTCTTTCAAAATTTGACCACCTATTTCAGAATCACCTTGTATATAGGGATTCTTTTTCGTCCGATCGCAGCCCATGAAACGAGTGTACCGAAAAATGAATGAGCTAGCTGTGTTGATGTCAATTATTTGTTGAGCTGTTGAGCAGTTTATATCACGTATAACATACATATATGTCGTATAATATAGCCAATTGTCGACGAAGTGCATAATTTCTCTTTTACCTTGAACACATCGAAATGCAAAATGCCTGTTTAATAATGTGCACTCAACAGTTAGATGAATAATATTTGTTTTCTTTTCAACTATACCTATATATGTATACCTACAAACATATATACGCGTTTCACTTTTTGATTTCAATTTCACTTTCAACTCTTTCAATGCCCTTAATAAACCAAGTGGCTATTTTGGCACTTTTAATCCCGACGCAAAAAAGTTCGTAACCCGACCAAAAAGGGACAGCTATAGGTATTCGCAGTTAATTTTATATACTAGCTGACCCAGCAAATGCTGTTTTGGTATATACATTATTTCTAGACAACATTTTTTTTTTTTTTTTTTTTATCGCTTGGAGCGCACGAAAGGGAATCCCTATAATGTTCAAAGAACATCGTGCGTTCCTTGAGAGGATAGGGACAGGAGGTAGGTATTGGAATTTTTTTTGAACTTTTGGAGATTATATGTTGTTGGGAATACTTCCACAGGCAATGAATTCCAGAGCCTAGCCGTTCTATGGATGAAGGAGTCTTGATAAAGTTGGTTGAATATTCATCAATAACATACTCTATTATTATTATTATTATTTTATTTTCAACTTTTTTTATTTTGTCTATCTATAAAAGCGTGTTTCATTAGTTTTTCAAACAAACCATTTATTTTCTACTCCTTTTTGGGTTACTTGAATTTCCTAATTTCGAAGAAAGAATCATAAACTCACACTCCTAAAACCCCAGATGAAAATTTTGAATAGAATCGGATCATATAATTACAAAACTTGTCCGCCACACTGTATCCGACATCTTGAAATTTCCTAATTTTGACGAAGGAATCATAATCCCCGATCACGAAAAACCCCTAGGTACCAATTTTGAATAGAATCGAATTAAAATTACAAAACTATGGTCCTCCCCATTTATTGATTCTGCCATCGCAAATTTCCAAATTCTGACCGAATTTCCAAATGTTGATGAGAGAATCATAATCTCCGACACCGAAAACCCCCAGATGGCAATTTTGAATAGAATCGCATCATAATTACAAAACTCGTCCGCCATCTTGAATTCTCTAATTTTAACCAATGAATCATAATCCTCGGTCCCAAAAATCTCTAGATACAATTTTCGAATAGAATCGGATCCGAATTAAAAAACTCATCCGCCATATTGGATCCGCCATCTTCAATTTACAGGCATATGCTATAGCAGTGTCCTGGTTCTAAGCAACCATCACCAACCTATTTTCAGCCAAATCGGTACATCAGTTCTTGAGTCATAAATAATCTAACAAATTTTGGACGTTCTTTTATATAAGGGGTTGGCAAGTGCAAATATTTCAAACCCTATAGAATGGTACCAACTAAAAAAATATAGGGATCAAAATAAAGTTTTGGGTGAGACCCTTTTAATTTTGACGTCACCTCTGTTCAAATTGGTGATAATTTTATTGAAATCGGCTCAAATTATTTTTGAGTTATGGACAAAAAAAATTCAAAAACAATCTCAATACCTATCCTCTCTGTATCTTGGAATTGAAACATTTTCATAATAATGAACTTTTTCCCATAGTTTGCTGGCTATCGCCTCTACAATAATTATGAAACACCATGTAGAAAGTGTTTCTAAAAAATGTATTCAAAAGGATTATATTGTACATTTTCTTTAGGAAACCTATTCCAATCAATTTGAAATTCCTGGTTCATCAAAAAAAACACAGAATATCAATTTTATAGAAATCTATTATAAAAAATATTTGTACTAAGGATACAATAAGAAGACTATTTGAATACTACTAAAAGATTGCTCACTAAAGATAACAAGTTCATATTTCAGGTAAGTAGACTCATTTTGGTAGAGCATTTTTTCAAAATACTGGAATCATTAAATAAACAGTATTATTCATTTTGAAAGCTAATACAAAATTCGAATCATGTTTCTACTATTCTCTGAAAAAATTAATTACCTATTTTGAATCAATATTCGACACATTTTGTTACTTAGTTTCACATGTAATTTTTTTTTGGAATGGTGACATCACAAATTATTACTGCAATTGTAAAATACCATTAGCTTGAGGAAAAAATAATAGAGGAATTGTTACATTTACATTGATAAGTAAATTTTTATATGCAATTTTCATGAAAAAAAAACTTTGGAATGGTCAAAAAAATAAAGAAAGACTAGATTATTAGCAACTTCATTCTTATTCAATTCTGAAAATTCTCATACCACATAATGAATAATTTATGATCACATATGATAAAAATCAAGACCAAAACTTTCTTGACTATAGTTATAGATTTTTAGGTAACTGTAATATCTGGTTAAAAATGTTCAGTGTTCAAATTCCACCATGCATAATAAATAATACTTATTTTCTATAAATCAGAACAGTTGTGGTGAATTAAGGTATTCCACAAATAAATGAATTCAGAAAAAATATACCTATCCAAAGAAATTGGAAAAATTGCAAGTATTGTGAACTGAAGCTCAATCAATAGATGCATATTTAATAACAGCCAATATAATTATCTACCTTCCTTCTTTCTCTGCTTTTCAAGAAATTCCAAATAAAAGAGATTCCAAGGGTTCTCAAGGTTTCAATCAGGGAATTCCAAGAAATTCAAACAAATCCCACAAAACTCCAGAAAATTTAAATAATTCCAAATAATGAACAGAAGAGTATTCACCTCAAGCTGAGCTTAGTTTTTTCATGTCAAACTAGAACTTACAGAAGAATAACAGAAAAATACAGCAAATTTCAGAAAATTTTCAAAATGATGAACAAGATCCAGTTTTTCCATGTCTATCTCAAACTAAGTGTCCAAAAATATCAATAAATCACTTAGAAGTAACAATTGAAGCTGTTTGTCATTCAAATTCTACAGCAATTAATTCTTTGGTTACAACATAGATGGTTTCCAAAATGGGCTCCACAGTTATAAAAAAATTTGACTTGGACCCCAACAGATTAAGCTTAATTCCACTTAAACTGAAGAGACCCCACTAATCCTCACTATCATCTGAGGCAAATGCATAGTGCAACCACTTCTTGGAATATTCATAAGTTACAAAAAGGGTGGCAGTAGCTGGAATAGTCCTCAAAATTGTAGGAGCCAAACCATTGTACAGTGCCCCAATACCTTCATGTCTAAAAATTTTGTAAATAACTTTCACCATATTTTCCTCAATATTGCCAACTTGAATTCGAGATTTGGCAACATCTACAGGGAAAGTTGAGGTCCAGAAGAATGTACCTCCTACAGCACCTGCAATCATTGTTCTGAGAAGACCTATGTCTTCCTTCTTTTGCCCAGGTTGTGTCAAAAGTTGTCTTGTACCTGAAAAATACAAATTCAAACAATGTTTCACACAAATCCACTGTACTACAAATACCTTCATATCCTCCAAAGAAGAAAAAATAGCCAGGCATTTCTCTGACCAGTGTTGGAACCAAACCTCTGAACAGTCCTAGAATGCCTTCAGCTCTAACAATCTGTGCAGTCAATTTGATTGGTCCCAGAGTGTGCAAACCTTTTCCCATGGTTTCCTTTGCTTGGAGCTTGCACTTGATCAATTCAGTTGGACAGATGGCCACAGAAGAGAAGAATGAGGCCAGAAAACCTGCACTGGCATTGCTTAGCAAACCTAGTTCATTAACACTCTTTGCTCCTGATAGTCTTTGGATGATTTTTTGACAGAACCCATAGCAGACAAATAATACTGAGTTTTCCACAACATTTGTTACTAGTGCTGGCACAGTGCCTGCATAGAGTCCTCTATAAACACCATCATTCCTCAATGTACTTGTAAAGCAACTGAACATATTTGTGTGTAAGAGGGGAAAGGTCTGCATTTTCACCTTCACAGTGTCCAGGGGTTGTCCTACATATACCAAGGCCACCCCACCTGATCAAAGAACCATAGTTTTAAGAGTTTGAGGATAATGATGGTACAGTTTCATACATACCCAATGAACCTGCTGTAAAGTCAATGGCCCCATCCTTGAAATGCTTAGATTTTCTACCTTCTTTTCCAGTAGACATTATTTGTCACTCAATCAAGTACCCTTTGCAATACAATTGAGAAACAAATTGTATTTCATTTGAAACGAGTGTGGTGAAATATCTCTTGAAATATGATGATAAACGATAAATAGGTAGCACAACCTTGGGTAGCACCATGTGATAATAAGTGAGGTTAGAGTTTATGTTTACGAAATCAGAAGTTGATAAAAAATTTGAGATATTAGAATCTATTTAACAATATTGACCTTCGTGACATCAAAAGTAAAAGATTAATTTACTAGGAAAGATTACAACTAGCTACATATTATCATTATTTCATCATTTCAATCATACAAAACTAGGAAACAAGAGAAAAGAGAAGAGATGATAGAAAGAGTAAGAATGAAGAATGTTAGAAAGAGATAACAAAACAAAAACAAACAGAAATCTGCTTATCTGACAGTGTGACAGTAGTGACTACTACCACAGACCACGGTGTTTACATCAATGAACTCAAGTTGTTTACATTTTTACATTGACTTCATTGGCTTTCCCATTTCAACTCACAATAATTATAGCATGTCTCTAGAATCAGTCTCATTTATCAACGATTTGCTGATAAAATTTCGACTAAAAAATGCGTTCGATTTGGTTTGGGAGTAGCTCCAGTGTAACAAACACTGGGCTGCTCGGGTGCATGAAAGAATTGACCATTCTAGAACACGTGATTTTGACATGGTTCCTTGAGGGGCACACAAACTATCTGTTCGGATACCTTTGATGAGCATAGCCCTGGCCGTTCAGGAAACATACACAATATAATAACAGTTCCACCAGACAAAATTATGAAATTCTTCCTGGTTCCAACTCGTATTCCAAGGAAAACGATCCCACTAATTCTAGTTTTATATGACAACTCTTGACAAAATACAATGTTTGCCCCTCAGCAACCTGTCAAATGACGTAATTCTGGAATGATTAATGAAAGCAAACATCTAACAAATATCAAAGAAAGTGGCTCATGCTCATGTCATTCATGTCGTTTACGTGGAATTTTGTGTCATCAATAATAATATAACCAAAATAGAATTTTTAGGAAAATAACTCGAAAATAATAATTTATTACCTTAATATGAAACCAATCAACAAATTTTCTCTCATTTGACGATCACTGAATCTGAGAATAGCTGTAGATATCCAAAATTAGGTAAATATTAAATACCAATAGTCAATTGGATTTCCCCTCATACTTCCCATTCCAGAACACAAAAGTAATCATGTGGAGCGAACCCGACCCAGATCCTGGTGGCGAACGTCCAGCAACATCTGTCAGAGAAATAACGGAGCTGAAAGATCAGAATGAACAACAGCAGGTGCTCATAGCTCAGCTCAAAGAGATGTTGCGCAAAGAACAGAGCACAGTTTCTCAAGAAAAAGTTGAGGAATACATGAATACCCTGAGCAAAATGCATGCCAAAAAACCACGCACAAAACAGGGTGAAGCTGGTAAAACTGAGAGAGTTGGTAGTACAGGGCCTGAAGGCATCAAGAGTGAAAAGGTCAATCTTTTGAAACGACAATTAGAAGAAAACAAGTAGGTTTACATGTCACTGATTCCTAACTCATTTCATATTTCTTATTATTTGAATATCATAAATTTGTTGTCCACAATAAGTGTTAAATGAATTTCTTTAGGGCTAAATTAGCAGAGAGGGGCATAAGGCAGAAAGGTATTGAAGATATGGTAAGCACCCTGAAAGCACAATTGAATGATTCTCATCATGTAAGTTCAACTTCTCTACCATTGCCTAGTGTTGATAAAAATCTGGAATACAGTAAAACAAGTAGTCAAGAAGAGTTATACAATATTCTGTTAGTGAAGGAAAGGAAAATAACAGATTTGCTAGAGAAGAATCATAAAAATGAATCATTGATTCTAGACTTGCAGGAAAATGTGAAAGAAAAAGATTCAGTTATAGATGCTAGAACTAAAGCAATCACTTTGATGACAGAAAGTCTCAGTAAAAAGGGCAAAGACACTTTAGATGCCTTGGATGATACAAAAGACCAAATGAGGACAATGCAAGAACAGTTTGTACAACTAGAGGCAGAAATGAAGGCCAGACAGATGAAATTGCTGGAAGACTTGAAATTCAAGAATCTGGAAATAGTGAAACTGCAAGAAAGCATACAAAACCTCAATGAGGAAAAAAGTGAATACCAGAAGCACAGTAACAATTGTGAAAAAAATGATAATGAAGGTTTTGAAAAAATTATCAAAGATTTACAGGATCAGTTGAACCAGACAAATTCTCTCAATGAAAAACATTTAGCAACTATTTCAGAGTTGAACAAGGACCTACAGGAAAGCAAACATACTATTGAAGTACTGAAAAACTCTAGTTTTGAAATGGACATGGCAGAAAATCCAACTAACTCAAATGACATTGCAAAACTCAAGAAACAGCTTGATGAAAGTAACAAAAATATGATAAAAATGAAGGCACAGAGTAAAAGCAAGATCAAAGAGTTGACAAAGAAGATTGATGCTTTCAAAAAAATCAGTGATGCAAATGCTCTAGTTGTTCAATTGCAACATGAAATCACTAGTTTGAATGAAAAAATTGCAGTACTAGAGGAAGAAAAGGGGAATTTGCAGTTGAAAATGGTGGAATCTACTGAATCAACCAAGGGTATGACTTTGGTACCAAAGTGCTTTTTGAATTGTTTTTCTAGGTTCTATTTTTTCAGAATCTGCTCAAGAAGGAAATGAATTTATTGAGGAAAACTCCAGAATACTGGAAGAAAAAGAAAAAGTGATATCTCTGTTGGAGTCTGGTATGTATCTCCCATACTTTTGCAATTAACCTGTTCAATACTTTAAAATTTTCAAATATTTGGTTCTATATTTCTGATTAAAAAATTAAAATCAAGCTTGAAGATGATGCTTGATTTGTTCCAATCATAGTTTACTATTTTTTCAGATGTCATGTCTCTGAGAGAAGAGATAAATAATTTGAATGAAAAAGTTGCAAACTCCCAGAAAGTTCAAGTGACTTCTGAAATGAATTCTATTCAGATAGAGGAAGAAATTGATAGGATAGAGACTGAAAATAAGAAACTTCAAGAAATTGTGGAAGATTTAACTAATGATAAGCATAATCTTGAACTGAGAATTGAAGAATTGGTGAAAGAAAAACAGGAGCTGAACACCAAATTAGATAATTACATACAGGTAAATGAATGTCTATTTTCTTGTTTTATCAAGTACAAAATTATTTAGAAATTGTTTTCTTAATTGAAACTATTTCCTTTCCATTCTGGGTGGTATGGGAGATATTTCAAACTTTCCAGTCACCTCTAGGTTTTCTGACTAATTCTCCATATTTGGCTCCATCAGAAAAAAACAAATACCTATTCCTACTTTTGAAAACAGAAAAAAAAAAGTATTTTTCCAAGACAATTTTTGCACTGGAAATTTCTTATTTGACTTCAAAAAATTATTAGATTCTCGATTTTATTATTATTGTTGAAACCTTGGTTGAAACTTCTCCAAATTTAGGTTCTGTGAAGCAGTCTGAAATAACCACTCCTACCAATCAGCTGAAAGCTGCATATGAGCCCCTGATTTCCATACCAAAAAAGCTTTGAAAGTTCTGTACCATTTGACACTCCAACAAATCAACTTTATTCAATCACTAACACATTTGCTTTGGAGGAACATTATGCAAATGCAAAAATGCAGATCACCCTATCTTATTATCAATAAAATGATGAAATTTAATTTTATATTTACTAAAAATTCGGAAATTCACAATTATAATAGAAGAAAACATAACTTCTTTGTGTTGATCTTTCAAAATCTATAATTGGCCAAAGCAGATGTACTCATAGAGCACAAAATTCAATAACCTACCACAAGACATACAAAATTGTAGGAATAAAATGAAAAAAAAAATTCTTCAAAGAAAAAATTGAATTGAAGTTGTTTATTCCTCTGTTTTCCTTCTCCCTTTTTTTTTAATAATGTTCAATCAAATATATTACTTTCTTAAAATTATGGAAGTTACATTAAATGAAATAATATACAGGGTGTCCCTCCGGGAACTGCATCGAGATTGTGGCACTTCCGGTTGTACCGGAAGTGGACCCAACGTCGTTATTTCAAATGGAACACCCTGTATTTTATTGCATTGTTAGATTCTTACTGGAGAGCTGATTTCATCAATGTATCACACTTGGGGTCTATCAGGAATGATTACAGAGATATAGGGTGGTCAAAATCAAGAATTTTCAATTTCAAGATTTTTTGTGTCAAAACTAATCATTATCGATCGGAACGGCTTACATGTCCCTATCTTAACTTTTGATTCACTATCGACTGGAATTCAATCGGAAAAAGTACAGGGTGCTTCAAGAACCCTGTATCTGTTCCAATGAAATGTCAGTAGATAGTGAATCGAAAGTTAAGATAGGGACATGTAGAGTCCCTGTATGTATAATTCCCTGTATATATTTGTCAGTTTTGTTGTGCAAAAGTGTCAAATACATACAGGGACTCTAGGGACATGTAAGCCGTTTTGCTCAATAAAAAAATTGGTTTAAATGGTGTTTTATGTATATGCAAGGTGTTTTTGAAATAAGTCCACATATTCAGCACATTAATATGATACAGTCCAAGGAATATCCCCATGATATCAAATTTTTTCTAATTCTCCTGATTAACGAGAAATTTCATCCCAAAAATTGAACAAAATACGAGAAAAAAAATCAAGTATGCCACTTTAAAACAATTTAAATGATTGAACTCCGCGTGATTGTGCCTACTGCATGGAAATTTGAACAGAGGTGACGTAAGATTTGCTACAGTGTAAAACTTTGGGTGGAAAAAGGGGTCTAACCTCAAATTTTTTTTGTATCCAAAAAATTTTTGTTATTGGAGCCATTCGATGGTACACGTCGAGCTTTTTCTCAGTGTTTGAAATATTTGCACTTATTTCAATGCCACCCTGTTTATGAGCCAGTAATGTTTGTTGCCGAAACATGGACTTATTTACAGGATATACTAGAGATCATCATGAACATCATAGGAGACACAAGAAGTATCACTTTTTGAATATGAAAACTAACTTGACATATGTTCAAAAAAATATACCATTTACTGTGATACAAATTTATAATAAGCTACCAAAATCGCTCATATTATTGCCTCCAAAAAAACTCAAACTCAAACTGAAAGATATTCTTATATCAAAAGCATATTATATAATATACCAATAGAATAGTTTCTCTGACAGTTGGCAACAATAGATTGAATTTTAACACATCTACATCATTTATGTGTTATTTTTATGTCTGTGAATTGATGTCCTTTTGTATTATTTCTATAATGTGATTGTATTATCATCAATACCTACCTCCTGTCCCTATCCTCCCTAGGAACGCACGATGTTCTCTGAACATTATAGGGATTCCCTTTCGTGCGCTCCAAGCGATAAAAAAAAATTCTATATTCTTTATTTCGTTATTTTTTTGTGTACCTATATATTATGTAATGACAAGTTCTACGCCTATTTTTAGGCTTCGATTTCAAAGAACAATAGTTATTTACGAGGTTATTTATTATACAAGGGAAAAAAGTTGTAGATTTTAGCTCCAGGTTGTGTTGTCTCCAGACGCGTAGCGGAGGGAAACAAAAAACCGTGAGCTAAAATCTAATATTTTTCCCTTGTATAATACACTATTTTTTTCTGTGACAGAGGAAAGGACGAATCAATATTGAGAAGATATTACATTATTTTGAAATTTGAAAATCATTGACGTGACATTTTGAGTTTTTAACAGTAGGGACACCTGCGTTGTAGGCATCTTCATCATTCTTTCGAAGTAATCAAATATCTGATGTCACTTCTGTCAGTGTAATTCTGTGATTTGTTTTAAAAAAATAGCGAATTTAGTGGTTGTTTAGTAATATACGTAACCGCAAAGTCAAATTCAAGATAAAAGGACTTGCAGTTCTTTCTCGGAGACGGTATTATTTACCCATTTTACGGAACTATAGCACAACAAAAGCCATCAGCAGTGTATATATTATAGGGATTCCCTTTCGTGCGCTCCAATCGATAAAAATAAATTTAAAAAAAAGTACTCACTTGAGTGATTTATGAAAAGTGACATTTTATAACCTCCCAACAGAGATGAAATGCCAAACTTTTTTCCCGTCACAGAAAAAATAAAGATTATCTATCTAGCTATCTATCTATCTGATGGATCTGAATTGAGAGTTTTGACCACCCTATATCTATTTCAATCAAATATCAATTGATAGTACATAAAAAGTTAAGATAGGGATATGGAAAATGATGAATAGTTTCAACACAAAAAATTCTTAACGTTGAAAAATCTCTATTTTTCACACCCTTCATCTTTTGTTATCATTTCCGCTAGACCCCTAGTGTGACGAATCGATGAAATCAGCCATTAAAAAAACAAAGTTGTTGCTACCTTTCAATATAAGCGACAACGTCGCATTACTGAGAATATTTCAGGTCTATAGAACACAACTAATTATCCAAGGCATCAACTTTTGAGAATAATCCTGAGTTGCGTGCCATCCACCGTGAATCAGCCTGTATATTAATGATTTTTCCAGGAAAACATGGAGCTGATAGACAAACTGGAAAAGCTCAGCGCGGAAAAAGTCTCGTCAGCCGAAAGCATAGAAATAGTCGAGGGCCTAACGCAACAAGAAAAGCTCGAATTAGCGGCTTACCAAAAAAACGTGGACCCCCACTGTGAAGAGTCCGCCAAAGCGTCTGAAGATGACCCGATCGAAACGCCGCGCGAGCTCAACGAGAGTGTCCTTCAGCTGAAGGAGGACTCCGCGGAGCTATTGAAGAAAATCGAGATGTTCAACATGGAAAGGAAAGAGGTCATGGTGAAAATGGAGACGCTCAAAGAGGAGAACGGCCGACTGGCTCTGAAAGTAGACGAGATCGAGAACAATCGCGACGTTCTGGCGGAGACTTATGAGCAGTTGCACACGGAGAAAGAGGAGTTGCAAAGGGAGAAAGAGGAGTTGCAAAGAGAGAACGAGAGTTTGATGAGTAAATTGAGTGAAATTGAATCTAAAGCTGCCGAGAGCTTGAAGGTAAGACTACCTCGTGATTCTGGTGTACTCAGAATTGTTGGAATTACTAGGCCTTATGTGTTTTATTTCTTGGAATACCATCCCTTGGCCATTCTGAATGGTCTAGAATTGCTTTAGTTCCTTTGACATTCCTCAGATTTACTTGGAACTTTTTATTATTCTTATTGTTATATGAAGTATCAAGATGGCGGGCGGTGCAGGTTGCCCGTCATTTGCTCCTAAAGAAAGTGAAAATTTCTACTGTAAGCATTGTTTGAAAAAAGTGGTTACAAAAGTTAAGTGCTCTAAATGTGCTGAAATATTCCACCCAGCATGTCTTAAGCAATCCGGGGATCAAAAAAATGCAGAATGCAAGCATGAGGTTGCAAATACTAATAATGATGAGAGTTTTGATGAAAAAACCTACCTTAAAGAAGAAAATAAACTGCTCAGACAGGCAATAGCGGATAAAAGCGTGATAATCGCCGACAAGGAACAACTAATTCATCTGTTGCACGAGAAAATCGCATTTCTAGAATCGAGAATAATGTCAACTAAATCCTCACATGTGGAAAAAACTGAATTACCTAGAGATAAAGAAACGAGAGGTATGACCTCTAAAAAAAACGAGAACATAAAAACCCAACAAACGGCTTCGTCATCAAGATTGGCTACTTTGAATGAAGGGAATTCTAGATTACAGAGTGGCACAATAAAAGTGAACCAAGTAGCTGCTGAAATAGAGAAAATCCAAACTCAAAAAATAGCTAACGACTTGATACATTTGAGGGATGATGTCAATGAAAACCCAACAAATCATCCCACGGATATAAAAAATTCCAAACAAGATGGAGATCCCGACAATGGTTTTACCCTCGTGAAGAGACACAAGAAAAAGAAATCCCACATAGTCGGATGTGGTGACGGAGATGAACATTTTCAGGGCAAGGATACAAGTAATAAAAAGATTTGGCTATTCGTTTCACGGGTCCCAGATAAAGTATCAACAGAAGATATAAGAAAATTCATAAAAGAACGTACAAGTACAGAAGATGTTTATGTGAAGAAGCTGATGATACGTGCTACAAAAATAAATAATCAGGCATTTATGGTCGGTGTCAACCCGAAATTACAAAGCCAAGTCTATGAGCCAAATTTCTGGCCGAAAAACATATATTTTAGTCGTTTCAATTTCCGGCAGGGCCAACAGTTTCTTGACCAACAACCCCAAAGAACAGAAGCGGCAAATTTTCAAATGTCGACGCAAGCTTCACCAATAACATAAACCTCAAGTCATCAAGGAAACAGTGGCTTACAATTATAAACTCAAATATTCAAGGTGGTTTCGCCAAAAAAGCTGAAGATCTCAACATTGTTATGCAAAATATGAAAGCGAATATTTTATGCATCTGTGAACACTGGCTCTCAGATGAACAAATAATTGTTACCCCAATTAGAGATTTGAAACTTGTATCACATTTTGCAAGGCCATTTAGAAAAGGAGGAGGAGTATGTATCTATTCAGATGTAAATACATCTATAGAACCAATACCAATAAATTCATGTGTTGAAGGGGAATTTGAAGCCTGTGGCGCTAAAATGAAAGTACAAAACAAAAACGTACATATCTATATAATTGTGGTTTATAGGCCGCCAAATTATAAAAATTTCAACTTTTTTTTACATCAGCTTGATGCTCTCTTATACAGTATTTTCAGAAAAGACAGTTTTTATGTTATATGTGGAGATATCAATATAGACTTTTTAAAAAATAGTGATGAGAAACTGAAACTAATTGATGTGTTAGGTGAATATGGCATTAAACATCACATAGAAGAAGCCACAAGAATTACATCAACATCATCTACCTGTGTTGATAATATCTTTTCAAATATAGATCAGAATAATTGTGCTACCAGTGTAAATGAATCATTCTTCTCAGACCACACATATCAGGTATGTTCTTTTGCGAATGTAGTTGGTGATTGGGCTGAAAATAACATATATATCCCGAAAAGACAACTGAGTGATTCCAACATTCAAGTTTTTCAAAATCTGTTATCGAAAGAAGAATGGAGTGAAATGTATCAGACTACAAATTTTCAAGACCAATTTAGCGTTTTCTACAAAACTTTCCTTTACCATTATGATTGTGCATTTCCTATAAAAAATATGTGTATCAGGCCAAAAAGAAGGAGATGGTTTTCTCCGGAAATCAAGCAAATGCATGATCATCTTTGTGAAATGAATAAATTATGCAAAATTTTAAATAATCCTTGGTACTCAGAAAGATATAAACAGTATAAAAAAGACTATCATACACTCGTCAAGTATCACCAAAAAACGATCAACAATCAACGAATTTCAAATTCACAAAATAAAATGCGTGAAAGTTGGAAAATTATAAAAGAAGGCAAAAATAATGGTTCAGGTAAGGCAAATACTGCATTTGCTGGATTTCTGGAGGGCCATACTCCTTCTGAACAAGCTAATTATATCAATGATTACTTCATAGACTGTAACAAAAACTGTCCGACTCCTAACTATGATATGTATGTAGAAAAGGCACCTACAAGTTTCTTTTTGATGCCAACAACAGTTGATGAAATTCTGTCCATAATAAGTAAGACTTCTGCTAAATCCTCGCCTGGGGCTGACGATATTGATGGTAGAATAATCAAATCAGTTGCAACACTCATTGTCCACCCATTGTGTCACCTAGTAAATGAATCATTTGTGTCTGGTACATTTCCAGATATAAAAGAATCTAAAGGTGTACCCATTTTCAAGAATAAGGGATCTACTAATGATATAAAGAACTACAGGCTAATTTGCATCCAGAATCAAATATCGAAAATTTTTGAATCAGCTTATTGTCAGAGATTGACGAAATATTTAGAATACTTTAAACTACTTCCTGATATACAACATGGATTTAGAAAATCTAAATGTACCACAACTGCTATTCAAGACACATTAGAATATCTATATAACTCTCTTAATAATAAAGAAAATTCACTGTGCCTTTTTTATGATCTGAGTCGCGCATTTGATACAATTGACAGAAGTCTACTGTTACATAAATTAGAGGCCGTAGGTGTCCGTGGGGTACCCTTTGACTGGTCAAAATCTTATTTATCCAATCGAACGCAAGTATCAATGTTTAATAACATTAAATCACAATCAAAAGAATCCAGCCTAGGAGTACCCCAGGGATCGATCCTGGGTCCCTTATTTTTCATTATATTTACATCTGATATTAAAAAGTGTTGTGACATTCCTGATCAAATTGTATTATATGCTGACGATACTAATATCCTAATGTCCCATAAGGATATAGGTCAACTAGTAACAAATAGTAACGCAGCTTCTGATGAGTTTCATAAGTATTGCTCTCAGAATGGCCTCCAACTAAACGTTTCAAAAACATATTTTATGCGATTTATCCCAAAAAATGTATCTCCAGATTATAATCTCCACTTACATATTCAAGGTAATCCAATTCAAAACACAGACGCTATAAAGTTTTTGGGTGTAACACTTGACCCAAAACTGACATGGGAGCCTCATATAAAATCAATTTGTTCAAAGTTGAGTACATGCTGTTACATAATAAGAAATTTGAGAGAAACAGTATCTTTCGACGTATTGAGACTGTTGTATTTCGGTCTGGTACAGTCTGTCTTACAATATGGTCTGATATTCTGGGGATCCTCATCACACTTTGAAAAGGCATTCATTGTACAGAAAAAAATCTTGAGAGCTATGTTCAATGTCCACCCATCAACTAGTTGTAGTGATTTGTTCACCAGAGCAGGAGTAATGACATTACCTAGTTTATATATTTATCGCTTGATCCTCTATATTCGAGATAATATACAGAGGTTTGAGAAGAATGAAGATGTTCACTTGCATGATACAAGAATGAAGTATAATCTACATCAAGCTTACTCACGTTTACAGGTCTGCCAAAATTCACCTAATTACATAGGGGTTAAATTGTACAATAAATTCAAACAAATACACAGGAATTATGAAAACAGGGATAAGCTATTTGAAAGAGAACTCAAAAATTTCTTGCTTGAAAATGCTTTCTATACAGTAGAACAGTTCCTCAGTATTTCTTCATGAAATTTCTTTTAATCTGTTTGTGAATGTATAGTAGTGATGAATAATTTGTAATTATATTTTATTGTGCTTATGTATGTACCAATGCATGTATTTAGACTAGGCTGATAAGTGTTATGCATTGTAATTTGTCTAACCTTTTATGCTGCAATAAATATTCTATTCTATTCTATTCTATATTTACTTGGAACATCTTGGAAATCCTCAGATTCACTTGATATCCCTTGGAAGTACTTGGAATTACTTGAATTAACTAGGAATACCTTAATTTTTTAAACTCATTTCAGCATTAGTCGGAATTACTTGAAATTACTTGGTATTTCTTGGAATTTCATAGAATGTTATGGCATTTCTTGAATTCATCTGGTATTCCTCCAAATAGTTAGACATTCTCTGAAAATCACAAGGAATATCACTGGGCACTTCTTGAAATTACTTGAAAATCCTTTCAAATAGCATGAAATATCTTGGTATTACTTCAAATCACTTGGTATTCCTCAACATCATTAGGTAAATCTAGGAAACACTTGGTTATCCAGAGAATGGGGAAGTTTCCTTCAAATACATTCTGAATCTAGTCTGAAAATAGCTGCTGGTGAAGAATATAGCTAGTGAATAGCTAAGGAATAGCTAACGAATGAAAAAAATTGAAGAAGAAGTAGAACTGGTAAACAAAAACATACATAACCACAAACGCACTTGGAGCAGGAATGAAGAAGGTAGTTCGCTTCATTCTGACAGGTTATGATTTTGTTATTTATGCATTGAAATATCTCGAATAGAGCTCGATCCTAAACGAAAATATCATTGAATCAATGAATCACTATCGGCTACATTCAATGATACTGTCCTTCCTTATTTAATGCCATCGGTCAGAACAGAATGAAGCCGACACCAATGGGTCCTTCCTCTTTGTCAGTATTTTTGTGGTGTGGACGGACTCGAAGTATTAGGCGCTGTTGCAAGATATAATCTGCAACTTTCCTAGAAAATAGATCCGTTTTTTTAAGGAACAAATTCATTAACAAACAAAATATCATAATTTATCTTTATTAGTAATCAACTTCATTCAGCCAATGAGAGATTTATGAGAATTATTCATAATACTTGAAAAAGTAGGATTGAAGAACCTTTTATATCCCATTGCTGTTAGGATATAGTTATTATGCATTCAAAGAACAATTTCCGGAAATCTAGACATATTGATGATGTCGGCAACGTCGTACTGGCACAGGGAATCGTATTTTAACTGTGTGAATGTGGATTTTCAGAAAGTAAGTCATAGAAATGGTGGAGGAGCCAAGTTCCTCTTGGCATTTCTAGTTAGTTATCAATATTTCTTGGAACTACTTTGCCTCACTTGATATTGATTGAATTTACTGGGATTATCTTGATAACTTGGCATTCTTTAGAAATCACATGGAATACCTGTGCTTTCCATCAAATTACTAGGCATTGCTTGAATTTACTAAAAATATTTTGCATTCGTTCAAAGAATTAGCCTTAGAATTACTTTGCATTCCTTGAAATTTCGTGGAATACCTTAGTATTCCTTCAAATAACTTAACACCTTTCACAAAACTCGAAATCACTTGGAGTTCCTTGTAATAACTTGTCAATCCTTGGAATTACTCGGCATTCCTTGGAGTAACCTGAATATCTTGGAATTACTTACCAGTTGGCATTCCTTCGGACAAACTTGGAATCCTGTATATTATCCCAAATCACCTGGAAATAATTTAGCATTCTTTGGAATTACTTGGTTTTTCTTGGAATTACTTGACAATCCGAGGTAGTAGCATTCTCTGGAATTACTTGGCATTCCTTGGAATTATTCGGAATTCCTCGGATTACTTGGCAGTCTTGGGAATTACTTGGCATTTCTATTGACTTACTTGGAATCGTAGACATTGAAATCACCTGGGAATTACTTGAGATTTCCTGAAACTACATGGCAAATCTTGGAAATACTTGGTACAATATTCGATTTGACTCGACAATTCTTGAAATTAACATGGGATACCTTGACATTGATTCAAAATCCTTGAGAAATTGGAGTTTGGTAAAATAATTGATTTTTTGTTTTGCTTCATAGGTACTTTTTTTCTTAACAGAGTCAACCGCGAGAATTGAAATATCTCAGAATTACATAGATTTCGGAAATTCTGTGAATTTCATGTTGTTCTTTGGACCTCAAATTCTTACAAACTTATTGGACCCAAGTCTAAAAATACACATTAACAAACCCATATAAAAATTGCAAATGCTGCCAAATTAACAGTTATATCACAGAATTATATTTAACAATTATGTGTTTTATTTCAACTCCTTTCCTACCTGACATTTTTTCCACAATATATTTTGAAAAATGATGACGAATTTTACTTTTTATGTAGATTTCAGTAAGAGACGACGCTGAGCTAACTTCTGAGCTCCAGTCGTTGCAAATGGAGTACGAGAAACTAAAAGAAGAAAAAGAAAACTTGAGACAGACCTTGAAAGAATTTGACACAAAAGTTCATGAAAAAGACAACTTAGAATCCCAACTTAGCGAATCCAGATCGAGAATCGAAGAACTCGAAACTAACCTCAACACTAACCTAGAAGAGATCAGCAACTACCGGATGATCATCGAAGAAAACAAGAACGAACTAATCAATTCTTCCAACATCATCAACAGCCTTCAAAATATATTGCGAGAAAGAGAAAAGGACATAAAAGAATTAAACATTATCATTAGCGATTTAAACAATGTCGTCAACGACTTGCAGACAGCCAATGAAAAACTAGGCAGCACTGAAACCATGGAGAAACAGCTTGATGAACTAAAAACGGCTCTGAATGAGCAAATAGAAGATGCTGAAGCACAAGCTAAAGAATACCAGGACGAAACTGCTCGTACCCGAAACTACTATGAGCAAAAACTTCAAGAAAACTACAAGGAAATCGAAAGATTGACCCAAGAAATGACGGAGAGAGATTTACTCACAAAAACTCTAGAAAATCAGATGCACGAGAAAGAAGCAAAAATCAACAAAGTCATCGAAGATATGCAACAAAAGTACCTGGCTCTCCAAAAACAACTCGACAATAGAATCGAAGAAATGACAAACAAGAGCAAGGATCAGTTGGAGAAAATGAAGAAAATAGCAGCCAACTTGAAGAAGAAAACTCAAGCTTATCAAGAGCTGGAAGAAAAGTACCAAGAAGACAAGGAAAAGTGGGAAACAGAACTCAATCTTAAGGAAACCTCCAGCAGCAACCAGTTATCACAACTCGAAGCAGCAAAAGAAGAACTGGCCTGGAAGACTGCTAAAATCGAAGAACTGACAGACATGGTGGCAAGCCTCGATCAGCAAAGAACCGAGCTGGAACATACTCTGTTGCAAATGAAGCACGAACGCGACAAGCTGAGCGAAGTGAGCTTGTCACGTGAGCTTTCGACCAGTCTCCATGAAGAATTCGACAAGCCCCTTCCTGAGTCCGCTAGTGAAGACAAAATCAAGGAACTGGAACTCATCATAGAGACCAACGAAGCTGAATCAGCCCACTACAAAGAAAGATCCCAGAAGTTAGAGCAAGACGTTTCCAGACTCCTAGAAGAAAAAGAGTTTTTAGAAAGAAGACAGCTGGAACTAGAAGATATGCTATCGAGAACGTCGAAGAGCATCGAGGAGAAGTCTATGATAGAAGAAGAGTTGGGTCAAAAGCTCGAAGAAGCTAGCGCCAATGACAAGAAGCTCGAAGAAGCTAGCGCGGAAAATAAGGAGTTGGTGGAGAAGAATAGAGAACAGGAAGAGCTCATCTACAAGCTGAAGGTGAAACTGAAGAAATCGCACGAGCGAGTGAATCAGCTCAAAGCTTCACAGGCCAATGTCGAGGAGCTGGAAACTTCCAACGAAAAGCTGCGACAAGCTTTGGATCAGATGGATAACGCCCAAAAACACGCCCACGAAGAATACGAGGCAATGCAAAAGAAATACGAGATGGACTTCGAGAGGATCGAGTCCGACTATCAGGTGCAGATGGAGGAGTTGTTGACGAACAAGAACGAGTTGACGGTGGAATGCGAGAAGTTGCAGGAGACTTTGGGGAGTTTGAGGGAGAGAGAGGAGGCGCTTTTGGGAGAGGTCAGCGAGTACAAGATTGCACTGGAAAAGCAGAACCAAGACGACAATCAGGTAGGTAATCGATTGAATATATTGATGATGAATTATCCTTCAAAATCAGAATTTTCTTCATTCAGCTATAGTTTTTGTAACGTATCTCAGATAAATTTAGTATCCCATGTTGGACGCTATGGTCTATGGGTGTCATACTTCGGATACCGATCGATTTGATCCATTTTATTGAAACACTTGATACATTTTCAGAAAAAGATTGATTATAGTTATAATTGAAAAATGCTGTTATTCACTAGATGATTTTTTAAATTATTATACTTCATTTTGTATTGTTATATATGTCTCCATAGACCTCGACATAGAGCATTTATTTGTTTATGTTTTGTTTGATATTAAGTGTTTTTGTCTATCTCTATTACTATTTCTTCTGTTCGAGTAATTATAATAAAGAGTTTTCAAGTACTTATTTCGGGTCATCGTCAATTGGAATGAATAAGTACAAGTTGAAATGATGTTTTTCTTTCTACTCTTTTTTAATTTGAATGCTAATTGTTTTTTTCTTCAAATATGGGGTTCACGTTGGGCGCCATTTTTGTGAATGTATCATTGCGCAGCTAATATGTGTTGTTTCCAGTGGACACTCCATACAGGGTTATTCACGTTATTCAACACGAGTCATTGTGGCTAAAGCATTTGATTTTCGAAAGTTTTTTTTGTTGAAAAGAGACCTATTTGCGCTACATTTTTGAAATATTTTCATGTTGTAAAGGGTGTACCAAGAGCACGAAAAGTATCAAAGTTGTTATTTTGTCAATGGATTCTCCCTGAGCTGATTCCATCAAGCTCACTTGGGGTCTAGCGGAAATGATTACAGAGATATAGGGTGTTCAAAATCAGAATTTCCAGCTTAGGATTTTATTTGCCAAAAATATTCATTATCGGTGAGAACGGCTTACATTTCCCTATCTTAAGTCTTGATTAACTATATACTAATATTCAATTGCAACAGATACAGGGTTGTTCAAGATGTCAGTAGATAGTGAATCAAAAGTTGAGATAGGGACATGTTAGCCGTTTCGGCCAATAATGAATAGTTTCGACAGAAAAAATCCTTCGATTTTGAACACACTATATCTCTGTAATCATTCCCGCTAGACCCCAATAAGTGTAATGCATTGATGAAATCAGCTCTTCAGGAAGAATCTGCAAATGCAATAATGTAAAGGGCATTCGATTTAAAAAATCAAATGCTTTAGCCACAATGCTTCGTGTCGAATAACGTGAATAACCCTGTATATCCAAGAAATATAAAATTTCAACTTTTCAAAGATCTTCAAATATGTAGTAACGCAACACTAATTTATGTTCTACTAGACATAGAACGTTTCCCTGATAGCTGTTGTATAACCTAAAATTCCAGATATTTGCAAGTATTTAGGAAAATGAATGAAGGTAATCTGAGATCATACTGGAAGTATCAATGACTTTGGCAATGTATTCGTTTTTGTAAATTCTGAATTGCTTCATGAAAATGGCTGTCTTCTATTCAACGCCGAAACTACCTAAACAGAAGTTTATTTTACCTCCACTAGCCATCAACTTATCATTTTTGATACATTCGCAGATTCAACAACTGAAAGAAGATCTCACCGTTGCCACAAACAATTTGGAAACCTCCTGCAAAGAAATTGAGATCCTCAAACAACAAATTGAAGAACTACAAAAACAAATAGTAGTCCAAGTCGCCGAAAGTGCAGTAGAAGATGTTCTTCTTGAAGCGAAACATCAAGTCTTCTTCGCTAACACCAAAGACACCCAAACGGAAAACGTGACAGAGAACATAATCCAATTCCCTGAACATGACCAACAAAATGTCCCAATGTTCCACTGGCCCACTAAAATAGAAGAGAGCAGCGAGTCATTTCTGCAACCAGTTCAACCTGCTTCCCAATCCCAGATCGCTGAAGTTTCAAAGGAAGATCTAGTGCACCAGATCACCAACTCCAAAAACTCAGCTACTCCTCTAGCCTTTTCTCCTCTTGAAGCCCAAATTTTGTCATCCGAAGACATTGCAGATGCAGCTAAAGATCTGAAAGCCCAACAAGAAATGGAATTCGAGAAGTGCCATCCATTTATCGGACAGCAAAATGTAGCAGTAGTTGAAGAACTCATACAGCCCAAAGAAGCCTACATTTGCCATCAAGATCAAGAAGGAACCCAAGCTGCCTCTGAAGTCACAAAAGAACAGCTAGTGAGCAAAATAAAGGCATTGGAAGTTTTGTTGTACAATGTCGACAGGGAGAAAGACGAAATAGTGGGAGAATGCTCAGGGATGCTCACTGAACTAACCCGTTTGGTCTACGAAAAGATAATGTCTCAGGAACCGCAAGCTGCAGCTCTTGAGCCCCAACCCAGCCTAGAACTGGAGGCTCAGGTACAGTCTCCCGAAGACATCGCGGCTGCTTCCAGCGACCTCAAGACCTTACAGCAAATGGAATTCGCCAGATGCGATCCGTTTCTGGGGCAGCAAAGCGTACAAGTTGTCGAAGAAGTGCAGCAGCCCAAGAAGGCCTATCTCACCTACCAAGGCAGCTCTGAAGCCTTCGCTGAGAATGACGATGGCTGGGGCTGGGGACCAGAGGAAGCCAAACTGGAAGAGGAGCACTTGCACAGAGTCGACGGTACTCCTCAGATGCAAGCTTTGAAGGACGATTTGAGACGGCTGAATGAGCAAGTGCAGGTACTTCAAGTGGAGAGGGAGAACCACCTGGAAGAAATAAAACAGCTCCAAGTGAAGTCTGGGAAGCTGATCAAGAAATGCAAAGAGCTCAAGCAGAAGAACGATCAGTTGGTGCAGAAATCGGGGAAATCTTTGGAGAGCTCTGGCTTTTTCGATCTAGATCAAGCAATTATGGAAGAGTTGAAAGCACAGAGCACAACACTTGAGAAGAAAGTCGAAGAGACTAGGAATGAGCTTGAAAAGGAAAGGACAGAGAAGAGCACTTACCTTAGGAAGTTAGAGTCTTTAACTTCAGCAAATGAGAAGCTCCTTGAGGCTAAAGAAATCCAGAACAGTGAGGTTCTTCGATGGAAAAGAAAGTACGAAGAGATTGAAGAAAAAATGCAGCAAAGCGAATTTGGGATCGATGGACTTGCAGTAGCCATACCAGCAACACTCGTTCCGAAGCAACCAGAAGAAACTAGTGGCGATAGCATCGAAGAACTACAGAGAATAGTAAAAGAATTGTCTTTGGACAATGAAGAGCTTCAGACATTGTTGAACGAGCAAAGACAACAGAGGATAGATGCAGACAAACATAAGCATTCTGGGAGAAGTGAGGACGAATTCATGAAGCTAAGTGAAGATCACGAAGAAAGAGTGAGAAGTCTTCAGGAACAGACATCTATAAAAATCTTTGAGTTAGAAACAGCTTTGACTGAGAAAGAAGGTGAGATTACAAGACTCCAAACGGATTTAAATGAAAAGATACTCCGTGTTCAGAGTTTGGAGGAAAGTTATAAACAACTGGACGATGTTAATGGACAACTAGAAACAACATTGACAGAACTAAAGCAAAACGCAGAATCTAGTCATGATGGAAGAATTTCTGAACTGGAAGCTTTGTTGACTGAAAAAACTATAGTTGCCGACCAATTGAAGACAGACTATGATGATGCAATCAAATCGAATGAAACTTTGAATTTGCGCATAGAAACTCTGAACACTGAAATGGAGAATACCAAACAAAAATACGATGAAACAATTTCAAATCTTCAGAGTGAGTTGAGAGAGCAAATACAAAATTCTCAACAATTGGGGCCAGAAAATATAAATCCTATTGTTCAGCAGTTGACAAGTCATCAAGCTAATTCTATTTTAGAACTGGTTGAATTGCTTCATACGACCCAAGCCGAGTTTACAAATCTCTCTACTTCCTACAGTGAACTTCTCACTACAAGTCATTCTTTGACTGAAAGAATCAATGCACTTGAGCAAGAGTTGATAACACAGGCGCAGCACTATACCGATCTACAAAGCTCCAGCTCGAAAAACATTCTGGATCTTCAGACTGACCTGGAAGAAACGAAGCAAAAGCTTGATCAACTTGAAATAGAGAGCTCTGAAAAAATTGTGGGAATGGAAAAGGAATTAAAGGAAGAGAAACTGAGATATCAAGAATTACAACTAGCAACACAACAATTAGAGGCACAAAAAGTAACAGATCATACTTCCAAAATGTCCGAACAGGTTAGTATTTCCCAAGAAACAGTAGATTTCGAATTATATCATTCATTTTCTTTCACAGGTGAGTCATCTAGAAGAATTACTCGCAGAAAAGGAAGCTAACATCGCAGAATTGAAGAACATAACTGAAGATCTGCATACAAAACGAGCAATTGTGGAGGAAGAAATGAAAGAGTTGAAGAACGCTTTGAACGAGAAGCAAATAGAACTAGATAATGTCACCGCAGAAGTGGAAAATAAATTATCAAATACCATATCGGAGCTCGAGCAGAAATGGCAGATCATAGTTGATGAGAGAGGTATTTAAAACTAAATTTTAGGTCGGACTTCGAAGTTTCTAGTTTGCCTTACACATTCCTATCATTTATCTGATAGGTTATCAAATCAATTATCAATCCTAATTGAATTATGTAGAATTATCAAATTTTAATAGAACTCATTGTAAATTGTATATAGTTATGCCTTGTAACAATCGGCAGAAGAACTTGGTCGATAGCCATTGAGCATTGTTGTTCAATGAAGTACTTTTATTAATAATAATAATAGAACTCCTATCGAATCAATTATGAATCCTAATTGAATAATGTAGAATTATCAAATTTTAATAGAACTCCTACCGATTGCGCCAGATGTAGGTAAAAAGCTTTCCTAAAAATCATGTTTGAAGGAAAGCTTCCATAAAATGCACTGAAAAGAAGAAATTTTAAAAATATTGGACCATAAAAGCCCATATATACTAATTTTTAATATAATCGGACCATATTCACAAAACTCATCCGCCATTTCGAAGCCTCTATCTTGAATTTCTGAATTTTGATGAAAGAATCATAAATACAGAATTTGTTCGCCATATTCGATCTGCCGTCGTCTTGAATTTTTTCATTATGGCAGTAGAAACATAATTACCGACCCCAAAAATCCCCAGGTACCAATCTTGAATAGAATCGGATCATATAATTGTAAAACTCATCCGTCATTTTGGACCTGCCATTTTGTTTTTTCTTCACACTAAAACACAAGAGCTTTTTTTTATCGGATAAATTTCTCCTGCTATTATCGGATAAATTTCTCCTGCTAACGAATAACATTTGCCGATCAGTAATTTCAGTCAGTTTTTCTAGGGAAATTACTGATAATTTTTGGGTTAGTAAGGAAATTTTGGCAAGATGAATCAACGACAATATACACACAACAATAATAATTACCTTCATTGATGAAGTCGTCGTCAAATAGCGTTTTCCGAGTAGGAGTTGATTTATCTAACAATCATTTCATGATGCATTGTCACCAGAATTATGTACACCTGTCAAGTTTCAATCAATCGAACGATTAGAAGTGTGTCATATTCAACTTGCAAAATTTGATTACGCATAGACACCGGGACAGGTGGAAGTAAATAAAAGCTTGTGAATAAAACTCTGATAGTTTCTCATGTAAACTGACCTGTATCATTTTTGTTTATGTTCAAGGGAATACCGTGGCCGAAAGTTGGAAATACCACTTGGGGGCTGTCGAATCTGAATTCTCCAGGGTACAAGAACAATTGAAAAATGAAATTAACGAACTCGAAGAAAAGTGCAATGCCCTGGTGAATGAGAATAACGAACTGAGAAAAAACGTTGATACTGAAATCAAAAACGAAGTCGATCGCATTTCCGCTCTACAGCAACAAATAACAGACAGGCAACATGCGATAACTGATTTAAACAGAATCATAAGTGGCTTAGAAACAGAAAGGGTAGAGATACGCCAACAATTCGATCAGTTGCAAAACGAAAAAGTAGAGCTTGACCGGATTCTAGCTCAGAAAGACGCTGAACTGTCCAGTTCCAAGGTCGTTATAGAAACCACCCAAAAACAGTTCCACGAGAAGCGAGAAGTAATAGAGGAAATCGTGAAAATATTAGAAAGAAGAACCTCTTGGCCTTTGTCTTTCGAAAAAGAAGAAGTTTTGAACGAGTTCCAGAGACAGCTCGACTTGATCCAAGAAAGAGAAGAAGAACTTGCTAGGCTCAACTCGCAAATGGCCGATTTACAATCTCATCTGCAAGAAAGAGTTGCCGAAATTGTGAGGTTGAGTGACCTAGTGAATAGCCTCCAGGCGGAAAATAGTATGATGCAAGAAAAGGACCAGGAGATAAGTAGATTGAACCAGACTGTTGAACATTTGCATAGCCAAATGTCTTCGTTACAACAGAATGAACAGGAAATCATCAAGTTGAATGATTTGATAGGACAGCTCCAGGTAATCAAGACAAATCAGGCTATATTCCGAATTCAAATGCCAGCATTGTCAGTAATGGGCAGTGGACTGATAATTAGTTATTGGCATTCAATTATTATAATTCGTACGTGGACCAGCAATTAATTTTTTTATAGGTTTCCATGATGGCGAATCGGTGACAAATCGAACAAACCAGCTTTAGAATTTGATGATCAGAAAGTATAAATGTCTTGATTTAAATAATTTGCTTTGATAATCATAAATTAATCACGAGATGCAATCGACTATAACATTTTTATGTTTTATATGATGTTCACTATATTATTGACAGACTGCTGACTCCTTACTAACTTTTGGTTGTTAGTAATTTCAGCAGAAACAGTATATCTGCTCTCGAGGTCTGCCAGTTTCATTTAATTTTCTCATTTCGGAATGGAAATTAATTGGCACTGACAGTTGATTTCGGAAAATAGCTTCAGTCAATTAAAACTGACAAAATTATTGTTATAAAGGGTGTTGCAAAGGTCGATTCAAAGTCTCCCGAAGTTAAGGAGGGATCTCATTTGGATAACTTTGCCGAAAATACCTCGAATCATTCGAAAATTTTGTGTTTTTAATGAATCTCTTTGTCTCCTGCGCGAGACTCTACATCGACCTTTGGAACACTCTGTATTGTTTCGACTAGAGGCATTATTAATTTATCGTTTCAGAGGCAAGAAGTCCAATACCAGCAAACCGTCCAAACCCTCCAACAAGAGCGCGAGGATTCCAAATATGCCGTCGAAGACTACAAGAAGAAACTCGAAGAGTTTAAACTCACTCACATCGCCTTACAAAACTCCCTCGAAGAAAAGAACCAACAGATATCATCTCTCAACCAACAACTGCAAATCTGGGAAACTTTCAAGAACGACAGCAACAAGGAAAAGGAGAGGATCGACGCGGAACTGTCAAACGTCAAGCAAGAATACTACTCTTTGCAGCAGTCGTTGTCCGAGTGCCAACAACACTTATTCAGCGTTACTCAGGACCTCGGAAATAAGTCCCATGAGCTGGAAACCTGCAACCAACAACTCGCCTATTCCAAGCAAAACTCTGAGGTTCTCGAATCGGAACTCTGCAAACTCAGGGAGTTGCTTCGCGCCAAAGAACAGGAAACGGTGCAGCAAGCTCAGCTGAGCGAAGTACAGAATTACTACGAGGAAGTTATATCTGCCAAGGATATTGACCTGGAAAAGGCCAGAGTTCAGCTCAACGAGTCAATTTCCAACAACGAAGAACTGTCCGAGAAGTTCAACAATGAAATGTCGGAAAAGCAACAAGTGTTGCTGGAAAAACGACAGTTAGAAGATAAATACGAGGAACAGAGGATGCTGTTGGAAGAGGAGGACAAACAGTTGTCAGAGATGCGGGATATCATTCAAGAGCAGGTGGTGAAGATTGAGGAGTTGAAAAAAGAGTTGTTGGACAAGAGCAAGGATTATGACAGCTTGATTGCCGAAATGGACATGGGCAGTAAGCCTGTCACTCAACAACCGACTTCTTCCATGGTAAGCATTATCTATCCACTTCTTTTATTGATCTTGGCACCACTTATTTGTTAGTGAATAGCTTCACTTTTTATTAGACATGAGACGCAATAGAAGTGTGAGCCAAATCATAATTCAAAGAATGTTGAAAGATTACAAATGTAATCGTGACTACTGACTGTGCCAAATGGTTTGTTTTCAGAGCTGTCATACTCAGGTCACCGGAAATAATACTGTAGTGGATCAATAGGAAATATACTAAAATATTTTAAATTATCAAAATTCAAGGCTAATAATATATATGACTACGCCACTGGATTCCACTTGGAAAACTGTATGAATGACAGTTTTTACTTTTCCAATAAGTTGAAATATAGCTGAGATACAGGGGTGGTCCCAAAATGTAACATTTTCAATTTCGCCCTGTATCTCAAAAACGAAGCGGGCTATGAGAATGTTGTTTGCGATATCGTGAGTTTCACAACTTAGCCAACGCGTTCGCGGAAACCGCAGATCTCTATCTTCAAAAATATGAGAGATATCTCGTAAGGACATCAAAAATGGGATAGCCTATGCATAAGTTCGTCTCTGTCAGTTTCCGCTGGTCTACTGCGCATCCAATTCTCAGAGGCCAAGCCAGAATGGTCCAGCTGTATCTCTTACAGATCGAATTGGATTGGTGAATCTTAGTCATACTCGTACTTGATTCGTTGAACGATCCATCATTTGAAAGAGATTCATCTGTTGCTGAATTTAGCAACATAGTAGACAGCTTGACCATTCTATCTTGGCCCCTGAGATGCGCAAACGATAAACAGAGATGGTTAGTGTGCGAGAAAGATCCAGTACGCCTTTTTATTGGAAATTACAATCCCACTGTACTGTTCTGTCCGATGTTCACTGAACTAATTCCTCGAAAATAATGAGCTCTCACCCTACTCCGCCAACTGGTCTACTGCGCAGCCAATTCTCAGAGGTCGAGCTAGAATGGTCATGCTGTATCTTTTACAGATCGAAAATCAGTCTATCAAAAACGACCAATGTAACTTCGCGTGGATTGGTGATTCAGATTCATCAGGTGGTGAATTTAGCAATATGGTGTACAGCTTGACCATTCTAGCTTGGCCCTTGAGATGCGTAAACGATAAACAGAGATGGTTAGTGTGCGACAAAGATTCAGAACGTTTTTTTTATTGGGAATTACAATTCCACTGTACAGGGTGGGCCCGGACTACGGTAGAGGAGGTAAAGAAGAATCCCACTATGGGTCAAGTGGGAGGATATCTTGCCTGCCTCGGCGGGTGAGCAGCGTTTCTGCTCGGGCACTGACACTGCAGAGCCAGTAGTCTGTCTTATCAGACGGCCTCACCATTGGTATAATGAAATGGTAGCAAGAGAACATGCCGTTACATAACGGAGATGGCTCTTGCGCGCTGATTTGGCGTACCCAAATCCTCTATTTCTCCCTGGGGTGCTGTCGGTATAAGTCGACAGACAGGTGACCGGCAGACATCCCTAGGGGAGTCTTGTGAGAGGGGGGAGAAATCCCACCTTGTTGCTACCCTGGCAACTTTGGTCTTGGACCTGTCTTGGACCTGTCTTTCTCTGTACAGGGTGGGCAAAATTGGGCGTTTTCACCGTCTATCTCAATAACTAGAGGAGTTATCGAAAAACCGATACACATGTTCCGGGTTTGATTTTGGAGAAACCTCGAATGGCACAATCAAAATGTCGATATCTTCATTCGTTTTAGAGATACAGGGGGAAATCAAAAATTTGCCGATTTCGATTTTATTTTCTGACTACTTCACGGTGAGAGGTATCAAAAAATTTCAAACGTATATTTATACAGTATGATGCGTGGAATCCATTGGCATCATCAGAAATTTTATACAGGGTGACGTTGAAAAGATACGGCAGCCAATTATGTTTTTTCTAATGGAACACTCCGTATATTTTGGCACAGTTGAATAGTCCCAGGCGTTCTCATTACAAATATATATATAACCCTACCTCTTCCTTCCACAATTTCAGATATATTCGCAAAAATATATTCAGTGTGTCACATATCTTATGGTTACACCCCCGTATCTTCTGTAAAAATAATTGAGGTAGGATTCAAAAATTCGCAACTGTCAGAAAGATACAAATGATACACTCATGGAGTCATGAACCAAGTGGGATCATCTCCAATGATAACACTGCTCGCCAGCAGCTATGGAATCATCGATATTTCTGGATAATGCTATCTACAGGCAGAATCGAGGTTGAAAATGACACTCTGTATATATTCACCAAAGGTGGAAAATGAATATCATAGGGAATGTTATTTCCAGACAAATGGATATTTGGTGAGAAATAAAATGGGAAATTATTCGATTTGATATCATTGTTATCAAGATATTTGAGATACAGAAATAAGACCAAAAATTTACTCAATTAGGAAATCAGTAGGTTGCGTTGAAAATATAGCCTTATAGAAGATGTCCAAATTCCAGATACAGAACAATTTTTTTTATGGAACACCCCGTATATTTTGGCAGAGCTGGAAAGTTACCGTTTCAATTTCAAATATATATCTTATTTATTATCTCTTTGAACGCAAAAATATTAAGGCATACTAGAAATAATGGGTAAAGTATCATATTCAGGCATTCTGCCACAAAATATTTGATACCTCTCACCGTAAAGTAGTCAGAAAATAAAATCGAAATCGGCAAATTTTCAATTTCCCCCTGTATCTCTAAAACGAATGGAGATGTCGAAATTTCGATTGTGCCATTCGAGGTTTCTCCAAAATCGAACCCGGAACATGTTTATGGTTTTTCGATAACTCCTCTAGTTATTGAGATAGACGGTGAAAACGCCCAATTTTGCCCACCCTGTACTGTTCAAACCGATGTTCACTGAACCAATTCCTCGACAATAACGAGCTCTGGTCCCACTCTGTCGACTAGCCTACTGCGCATCCAATTCTCAGAGGCCAAGCTAGAATGGTCAAGCTGTATCTCTTACAGATCGAAAATCCCTCTATCGGAAACGCTCAGAGGTCCTTCGCGGAAGACGACATGTCTGAGCCGGTGAACCGAGCCGAATTGGACCTGGCCCTATACATGCTGCACCAGCGGGACGTGCGCTGCGAGGAACTGACCGTGGAACTGACGCAGCTGCTGGAGGAGCGGGACACGCTGCAGCTGAAGCTGTCGAACGCGTTGCGGGAGAAGGAGGATATTAGACGCAGCACGGCAGGTGAGGAAACTAGTGGCATTTTTTGTCTGCGACGCTGAAACCAGAATGTACTGCAGATCGGTTATGGCTTTGTTCCAAATTCAACTGTCGGCCTTTTCAGTAGTGTTACTCATGGTAGAATTTTATAGAGGGTTTTTGGTTGCCAACCGTCATGGCTGACCGGTCGTTGATGTCACGTGACTGATCACAATGACAAATACGTTCCTAGTATTCCTCATAATGATCGAAATTGTATTCAAACCCAAATTATTTTGTCGCACTGGCAACAGCGTAATGTTCCCAGTTCCCAAAAATACAAGGAGATAAGAAGAAGCTAACTTCCTAACGTCACCTTCATCTTCAAATCCTTGTTTCATCTAGTCAAGATGCGAATAGTCAAAGATTGTTCTCTTATTATCTGATTCTTCAGTTGTGTGTTGTGTTCTCTGTTATTGGCAGTAAGTATTCAGTCCAGAAAATTTGCAGCTTCTGAGGAGGCGAGAGTTTTTTTCGTATTTTGATTGAAATGCGAATCAGAAATATTCTTACACTTCTGCAGTCGGTAATTTCGTATTTAATTCTACTGAACTATTTGAGGTGGCTATCACATCTTCTTTTATGTTTTCGGGACAATTTCAAAGGAATAATTGAGTCTGAGCAGATTAGAGTCTGAAGAATTCTAATGCACTCAAGTTTAATTTTTTTTTCCCCATAGAGAAAATGCTGTGACTTTAGCTTGACAAATGTTACCAACTTTGAGAAAACAAAACCAGCCCATAGTAACAGAAGAACTATACTTCCATTACTTTCTAAAACAAAAATGGATCTCTGGCGATCCAGAATAAAATTATTTGAAGCTATGGTTCTAAGCGTCATGTCTACCAGTCTGGGGCCTCAGATATGTTGATATCTTAGAGAGAGGGTTCAACTCATGTTTTTCAAACGCCTCCTTCTTCTCCCAAATAATACTCCAGACTATAAAGTTAGATTTGAAACCGGGCGCGTGAAAATAGCTTTTAATATTTTCAAAGCAACATTGAACTGGCTAATCAAAATGTTCAGTATGAATGATTCCAGACTGCCAAAGATATGTTTTTTACTACAACTAGAATTATCTAGTAGCGATGTCAGATATAATTGGGCCAAACAAGTGTCACAAATTTTTGAGTCGATCAGTCTCTCTGAACCCATGGCGAACATCAACGGGGCTTATCTTAAGCGCAACAAACACAAAATATCAGCACAGTTCTTTGATAAACTTCACCAAGAGGAAATTGCCTTAGCCACCAACTCTTACTTTATGTCTTTCCACACGCACTTTACCTTCAACAAACAGCCAAACAGTTATCTTCTTCTCAAAATGCCAATTCAAATAACAAGAACTATTGTCCAGCTGAGAATGTGCAATAATTACGTAATCAGATTCACGCTGAATGGTTGCACTTATCGTATCGACCCACGCGATGATTGTACTGTTTGCAACCAAAATAAGCTCGAAACAATTCAATGCCCTATATATGCCACGATGAAGCCTCCGAATTCTAATCATCTTCTTGATTTTAACTCCTTAATATGTGCCCTCAAGAATATTATGCCCTCCCTTGCAAAAACTATAGCAAGTTACATATGGAACATCTTGAAACTGCGAGCTTTCATATTAAATGAATAATTTCATATAGGTTATAGAAAATCAGGATATTAATTCTACTAAAATTGTGTGCTTATCTTGAGTATTTTTACTTTTTCTTCTCTCATTCTGTCAGTTTGTTTTTCATATCTAGCCGTCTAATATGTCTTTGTAAGCATAACTACTTGTAAACAGCCTATCGACACAAAACATGAACCCCTTGTTGTAAAACTGTAATGTTTTAAGAAACAATAAATATATTATTATTATTATCAGAAGCTGTTTCATGCTGAACTTATTCAAAGTCCTTTTCATTTCCTAATTTTTTCAGTGTCTGAAGAAATGCCGTCATCTTCCACTGCACAACCTTCAACACTACTAAGCAAATCGTCCGCCATTTTCCTAGCAGCTTCCGGCACTGACCTAGGAACTGAACCTCTTGAGAGCCCTAGCGGCGATCAAAATCTAGCCAGCAAGTATGTATGAATTCGCGATTTCCTAGCAAAACAGTTGATTGTGTTTTTGTTTTAGGTTATCGGAACTCAGGAGGGTGGGCTACAAAAAAGATAAGACTTTTGTTGATGAACAGGAGTTGAGAAGGTTCCAGCAAATGTCCATAATGCAGCAGCACATCAGTGAAGTTGACAGGCTGCCTGCTGAAGCAGCTGCCAAATTGGTGGATGCAAATTACACACTATGTAAGTGCATTGTTCTTCTAAATGAGATCCTAAAGTAATGATAATAATAACATCTATTGATCCCAAGAAACATACAATGTTTATAGAGGGAAACAAAAAAAATATGATAAATATATCAAATATGCAATACAATGAAAGATAAACAACTGCTAGATCTCATAACTAAGAGATCTAGGATGAACAGAGTTGCCCCAATTGTCAGCAGGAGCGAGACAGTACTGTGTCACCAGTTATCATTGAGAAGTTTCTTTCGAATGAATGTTCATGAAATAAGTTCGGAAACTCCAGTTTTATGTCCACGCTGTACAGAATGGCGACCGATTCATTTTCAAATTGAAGCAATTTCTAATTTTCGGCGTGACGAACATTCTGAATCTCGTCTGAAAATAGCTGATGGTGAAGAATATAGCTAACGAATGAAAAATAAATGAAAAAAATAGAAGACGAATCAAAACCTGTAAACAAAAACATACATAACCACAAATGCACTCGGAGCAGAAATGCAGAGGGTAGTTGGCTTCATTCTGACAGGTTATGGTTTTGTTATTTATGCATTGAAATATCTCGAATAGAGGTCGATCCTTAACGAAAATATCTTTGAATCAATGAATCACTATCGGCAATCGGTCAGAACAGAATGAAGCCGACACCCATGGCTCCGTCCTCTTGTTGTTTCTGTCACAATTTTGAGTGGTGTGGACGGACTCAAAGTATTAGGCGCTGCAACTTTCCTAGAAAATAGATCCGTTTCATTAAGGAACGAATTCATTAGCACAAAAATGACTGACACGTTATGAATATCAATAACGATAGTGAAAAATTACAGATACTATCGCAAAATTTCATAATTTATCTTTATTAGTAATCAACTTCATTCAGTCAATGGGGGATTTATGGGAATTATTAATAATACTTGACAAAGTAGGATTGAAGCACCTATTATATCCCATTGCTGTTAGGATATAGTTATTATGCATTCTAAGAACAATTTCCGGAAATCTAGACATATTGATGATGTCGGCAATGTCGAACTGGCACAGAGAATCGTATTTTAACTCTGTGTGAATATGGATTTTCAGAAAGTAAGTCATAGGAATGGTGGAGGAGCCAAATTCCTCTTTTGATAATTTTTTTCTGAAGTGAAATTTGATCTTAGGAAAAAAAAACGGATATTCCAATTTTTTACAAACTTCACAGTGAGATAAAAACCTCAACATAGGAATATTCTCCATTCTATTGGGTTCGAACTTGGGTTCCAAGGAGAATGATCCCATTACTTCTGGTTTTATATTACAAAATACATTGTTTGCCCTCCAACGACCTGTCAAATGACGTAGTTCTGAAATATTGATATTCTTCAATATGCACAATTTTCGGTTAAAATTTTCAAACTTCTATTTTTTGATAACCAGAGATTGAGAAGAGAAGATAGATACTGGTATATTATACTTTTTTACTACTCTCTAATACAAAATTGATAAAATAGTTCCTGTTTTTTCTCCAATGACCCATGATGTCATGATGAAAATAGACTGGTGTAACCACTTGTCAATTGTTTCTTTCCAAAACGTGTAGACCGCGAAACACCGTAGCAAGACCGCACCGGATTGACTGTAGATGGCGTAGGGAACATCGTGCCACATATAATTCACAGATATAATGAAAATTTCACGTCTTTTTCATTAAATCAATCACTTTTTCTCAATGTTTTTAAATTACGAATCAATATACGTAAATGTAAACAACAAAACAAAACAACCATTGTGTAGCAAGATCACTTCGGGAACAGCGCCATCTAGCGTTAGTTTTGCGCGGCCTTACTACGGTGATAGAATTCGACATAATCAAGTAGGCCAGAGGTCTACAAAAATGTCTAGGGTTTTGTAAGAGGGAGCTATTTCACCATACATACCGGGTGGCTACGGAAGTATTGCCTACGAAATATCTCAGTTATTGTATGAAGTAGGTTTGTGAAATTTGGAGCGTCAATATAATGACATAAGAGCTAGAATTTTAGCATATTGACATGTCGGAGTTGACTTCCGGTCTGACCGGAAGTAACATCAACTTTCTTATTTCAAATGGAAACCCTATTTTTTTTCTTTTCGCTTCATTCGGCATTCAATTCCCTTCCTAATGACATATCACAAGTTGGTATCTAACCAGAAACTAGATCAGAAAAAAAATATTATTGAAATTCACCGAGTAGGCCAAAAATTGAAAAGTTGGCTATGGAAACCATACGTCACTTGATAACAGTTGCTACTACTGTGATATTTTATTTTCATTCGTCGGCGTTATGAAAAGCCGCCAAAAAAAATATTGGAAAAATTGGGGAAAAAACAATACTCTGTAGGTCCATAACTTGAATAGGAACATACAACTTTTTCTTGCCTGTACTATTCAGCATAACCATTCCTTTCTAATGATATAATAGAAAGTCATTTTTTGGCTTTCATTTTGCTTCCACGGCCTACTCGGTGAATTTCAATAATAATTTTTTTCTGATCTAGTTTCTGGTTGGATACCAACTTGTGATATGTCATTAGAAAGGGAATTGAATGCTGAATAAAGCGAAAAGAAAAAAAAATAGGGTTTCCATTCAAAATAAGAATGTTCATGTTACTTCCGGTCAGACCGGAAGTTAACTTCGACATGTCAATATGCTCAAATTATAGCTCTTATGTCATTATATCGACGCGCCAAATTTCACAAACCTACTTCATACAATAACTGAGATATTCCGTAGGCAATAATTCCGTAGCCACCCGGTATATCCACCTTTCATGATGTCTATTTGTTCGTAGCACGAGACGTTCAAAGTCCATCCAAAGTTCTCCTCAACTGGCTGTGGGGACGAAGTACTCCGAAATTGAACGATTCATAGCAGATGCCAAGGAGTTGCATGAAGTTCTCTAGATGAAGTTGTGCCTGATCGCTAACCCCATTTCAATAAAATCCGGTCTTCAGGTATTCAGATTGGCAGTCCGGGTCCGATAGAAATTTGAAAGCTTTTCCGAAAGTTCCATGTGATATCCAACATAATAATATATACTTAAGTTCAAATTTGTACAGTTTTTATTTTAAAAAGCATTTATTAATTGTTGTACTGTGAATACTGAGAATTGAAAAATAAAAAAACACTTTTTGAAAAATAGTCTTTTATAATCATATTTTCCTCATTGTTTCCCTATACTAGGGTAAGTCGATGTGTATACAGGGTGTTTCCGAAATTGTGGCAATAAATGAAATGGGTAAGAAAAAACAACAACAAAAAACAAAACTAAATGAAAGAATATACATCATTTTAGTGGAATCAAAATTATTTTGAAATATTAAGTTTTGCAGCAACGTTTGAGAATCACTCCCTTGAGGTTAACGGCTAGATAGTTTTGTGAGTATATCATTCAAATGGAGACCATCAGCTATCCTTTCAGAATCAGGTAGTGAATCTCTCAAACATTGTAAACCCAAAATACCAAGCAGTTCGATGTTAATGCTTCGTGAAGACAGACGTAATACGCGGTCATATTAGTTCCAGAATAAAAAGTCTTTTACGGTTCCATCCTAAAGTTTGTTGTAACTCCTAATGGTCAAGACTATAAAACATTTTAGTTTTATTTGTGCAATGTGCATGTATTGGATATTGTGATTCGGGTAACAGAGTGAGGAAGAGCGCTTCCCGTATAGTTCCAGTACGTTCCCAAAACGTAATAAGAACGTCCAGCCAAGACGTACTGGGGACGTCCAGATTAGAAGCGTAGACGTACTAGTTACGTACTGAGGACGTCCAGATTCCGCGAATTTGTACATCCCCGCAGTACGTCCATCAGGACCATGAATACCTGAGTCAACGTTGATTCGCCTTTTTTACTCAGATAGTTGAAGAAGAGATCTAGACAGAGTAAAAAACATCTTATTCTGAATACAAAATTTAAAAAAATGCGCTCCTACCGGGGATCGATCCCAGGACCTATTATTCCACAGAAACACTTATTATTTATATATCAGTCTACAACAAGTTATTAAGTGCGAATGTTGATTGACCCTTCACATTGATACTTTCATAGAATTAAATGATCACGGCAGATAATACCTAAATAGATGTTTCGCGATTAGGAACGATCAGTAACAAAAAATTGCGAGAGTTGCATTATATGTTAATGTTTGCCAGGTTCTTACATAAATTAATAGATATTCTATGGCCTGGACGTTCAGACTGACTGGGGAATCAAACCAGTGCTTCCCAAACATGGACGTATACGTCCATGGAGTCCAATCATCAATTTTTTGTAAATTTTCGATAGTTCTGAAAATGTATGTTCTTGTCATTTATTGTGTCAATATGTGTAATATCGAACGGCCCATTTTATTTATTGCTCCAATTTCGGAAACACCCTGTATAGCTGATTTTTATCTATATTATCCCAACCTATTTTCTGTCGAAAAAACCAGGGTGAAATTGAATGATTTCGATTATTCGATGTTTTTCAATCATCTTTTCCATATTGCTTATTCTTCCTCGCCGGGTACCTACATAATATACATATATAAGTAAGTCAAAATGTGCATATAACATTATTTTTCTTCTCTTATATCAACTTATTTTCAGTAGAAAAATCAAGGTAGAGAATTGATTTGTATCCATTTTATTGACCTTATTATTACACACCCCTACCTTATATACTATATATACTTATATTCAGCAATTACTCTAATGATATTGATTGGCAACGAAACAAAATATCTGTTACGTCTCGTTAGGTAGGTACCTACTCATTTGCATGGAATGAATTCATAAGGCCCTGAATTATATAGCATAATGTTTTTTCCTGGAAATTTCCGGTGTTGCCAATTGCTGCATTATCAAAGTAGGTTCTACCAGAGATTAATCCAAAAATAGTTTGATAGCAATGTAACGAATGTTTGCGAATTAAGCTTCACTTTATTGAGTAACGTATAATCATGTATTGTTTTTCACTGAAGAAGAATCTAAATGACAACTTTTTGAGAAATTTTCGCATAAGTCGCAGCAATGCAACATTCGTGATATAGCATTGTTGCCTCATCTTAGAGATGTCATGTCGCAGATGTGTTAGCTTTATGAACATCGCACCGATAGAACGTTTGTGATATCGCAGTTACCTGGGCTGTGTTGGCTGGGTTTAGAATCATCATTTGAGAGATTACATATTGAAACATATTGTTTATAAATAGAAAATATCAATGATTATGAATATTTCTGAGATATTAAATATGGGTACTTTCTGAATATTCCTTTTGTGCGATATCCTCTCGATATACCATGCTTCCCCTCCAGCATATATTCAGGGAATATGTATTCCATAAAATGTATATGTTCCTTGACTTGATCAAGAATAATCAAAATATTCCAAAAAGAATATTATTCTTATATATGGAAAATCTTGTGGCAGTCCGAAACAAATTTCCTCGCAAATTTCAAATGAAAATGCTGGATATATTACCTTAACTATAAGAAAACAGTGGTGAAATATTGAGGTCTAATTGATCGTTAAGTAAAATGTTAGAATTTTACTTATCAAGAAATATATCTCAGCCAAATCTCTAATAGCACAATAATGTTCCTCAGTGAAACAATCGACCCGAAGTGACGTCTTCCAGCAATTCCAGCATGTGGATTGTGGATTGTGGACCCATTCCTATACTAGATTCTAGCCATAGCACCATAGTGAGGTAATATTGCGCCTCGCTCGCTGGGCGCGAGAAACTGAAAATTTCCGGCCGATCCTGAGAAGAAAAATAATTGAAATAGCGAATCACTATCGGACTAACCAATAAATACCTCCATAGTGTTTTTTCGATTAATTACTTAGAAAAAAAAAATTAAAAACAAAGAGTCCGGGGTTCGATCCCAACTCCAGCTAAGTAGGGATCGAACCCCGGACTCTTCGTTCGGAGGAAGGAACACTACTTTTAATGACCACCACGCTTCAGGCAAAACAAACTACAAATAGTTATTTATAATACAAGGGAAAAAGTAGTTGATTTTAGCTTCCGGGTTGTGTTGTGTGCGAGACAAAAATCCGTGAGCTAAAATCTAATATTTTTCCCGACTATAATACACTATTTTTTTTGTGACAGAAGAAAGGACGAATCAATATTGAGAATATATTACATTATTTTGAAATCTGAAAATTATCGACGTGAAATTTTAAGTCTTTAACAGTTGGGACACCTGCGATGTAGGCATCTTTATCATTCTTTTGAAGTAATCAAATATCTGATGTCACTTCTATCAGTCTAATTCTGTAATTTGATTTTAAAAAATTGCGAATTTAGTGGTTGTGTAGTGAAGTCAAATGGAAGATAAAAGGATTTGCACTTATCTTTCTCGGAGACCAGCAGTATATATATTATTGACTCATTTTTCGGAACTATATAGCACAACAACAGTGTATATATACACATGTGATATATATCTTGGAAGAAAGTACTCACTTTTTTCCCACGGGAAAAAAGTAATTTATGAAAAGTGACATTTTATAACCTGCCAACAGATGAAATGCCAAACTTTTTTCCCGTCACAGAAAAAACAATTTTATGCGATCTTGACTTGCCACTGTGGCAATATTTTCCGTATAGTGGTGCTATGGCTCTAATCATTCCCATGGGCCGACGCAGGCGCTGTCCAGCTTTTCCCCGACGCTTTCCCATTTTCGCCGAATGAGCGATGACGTCACGACGCGTTCAATGGGTTACCAGGGTGACGGCCGATGCTGGATGCCGACTGCATATCCGATAGCGGGAGAAGGGAGAATCGCCCCCGAAATGATGGTCGGGAATGCGGGTCCCTCACGAATTACGTTTTGTTATTGATATCTGTTTTTTTTTTCGGAATATAGTGTCATTCATGAAGGCGGCATCATCGGCATCATATAGGCAGAGATAATACACTCCTTCATAATCTCTGATATGGGAAAAACTTTTAATAATAATTCATTTCCAAATTCGGTGGAAAATGTTGCTTTAAAAAATAATAAAAAATGGACTACTCGGTCAAAAGTTTTCTTTTCGTCAAATTAATCGCTTAAAATAGGCTTGTATGTTTGAATTTCAAAAAGTTGAATTATAAAAGTTGTCTCTATTCTAATTTTACACATGTGCTCGGCTTCGCTGGACGCTCCGCCTCGCAAATGCAAAATTCGCTTGTCGAACAAAGAATTATTATCATATATTATTCGCCAAAAATTTTTTTTGTCAATAATATTCCAAATTCACGACTTAAGATTTCTTGCTCGTCTCAATTTCATTAATAATTTCTCATGGAGAAATAGTTTTTTTCATTAAGTAAAATCACTATTATTTCCGAACCCGTCACCCGATTTTCTGAAACAAATATTGCAAAATATAGTATATATAGCTACTTAAAGGCCTCTTTTCAAAAATGTGGACAAAATTGACATTGTATAACTAACACCCTATACGATGTATATTGGGGTGAATTTTATGTATGCTATATGCTATGCCTCAATCGCATAGGTCATACACTTTTTCAAAAAAAAAAGCTTCAACAAATAGTATGAACCTTTAGTATATAAATATTTCAGTTTTGTCCATATTTTCAAAGGGACTCGTTGAGTAATACTTATATTATGGATTTTTTTTTGGTTCCGAACACTCCGAATCAGGAAGGTGTTGTGAGTTATATAAATCGCCCACACTGTATATATATATATATATTCCGAGACTATTTGTTACAATGAATTTCGATATCCAATACAGGACAATTCTCGTGTTGTTGACCTCCAGTCAGGAATTTGGTCAACGTCGCGTCCCTTCGTCAATCGACCAGAGAATTCCCATTGTCCCTATGCGAACCAGAATTTCATTGAGAACCTACCGAACATGCCATCAGCGATGATACGTGTCCTATATTACAATCGCAATTGACAGGGTTTTCCGAACGAAAGATAGGAATCATAAAGGAAATTGTGAACGACCTCTGAACACCTCAACCTGGTCTATGATTGGCTGAAAGCAGTGACGGCTCGTCTGGGACGGCCGGGCCTTCACTAGAAAATTTGAAGAAAAAAGCCGAACTATTTGATGAATTACATTATTTTTCGAAACTGTTTTCCATATTCATCGATTATTATGCTACTATTTATGCCACTATTTTTTGCATTTCATGCACTGAAACCTTTGGGTAAGTCATCCGAATAAACAGCGAAAATAACGAACTAATTCAGGACCTACACATCTGGTTATCCCATCGTCAAAACACCGTCTGGTGATGAAACTGAATGGAACTTCAAGAATATTATTTATTTTCAAAGACGCATGTAGCGGTGATGAAATATAATATGTACTTACTCATGCCTCCAACCGCGCTAAACATTTTAAGGCACTTAACGATACACAGAGGTACGGCCAGCCGAACAGGAAGGAGTCGGGTGGCTTGTCTTGTTTCGTGGTGTTTGTCGTGTGTTGAAGTGGCTGATACTAGTCCATTTGGGCATCAGATTTAGCAGACAAAATAAATAGTCATGGCTAACGTAAGATCTGGTAAGCCATTTATTAACATTTGATCGAAAACCAAAAATTGAGGACGAACTAGATCTACCCTGGTCGACCCAGAGGTTTTGAGGGCACGAGCCGTCACTGGCTGAAAGACCTTGCCTCAATTTTGGTGCCATATACCGTGTTGTTCATTATAAACTTTGCTTCAAATGAGAATCTCCAATGTGGCAAGCAAGTTTGAACTTGTATGGGTGGAGCTTGATTTGGTAAGGCGGAGCTTGAATTAGTAGTGGGTGGAGCTCAAATTGGTAGTGGCAGGGATATTCCGAAGGGGCTCGATACCTACTGGCAGTCTAAGATACCTTAAAAAAATTGATACCTCGTATTTTTCTACATCAAATATTGAAGAGTTCCACCCCAAGTCACTACCACTTTCGATATTGGGAAGTCAAACCAATTGAGCATATGGAAACTTCGAACGCAAATATCTTCGTGATCGTTTGAAATAACCCTATCAAACCCGGTATCGATGAATTCTGCATGATACTGCCTAACCGATTATGGAATGAAATACATCAGGGTGTCCTATTTTAAAATCAAACGTTGTGGTCGTTTCCGGTGAAACCGAAAGTAGTAGAACAAAAATGGTTTCATCAATAGATAAGCAATTTGGTGTACTTGCCACTCACGAAATCCGATCTCGAATTATCCAGAAGTTACAGCACTGGCCTTTTTTGTGCACTCATCTGTATACTAGAATAATGTTATAACTTCATCGATAGCATATCATATATCTTTTTAAAAATATTGGACCGTATATTTTCTGAATTAAATATGATATTCTCTCATTCGATTGAACTGCTTCCAGACAAATAGATGAGTAAAATATCAATCCTAGCTGGAACAAACAAATAACATCGAAGATGCATATCAGTCGAAGAATCAATAAAAGTCGTATTGACAACGAATGTCGAAATGTGAAATAACAGATTTATGCACTTCGGACTTCGGGAAAACTGAAGTGGCACTTTCGATCCCTCAGGGATCAAAAGTAAATATTGGCATTTTTACTCGAATGCCATAGTTTTTGATATTCTCAAACTAGAGTACATCTATACGAGTACGAGAATATTGAATCCCATTATTTTCTTGATTAAGTATCGGTACTTCATTTTTAGTTTTTCTACTCGTCTAATCCTGATGAAGTGCATAAAATGAAATATACAATAAACCAAGAAACTGAAGTTAATTTTAATCCCTCAGGATCAGGGACAGGATTTTTTTTTGAACTTTTGGAGATTATATGTTGTTGGGAATACTTCCACAGGCAATGAATTCCAGAGCCTAGCCGTTCTATGGATGAAGGAGTCTTGATAAAGTGCTGTTCGACATCTTTCGAGGTTGACAACGAAAGGATGTGCTGACTGATGGGCTTGTCTAGTTCGTCTGACTGGTATTGCTAGTGAAGGGATGATAGCAGAGATTTCCGAAGAACATTTCCCGTGGAAGTATCGATAGAAAAGTGAAAGGTCGCCGACCTTCCTACGGTGTTCCAATGATGTCAAAGAGTGAGTGAGTGTGGCGTCACCCACCAGGCGAATGGCTCTTCTCTGGATGGAATCTAAGAGCATCAGCGTATGTTTTGGTGCTGAACCCCATATGTGGGAACAGTATTCTAGAACAGGCCGTATCTGCGCTTTAGTAGATCATGAGAAGCTGTTGAGGTGTAAAGTAGCTTTTCGCACGGAACAAGAATCCGAGTTTTTGTGAAGCAGCTTTTGCGATGGATCTGACATGATTATCCCATGAAAGAGTGTTGCTGATGGAAATACCGAGCATAGATATGGTGGGCTTGGTGAGGATGGTGGAGTCAGACATCACAATATCGGGCATACTGAGTTCCGCCTTTCTAGCGAAAATACAGGCTTGAGTTTTGGTGGCGTTGAACTCAACTATCGAATCATATGACCTTTTTTCGATTTTTTGTTGAGAGGAATCCCCCAAGCTTTTCTCACCACAACTCTAAAACGCCCTGTATATGGAGTTCTACAAAATATTTCGATTCTAATTTGAGCGTGAAGTGGCGCCAAAAGAAAACCAACCGGAGAGGGTTATCGCCAAAACAATATTTCAGGACCTCTCATCATCCCTGTATCACCCCTAAACCTACCCTACCTACATCTAGACGTCGACGCAAAGCGTCGCAGCGCAAGCTTTGACGTCAAACCGCCTCCACACTCAGTCTGGTGTGGAGAATACAACCAGGATGTACATTCATCCCGCCTCCGAAAATTTTCCCGTGAAAATCACGTAGCGGTCGCTGAAAATGTCTGTGATACCCAATTTTCCCTCGATTAGCTGAAGAAAATTCACTACCATTCAACACTCCAAGCAGTAAGTAAGTGAAGCATGAATTTCAGTGTCCTAGCTCTCTCTATGATAGATGTCTAGTCTTAACCCTATCGGGAATGCCCATCCAGAGCAATTGCCATACATTGTCCAGAGCCGTTTAAGTACGTGGGTATATTCTTGAATGAAACTGGAACTGGCACATTGACGGAATATATGTGAAAGAGATAGAAACAACATCGATCAATAGAGTATCCCAAGACTTGAGATAGTATTCAGTCGCCTGATCTTACCCCTACAGGAATTTAAACGATATTTCTCTGTGTGGATGATTTTTTTATGGGATCGTGATGCCAATAAAACAGAATTCTGCTCATCCTTCTCGTTCATGACTAATGAATATTAGAGTTTTCAATCACGAATTAAATGGATCAGCAATTTCAGATATTTGTACCTATAATATATATGGGTTTAAAGATATTGACAAAATTGTTTCTTTGTTGACGACTGTACGAAAAATTGCAGACCTTATACATAGATGATAGGAAATTAATAGTGCATGAAGATGTCCTTTTATATAGGTCAGTTAATTGCTAATTGACACATATATCAATTAGGTTTCTGGGTTATTCTTAGTCCTAACCTAACCTGACCATTATCAATGAAATTGTTCCAAACTGATTGATGTGGATCAATGGATCTATTTTATAATCCTGGAAACCGTTACAAGAATGGTACCATAAACAAAAAGTCAAGACAATTTGATTGAATGTTACAATGTTACAAAATTTGTAGGTCTTACGATGAAAGGGTATATCATTGGCTAAACATATAGATTATTAAAAATAAAAATTTGAAATTTTATACGTGTTAGATACTTGGGAAGTATTTATTCTTGTCTTATACACTTGAATTTTCAGTATTTTATCTATCAATTTGGGAAAATACGAATATCACACAAAGTTGAAATATCTGATGAAATCGCAAAAAAAACAATAAATTGCTTTTTTTATTCAGATTTTCTGTAAGATTTGAATTTTCATGGGGTTAATACAAATGGGTACATGTACAGGATGGCCAACTAAGACTCCAGAGTCCGATTTCTCTGTTGTCTTGAGAGATACAAACAAAAATTCAAGGATCAAAATTGAAGTAGTAACCGAGCTTCACATTTCAAAATTTCTTTGAAATACACAGGGTGTTCCGTAAGGTCACAGCAGATCAACGCTATGTTTTTTTCATTGGAACACCCTATATTTTATTTCATTTTTGAATTCTCCCTGAAGATCTGATTTCAACGACCCATCATACTTAGGGTCTAGCAGTGAAAGTTACTGACATATAGGGTGTACAAAATCGAGATTTTCCAAGTTCAGGAATTTTTTCTGTCGAAACTGTCATTCGTCAAAACGGTTTACATGTCCCTATCTCAACTTTTCACTCACATCAATTGGTGTTCAATTGAAATTGTTACAAGGTGGTCAAAAAATCTGAATTTATAATTAGTTTCAATTAAATGTCAATTGAACACCAATTGATAGTGAGTGAAAAGTTGAGATAGGGACATGTAAACCGTTTTGATGAATAATGAACAGTTTCGACAGAAAAAAATCCTGAACTTTGAAAATCTCGATTTTGCACACCCTATATGTCAGTAACTTTCACTGCTAGACCCTAAGTATGATACGTCGTTGAAATCAGATCTTCAGGAAGAATTCAAAAATGAAATAAAATATAGGGTGTTCCAATGGAAAAAACATAGCTTTGATGTGCTGTGACCTTACGGAACACCCTGTGTATTTTAAAGAAATTTTGAAATGTGAAGCTCGGTTATCACTTTAATTTGAATGCAAAACTTTTTTCTGTATCTCTCAAGACAACAGAGGTATCAAACTCTGGATTCTTAGTTGGCTACCCTGTACAACATAGGTATACCCACGAAACAAGACAATTAAATTTCATGAAAGCAAATAATTATAAGTCAAATTCTAACAAACAATCAATATTCCATAGTGGAATAATGTTATGCAGAGTGTCCTTGACATGTCGGTTCAAAATGATACTACAGAATTTTGAGACCAAGATAAGATAATTGAACCAAACTTTACCTCTTTACCAAAACGCTCCGCTCCGTTCAGTCGTTACGAATTTGTATTTTCATTTATTTTGTATATTTCAATAAAATTGTCTATAGATATCGCTATGAAATTTTGTAGGCGCACTAAAAGGACTGTTATGCATCAAAAAACATTCTATACGTATACTATTCACATGCCATACAGGATGTTACTTATTTGGAGTGAAGTTGATCGAAAATTTGATCAAACTTTTTCTGGGTACACCACTTAACTGAAGTCAATAGTATTCAGGTGATATTCTTTCAATCTGAACTAACTGAAATATTTCACTAGAACTGAACTGAATCAGTTAATATGCGTTCAGTTCAACCGAAATATGTAAGTTAGTTCAGAACGAAAGAATATCACTAATGATGTTGCCTATTTTGTCTCATTCCATATCTACCTTTCAGCCATTTTGAAAGTTTGTGATATTTCTATTGGTTTGAACTTCATTTTCTTATGAATTGAAATTGGATGTTATCGATTTTTTGTTCAATGAATATTATGCTTTCGTTTCTCATTTGTTATATAATCTGTATGTTGTTGTTGTATATCAACTTTCTACCTCTTGACCGTTTTGGGAACAGCATCGCACTATCTCTCTAAAATCGCCGGGACCCTGTATATCCAGTCTCCTTTCTAGGTTTGTATATCATAGGGTACAAATTTGAATCTCGGAATGAGATTTTTTATTCATAATGCTGAAACTTCATAGCTTTTTGACAGTGTTGCCTCAGAGGTGGCATATGGAGTTAGTAATAAGGCCTACACACCCCAACGAAGTACATCCACTACGATTCTGTTCACTTTCAGACTGATTCTGACATGCCTGTGGATGAACGATTGGCGAGAAGCGTAGCTTTAGAACAAGCTTATGTACACGACGTCTACGAGGAGTTCTATGACAACCCCAGAAGCAAACCCTGGGTCAAGGTCGAAGAGTTTCTCAACGAATTGGAACCGGGTTCCATCATCTGTGATGTTGGTGAGTACCTATATAGAGGTACCCATACAACACGGGATATCCTATGGACGTCCAAATCATGTCCAATTCATGTCGGGATATCCTTGGACCTTTTTGGATATCCATAGGATATCCAAAATTCACCCGCGCGGATATAATCAATGTAATAAATTGTGAATATGAATTAAATTGATGAAAATTCAAATCTATGTGTGTACATAGTTATATTACTAGGAAATATATAATATATCGAATATGGAATTTTTCAACGTCTTCTTGGATATCCAATGGATATCCATGGGATATCCTGTATTGGAGCATTGAACCACGTCGTTGAACAATAACGCCCAGAATAACATAGAGATGTCGACAAAGTCGGCAGTGTCGGACTCACCAAACATATTTTGGATGTCCATGTGGGTCCCATATATTTAATAACAACTATATGGGTAACGTCCTATCCTTTCCTTGTTCAAAATTGAAGCCAGTTTTGAGAAACAAATGACAGTCTGCGAGACAATGAATAATCATACGTTCACTCGCCAGCTAACAGATGCGCATAGAACAGAGTAGAACTGATGTCGTTTATTGTGTGTTCGGCTCATGCGCCTTAGTATCAATTTGCCCGTAGACTGTCTTTTGTTATCAATTTTTTGGCTTCAATTCAGAGATCTTGTCACCCATATAGATGTTATTAGATATATGGTGGGTCCATGACGCGAACGCAGACTACAGAACTCAAATAAGTTCTGACTTCTGTGCCACTGTCATTTTCTATCCAATGTGACTTGTGACAGTTGTGACTGTGACCTGAGAGTCCTGAGACTGTGACAATAAAGGTCAACAGCATCAGAGCATCAGCACGCATTACGCATCAGACTGTTCTCATATTTTATCTGAATGTTGATATCAATGATATCTTGATTTGATTATTTTTGTCGTTGTTTGAGATTACCCAAAAGTTCTTGAACGATGTTCTATGGACGTCATTGAAGGATATTTTATGGACGTCCGTGAAGGATATCCTATGGACGTACAAGTTGGTGGCCTCAGGACATCCATTGGACGTCCATGGGATATCCATTGGACGTTATTTGGATGTCCATTGGATATCCAAAATATCCTGAATGGATATCCTATGGACATCCATCGGATGTCCATGTGTTGTATGGGTATATATTATACCTGAATTAATTTTTGCTTCTCTTCTTACGCGTTTGATGTTTTGATGTTGTTCGATACGTCGGGGATATATAGTGACGTCAGTTCTTATGCCGCTTCATTATTGGTCAGATAATCTTCCATTCCCACTCATGACGCAAGGTTGTCAAGTCAACAACTATAATCAAGTTATTAAAAAGTCGTTAGAGACCTGTCGTTGAATATAAAGCTTTATGAATTGAATATTACACATTAACATACAGAGTGTTAATTATTTGGGTACCGATAAAATGTGAATCCTTGGGTGATTTCAAGAAGAATAGTTCATATCACCATATATCGTATTTCTCGCAGCTATAAGCATGTGTTGAAGTTTTGAAAAAAAAAGATATTTCTATCATAATTTTCAATCACTCTCAGATGTTCTTATGAAATTCCATACACGCCTTCTCATCATGAAGGAACATATTTTGACGAGAAAGATTTTTTAAAATTTTCACCAGTGACATCCGTACGGGGTTTGAAATGAAAATGTTTCAAGAAAAAAAATGGTACGCCAGTGATTTTTCTGAAAACCAAAATCATTTTTGAAATTCTCATTAATTTTGGAGTGCATTTGATTTCTAAACTTACTTTCATATGACGTACCGTTTTCGCGTAAAAAAATTAAAACCAAAAGATGTTTTCTGTTCAGTTCATTGAGATTGTTTTTGGTATTTTGTTAAAATTTTGACCCACCATGAGTGAAAACACATTTTGTTTTGGGACGAATGGTACCCTCACCCTGTCGCCTAAAAACTAAAATGTTTAGGACATAATATGTTGATTATTAATTAACACAGCAGTATAACAGGTAAAATTGCAGAACAATAATTTTTTATATCTAATTCAGAATATTACCAATACATATTTGGGAATTCATGAATCATTTAATAAATAATATTTCTGAAGTTCCCATTCGTATTTCAACATATGGCAAATGTGCTGTGACGTCAGTTTTTAGCTGCGGTAAATTTCTATAGCCGTTTGAAAACCGTGGCAATATTGATGATTTTAGCACCTTAAAATCAACCGAAAAATTTTAAAAAAATATGGAATTGAAAGGTAATTGAGTAATGATTCTATTTAAGAAATAAAAAGAATGGTCTACTCGTCTACTCAAGCAAAACACCCTGCATTGTTGAAGAGACTAGAATGATGTTTGTGGGAGCTTGATGTTAAATCATCTGCAAGCATAATGGGAAACAAGATTTGCTATAAAAACGGATTATTAATGTTTGGATTCCATTTTTGTTGAATTGGGCAATTATATTGTAGAGTCCTTCAGATCCACATTCAATTTGATACAGAACATTACGCCAACTTATTCTGATCAAACATATACACGGTGTCCCATAATAACGTTCGTATCCTCCGGGAGGTGATTGTACAATTATTGTACATGTGGAATTGAGAAAAAATTTTATTATCAACATATGTCCGAAAGTGCTTTCTAATGGCGCTACAGCCATTTGAACATAAGTAAATGCAGATTCAAGGGGTGATTCTTTGATTTCTTAGCTTAGCAGTAAATTCAAAATTGTTTTATTACCAGGTAATCTCACTGAATTTTTTCCTCATGAAATCACTGATTGCAAAAGCCATCACATTACTGAGGAAAATTCATTCGCTAAAAAGAGGTCATGTATTTTTTTCTTATCAAAAAGTTGTTTACCTAAGTGAAGAAATGATTTGGTGATCTGTCTTATTTTTCATTTCAGGATGTGGTAATGGAAAATACCTCAACGTGAACACATCAATTTTCAATATAGGAGGAGAAAAATCGAACAGACTGAGCGAAGTAGCAAGAGAAAAAGAAAATGAAGTAAGCAAAAAAAATATGTTAACCTACAAATTTTTCTTAATTATAGAATAAATACCGATGGTTAATAATATAACTGCTCATGCTAGACCCGATAGGTTAGATCACATTACTTATTGCATCTACAAAATAAATCCTTGAATTCATTGGAAGAGCGCTAGAAAGTCAGAAACTTTATACCTTTCTATAGATACTTTTGGTGAAACAAGCTGAACAAGCTCACTCAGCATCTTTCTGTCATCAACCTCGAGATATGTCCAACAACTCTCTATCAAAACTTGTTCTTACGCTTCAGTAAAAACCTAGTTGATTCCTAATAAAAGCATTTCTCACTCACATGATAACAGTTCTTGGAATGCTACAGTGTTGTTTATTATAGGTGATCGTTCTGGACAATCTGGCTCTCCCCTTCCGGGATGAGAGTCTCGACGCTGTGTTATCTATAGCAGTAGTTCACCACCTTGCCACCACCGAAAGACGTATATGCGCTTTGAAGGAGCTCGCCAGAGTATTGAGGATCGGAGGTCGCATCATAATCTCTGTTTGGGCTATGGAACAAAGTCACAGGAGGTTTGAACCACCCGTTGGGCGCCACAAGTTTTTGGCGCCCAACGTGATGAGACCATTGTGCTGATGAGAATATTTCATTTTTCGCAGGTTTGAGTCGCAAGATGTTTTAGTCCCTTGGCGTCGGCCGAGACATATTAGCACCCCATCCCTAGAGCTAACGTCTACAACAACCAATTCAGAGGATGACGGGCAGCCGGCCTACCACGCGTACACTCAAACCTCCGACAGTGACTCAACCAGGTCGATGAAGTGAGTTGAAAACAATATCTACCATACTCCCAACCTCTCTTTGCTTGACGAATTTGTATTCATTAACTGATGATAAATTGAACTATTTCGCAGATCGAAAGGGTCGACTTTCCGCAAGAAAGGCAAAACCCGCACCAAGGGCCGGTCCATCGACCCGGGCCGAAGCTCTTCACAGAGCAGTTCCAGCCTTTCCAGCCCGAACGAAACCTGCTACAGCTTCGTTCGACGGGCCATCCAGAAGCTAGCAGGCAGTCGAAGAGTGGGTGCTCATCGGCCGTGGTTCCTCGAGAGCTGGACGAATTGCGCTAAAGAGCCACAGCCTAAAAAGTACGACCTAAACGGCTGCGATTGCTGCGACTGCATGGAGAACGCGCAAGACATTCCCATAGAGCTGAGGAGGATAGACGACGAGGAGCTGCCTCAGCGAAGACAGACTTTCCCATCGTCACAGCTTATAAACGAAATAGCGCACTTGAAGTCGAGGAGCATGACCAATATGAAGGCAGCCGAAGAAACAACAGCTAGTGAAGCTGAGAACCAGAGCAACCCCACCGTTAAGAACAACGACATACCACCAGAAGAGCTATCCCTGCCACCGCCAAAGACAACGCTGAAGCCTAAACCGAAGCTGGTGAAGCAGAAGAAATCGATGTGCGAAGAAGATGCTGACGAAGCTCTGGACCAACCCACGGATATGGAGAACTTAGTGCATCTTCCAGAGTTGAGAACTTCTCTAGGAAGACTACAACGTGGAAGTGTACTCAAACAGAGATCGCTGAATGAAGAGCTGATGTCGACTGATAGGATGCAGGAGAAGGAGAAGCTCAGAAGGAATATCCAAAAGCAGGCTTCGCTGAATGAGGATTTGATCTATCAGCGATCGCATGCCTTCGACAATTTCAAGGACTCATTATTTTATGTATCTACTTCCAAGCGCTTCCAACTCATCAAAACTGGATTTACGAACAAGTTCAAGAATTCGACGACCAATATCGAGAAAGTTACTGGATCTTCACTGAAAAATGGTAAGAAAAACATTTTATACACAGACACTAGTGATACCGATGACTCTGTTTTCCATTTTTCTAGGATTTGTCAGAATTTTCCAAAACTGGAAAAGCGCTGATCTAATCTCACCAACGATTCCTGAAGACGAACCGTTAGAGAACTTGAAATTGCCGTCTGCGCCCTCTGTCGATGACAAAAAAGAATCTGATGGCGAAAGAAGGCCCTCCAAAGAAGATGGTTCCGATTCCTCAAAAGACAGCAGCTTGCAGAGCGATACCAGCGTAGACTCAGAAGATTCCTTCGCTTCAGTAATCTTCGTCCCCAAATCTGACCCCATGTCCCCCACGAATTTCTCCCCAGGACCCACATCTCCTCGTTTGAAAACCAGCTCGGTACCCAACTCCCCTAGAATCAAACAATCGTCGTGTCCAACCAGTCCTAGGATCAAACAAACACCTCTTATGGTGTATCCCTTGACGAAGCAGCAAAGTTCTCCCAAGCCATCAACAGAGTCTTTGATTGACAAATCCGAACGGGACCATATCATCGAAGAAACAGTGCCTAAGGATCCTAGCAAAACCTTAGTCCAGAAGTACTCTGTCCCACAAATACCCAAGTTCATCCGTACTAGCTTGAATACCCCGAGTACCAATATCACTCCACCTAGCCCTGAAAAACCACTAGTACCAGCAGCACCATCATCCCTGGACGTAGAGACAAGAAATGAAAGACTGAAGAAGATTAAAGAACTCCTCAATCAAAAACCGGAGCTCTCCAGCAAAAAGTCCAAGTTCCCAATAGTACGCCAAACCTCAGTCACTAACGGCAAAGTGGAAGCTATCGCCAAGCCCTTACCCAAGCTTCTGACCCTCGAACTCTTTAATCCCGAAACTGACGATAAAGATAGCGACTCAAGCTGTGTATCCTCACCAGACTCAGTAGATAGCGTTATTAGTATTAACAGAGAAAGAAAATCCCAGGCAAACCTGCCGTTCAAGTTCCCAGCGACGAACGACAAGCGTCATGCGAAGATGAGCTTGCTAGAAGCTGCAGCCGACGTGGCTCACACTCTAGACGAAGCTGTGGACAAAGTTATCAAGTCCAGCCCGAGGAGGAAGGCGATGCTGAAGACAGGCGACGTTCTTTCCATACTACAACGAAGGTACTCGGCTGACACCACTCCCCTCTTGGGAGAGGAGTGCGCAGAGAATTGGGACGAAGATTGCACAAAACACTTGACCGACTTCGCGGACAAGCTCAGCGAGAAGCTGCTCCAGGAAATCGATCAGTACCAGGTGAAGACGAGGCTGTGCAACTCCAACTACAACTTCGACGATCCCTACATCAGTCGGTTGAGCGAGGAGTTGGATGACCTTTCGAAGCTGAGCGCCGAGATCCAGAAGCAGAACGAGTACTTGTCGAAGTTGAGTGATAGTGATAAGTTGTTGGGGAAGAAACCTGCCAAATGCAAACCCAGTGAGTGTGAGTGTGTTAGAACTAGGAACGTTAACGAAGTGAACAACGCGAAACCATCGGTCGTCGATAGTGAGTGTTCCGGTCACAGGGGAGGTGGTAGTAACCATAATGGGGAAGAATCTGTGAGGAGTACGAGTCGTCCTTGCGGAGGGAGTGCTGAGGGCGAGGTAGGTGTTCTATCGAAGATGTCTTCTAGCACCAAGCCGACCATTAGGTTGGGAACCTCTTCCGACTCCTGTGATTCTGAAAAAGGTGAGTCCATATCATATTCGTGTGAATAATCATCTAGAAAATGCATTTTTCACTGACAAGTGTAAATGACTTCAGAATTTTTATAATTAGTGGATGAGTCAGCATCATACATATGTTTCTTAGAAGATACATGAATAAAATACAGCAGCCACTAATGACAGTTGAATAGTTGTGGAGATAAAAAATGGAGAAAGGTATCTATTTGAAATCAAAATTAATGATCAAAAACAACAAGTCGTTAATCGTGTCACATCCTTCTCAAATAGATACTAAGATACTCAATGGGTATTTCAATTTGAACAATGTGTATTTTTTTCTATCGAATGATGAATACAAATTCTATTTGGTGAATGAAACTGTGATACATTTTAGATAAGGCACCACGTAGGGCGCCAAATTGTTTCTATACGATGAGCTCTCATCAATACTATCGATAGTGATTCTGTGAGAAACCAACAAAATCGAATGTTCGATAGTATTGTGAGCACGAATTGTATTTAATGTGACAATTCCACGATCTATATTTAACTGTCATTTCAATGTCATACCAGGTGACAAGATGTTGTTCTATTTAGATTTGTGGTTGCCGTGACGACGTGGTCTCACCGATTCGACAGCAACATACTATCAATAAGGCACAATGAGGTTGTAATTACACACTAGTCTACACAATAATCAAAATAAATAATCACCCCTGTTAAACGCTATAGTCTTATTGCTAAACAACTAATGAGAATATTTCCACATTATACATAGAAATGAGAATCCACTTCCACAGTAGAAGTGTAATAAAATACACACAATACATAATAAGTCGTATGGTACATAATTGCAATGTATTGATCATGGTATATCATGTCGTCACATGTTATGAAATATCCTATATTTCGATATTTATTTAAAAAATATACAAATCTCTCAGCAGAAACCGGTTTTCAACAGTGAGCAAATTTGTTATTACTTCAAAATGATGAAATGATATTTGTTACTGAAACCAGTCCATTCTGCTTGGTTCTTATATCGCAGATCGCAGTTTCATATACGTCGTGGAATTTTCAGAAGATTAAAGTAATATATCTAAAGCATTAATAGTGCATGTGGACTCTGTTGAAAGTGTTGAAGTTATTGCATCAACTCCAAATTCGTGAAGGTGATGAAGGTGTCACATTGAGATTTTCAAGGTATTGAACATACGTTTTTCCCTAATCACATATCAAATGAGTAACCTATTTGACGAACATATACATTCTGAAATAGTTTTCAGCTAACGCCTCTTTTTGGATGCCAACAAATGCATTCTATTGATCTTCAGTGGTATTGGGCGAAGTTAAAACATTGATTTATCGAACAGCGACTGCAAAATAGATAACAGCGGTGGCCCCACGTTGGGCGCCAAATTCATTCCATCGATCTCACCATGAACAATTTTCAATTTTAGGCAGCAGCACGAACTCCATGGTATCGAGCGTGGCGACCTCCATCAACTTCGGCCCCTCCATCGAGTCAAACGACGGGTACTCGGGGGAATCCCACAAGGACACGAACTCGATGAGCCGGCACAGCGACGGTGGTAGCACAGCCTCCCTAAACTCCTTTCCCGACTGGAAAGCAGCCAGAAGGCCCGATTCGAAAGCGGAAAGCACCCTGAGCCTGGACAGCCCCAGGCGCCAGGAGACCAAGGGGCTGATCAGCGAAACGTCCGAAGACAGCCTGCCCACTGACAACATGGGGGGCGAAATCACCTACCACAGGTACTACCATGTTTTCAGGGAGGGGGAGCTGGACCAACTGATAGAAAAATACGTAGAAAATTTGCATATTATATCCTCGTACTACGATCATGCCAGCTGGTGTATCATTGCCGAAAAGGTCCACGTGTGGACCATCTGACCTGTTAACTATTGTAATCTAGTCAAAGCACAATGTATATACAGAATTTTCTTCATAGGGAGGCGTTTGTGAATGCAGGCTTTTTTTTATATTCAGTCTGAATATCTGTTCTTCAGCATTTTCTTATAATTGCTAATAAGGGTGGGGCATAGGAATGGAGTGTTTTTGGTTTGGGTGGTACTCGGCCATTAAAAAAGGGCGGAGCGCGTGCTTTATTACAATCTATTCCTCGACTCGAAGCGTCGAAGCTCAGTTGCCACTTGGCATCATGGAGCGGTGGACGCTATGCCTATGCTCTTACTTACAGTATTCTATTGTACCTCTCAGAAGCTTTGGTTAGGAAAATAGCAAGTCTTTCTTTGGTCAGTGTGTTTTTCTTGCATACTTCTAAATGAAGGGGCATAGGAATCAAGTATTTGTGAAATAACAATAACGAACACGCGTCTAGCGTCCACCGCTGCATGATGGCAACTGTGAAAATGAAATGCTTCGAGTCGAGGAATGGATTTCCTAATGGTCACGAGTACTAACCAAACCAAAAACACTTGGTTCCTATGCCCCACCATGTACTGTTGAATCGCACTAAGAGGAATGCCTAAAATATGCTCCTGGAGCAGCAAGATAGACAAGATATGGATATGTATGGAGTTCATTGCAAGTTTTGAAGGCTTAAGCGAGGTATCTTATACCAACTCAATTTTTATTTTTAACCGTCTGAATGATCAAGCTTGTCTAATTCGTTTCTCAACTAGAGACTTCATCAGAACCTTAAATTTTCGTGTTTTTATCGCCCGCCGAGTGTGAATTCGAGATAATAATAACCGCCTTAGGGGAGCAATGAAGCAAATAATGATGTCATATATTATAATGAACATAAAATAATTGTGAAAATGGTTTCTATGTATGAACATAAACAATATATTCTGGCTATTACCGTGAAACTCTTCGCAAAAACCTGAGAAAGCATTATATTTTTTCGAGACTTTTCGGGCATACCTATCTCGTTTATATTTGAGTGTATTGAGGCCTCTGGCTGTTATTTCTACCAAGCTACAGGAGTTTTTCTAATTCTAACATATTATATTCAAATCCACCACTACCCTTCCACATGATAAAATTGCTGAGATATTAGAGATTTTTTCCAGAGGGTATTTCTTATTTACGCCCAACTCATCATCAGGGTGTCGCATTCAAAAACTAAACCAGAACCAGACCCTCTTGATATCGTAAACAATTTCAATCTAGGTACTGTTCAATGCTGTAATAAACTCTTAGAAAATAAAGATTATGCTGAAATTGAACGAATATTTTGACATTAATTTATTAAATATCAATAGAAATTTCTTTGTATTTCAATTCGCCGCCTGCATTAGTCTACTAGAAGTTTATACAGTCGTGATGCTCTATTATTTTTTCTTATATTCCAAATGTTAAGCTCAAAATCTAGTGAAGATTTTCGTATATGTACCTAATCTATAGTTAGCTGATAATATTAGTTGTTATATTTTTTATACAAATGAAATTATATCAAGCAAACCACCATTACCAATACAATCTATGTTTTAGTTTCAAAAGCTCATTCAGAACGTTAATTTCAATGAATTCGATTACTTATAGAAATCAAATTTTTATTTTGAAATCAAGAAGAAATAATAAAATCCATATGTCTACATAAAAAATATCCACAAGGCTGTTGGATTTAGTTGAGAGCAGTTTTTTTTTTCATCAGATTTTCATCAATTATTTTCATATTTTTATTGTTTCACGCTGTTTGAAAGATAAATTGTATTTGTAGTGGTGTGATTAAAAGATCTTGTTGAAGGTGATTACCTACTTAGAAAATGACAAATATAGCAAAATGTTGGCAGAAATTACTTATCGTTAATATAAATATTGTTCCATTCATTAAAAAACAATAATAAATAGCGCTATAATTAGGTTTTTTCTATCACGTTCTCATTGGTATAAATATATGATTATCCATCATATCTCAAGAATGTATTTAGCAAATACTATCAATAACTATATCTAGCCTCAAATTTGTGCTATCTTTTGAAAAAAGTTACAAGTTACAGAACTAATTTTTTTTTTTTTTTTTTTCGAAAAATGTATGAAAGTGAGCTACCTACTATATAAAAGAAACATTTGGGAAAATTCACAAATATATCATATATACCAGTCTGATAACGGATTATTTACTTGATTAGTGAGTGGAACAATCGTGTAGAAATAAGTATCTTTTCATAGTTTTACAGCAGCTATCATGCTATTTTCATCATATCTTTATCGAGAAAAGTTGGTAAAAATGTTAACAGATTTCAGAAATATGCATAATAATTGAAAACTTTTTGTTGAATACACTGTCATTATTTGTAGAAATCAGACAAATAATTGTACATACTTTACAATTTTCAATTTTATTCTGATACTTTCATTAATTTCTTCTATCAACCAACAAAAATCCCACAAAGATATAGGAGATTGAATTACAGATCAGATGCCACCTATTAAATGAGCATCAACTTCATTATAATCGAGTATTGAAAGACAATTCTATATATATTATGTTTTCGGAAAAAGTGCCACTTGAAAATGCATTTTTGAGTACCTATATGATAGTTATTGAATTGGTTGAAACATAATTCGATCATATGTTTCACGTTCTAAATGATTTTCCCTATCAATCATTATCTGAACTCCTATATTTTCAGTGCGATTTATGTATTATATATTGTAGGTTCGTTTGATTCAATTATCTATTAACTTCCATTTTGAGTTTGTCATTATATTGATTTAACTATACGAAAAAGTATTAAACTTTGTGCCTGTCTTTATATGAAATTTTGATATTTATAGGGTTTCAACGAATACTTGATGTGACAATGTAATTTCACTCCTTATAATTACTTACTATGAATACTAAAAATATATTTTACCTTGTTGTGTTTAATAAAAATATACTCAGAATATTTATTTTATTTTCTTGATTTGATGATTTAAGTTTAGGTTTCTTAATTCGCGGTCGACAAGGTCATTAGATGACGTTGCGATGACATTCAAAACTACTGGGGCTGGGGAACACCCTACCTGCCATATATTCAAAGTTAGACATGTTTTTTCGTAGTTTTTAATGTCATCGCAACGTAATTTAATGACCTTAGCGACCGCGAATGCATAACCAAAATTAAATACATTCAGACGGAGTGGTAGTCACAACCATTCACAACAAACGTGAATTTGGCCAGTACGGGCCAAACGAGTGTTTTGACTTTTGAGTTTAGACGTCCGTTTTGACATATCGAATACGAATAATACCTAATACCAGTAAGTTGAATGGAAAACTAAAAATGATCTTATTACATACTCTGAATATTTTTAGGAACCTCAAATATCTGAGAATGACTGGTAAAGCTGCTATTGAACGTATAAAAGAAAATGCTGAAGTTGCCAAAAACACCATTAATGAATTGAAAAATGAGGTAATGTTAGGTTAGGTAGAAAGAAGTAAAAACATTTTCAAATGTTCATTCCAGATGAATGTATTGAACAACGAATACAACACAATTTTGGCACAGCAATTACGTGAAGAAAATGCACAGTTACTTGCAGCTGTGGAGGCAGCAAAAAACAAACTTGTTCAACTAGAGTTACAAAAGGGCATAAAGCAGACACCTCTTCCAAACCAGACTATACTACAAAGCTCAGTGATTGAACCACCAGCACCAGCCCTTAGTACTGCTACTCATACAACTCCAGATTCATCTGCCAAACCCAAAAAAGACAAAAAACCCAAACCTCCAAAGGAAAAGGAAGCAGCTGCTGTTGAACTTCCAGTAAATATTGGTAGACTGGATTTGCGAATTGGCAAAGTTGAAGCTGTTCAAAGACATCCTGATGCAGATGCCTTGTATGTATTGAAAATTGATTGTGGAGAAGGAAAGCCTAGGACTGTCTGTTCAGGACTAGTGAAATATGTGCCTATTGATGAGCTCAGAGATAGGACAGTCATTGTACTATGCAATTTGAAACCTGTCAAGGTCAGTATATTGCTTTGGAAAACATGGTTCTTCACTGAAAAATTGAAAAATATATTTGTCAGCTGTACTAATTTATTTTTATACCTTTTGGTCTTCAAAATTTGCTTGAGTGATTGACCTCAAATTCTGAATGAGAATTTCAACTGATCAATGTTTATTGACAAACTAGCTTCCAGTCAGAAATGAAATTCTGGTATGAGGAAGTTGATTATGATTGCAAACAACAATGATAAAATAACATAAGGTGACACCAACAACAACAAAATCTAAATGCTTAATCACTCAAGTTATAAAAACAGCAACAGGGGCTAATCAGTAGATGGCAAAGTATCAATTTTATCCATTTCCTAATAAAATCTTGTGTTTTTTCAATTCAATTTTAAATTTTTTGTCTTCAAAATTTGCTTGAGTGAATGACCTCAAATTCTGAATGAGAATTTTAACTCAATGTTTATTGACAAACTAGCTTCCAGTCAGAAATGAAATTCTGGTATGAGGAAGTTGATTACAAACAACAATAATAAAATAACAAGGTGACAACAACAACAAGAAAATCTAAATGCAAAATCACTCAAGTTATAAAAATAGCAACAGGGACTAATCAGTAGATGGCAAAGTATCAATTTTATCCATTTCCTAATAAAATCTTGTTTTTTCAATTCAATTTTGAATTTTTTGTCTTCAGAATTTGCTTGAGTGAATGACCTCAAATTCTGAATGAGAATTTTAACTGATCAATGTTTATTGACAAACTAGCTTCCAGTCAGAAATAAAATTCTGGCATGAGGAAATTGATTACAAACAAAAATAATAAAATAACAAAGTGACAACAACAACAACAAAATCTAAAAGCTAATTCACTCAAGTTATAAAAATAGCAACAGGGGCTAATCAATAGATGGCAAAGTATCAATTTTATCCATTTCCTAATAAAATCTTGTGTTTTTTCAATTTAATTTTAAATTTTTGATCTTCAAAATTTGCTTGAGTGAATGACCTCAAATTCTGAATGAGAATTTTAACTGATCAATGTTTATTGACAAACTAGCTTCCAGTCAGAAATAAAATTCTGGCATGAGGAAGTTGATTACAAACAACAATAAAAAAATAACAAAGTGACAACAACAACAAAAAAATCTAAAAGCTAATTCACTCAAGTTATAAAAATATCAACAGGGGCTAATCAGTAGATGGCAAAGTATCAATTTTATCCATTTCCTAATAAAATCTTGTGTTTTTTCAATTCAATTTTAAATTTTTGGTCTTCAAAATTTGCTTGAGTGAATGACCTCAAATTCTGAATGAGAATTTTAACTGATCAATGTTTATTGACAAACTAGCTTTCAGTCAGAAATTAAATTCTGGCATGAGGAAGTTGATTACAAACAACAATAATAAAATAAGGAAGTGACAACAACAAAAAAATCTAAAAGCTAATTCACTCAAGTTATAAAAATAGCAACAAGGGCTAATCAGTAGATGGCAAAGTATCAAATTTTATCCATTTCCTAAGGAAATCATGTGTTTTTTCAATTTAAATTTTGAAATATGTCTGCAATTTTATGGAATAAGTTTAATTGTCTCCTGTGATCATGAATTTCTGAGTTTTTCATCAAAACAAAATTGGATTTCACATTATTGTTTATGATATTATATGAAACTTTAAGAGAATCTATTTTATACAATTCATCCAATGGACATTTGTTGGGATATCACATGAGAGACCATACAATACTTCTACAGAGATTTCTTATAAAGTGCAGATATTTTACTGAAATAATTTTGTATTCCTGGTCATCAAGGTCATCATGTGGCTTACATTGAAAGTTAGATATGTTTTCCCCTAAAGTTTAGTTTTCATGTCATCACACCATCAAATGATGACCTTGACCGACAAATAGGCAGCATCTGGAGTTTTCAAACATTTAGTAAGTAAGTAAGTATTTATTTTTCATAAGACTTGCACAACAATTATAGAAATTGTCAATTTAGGATAAAAACAGTAATAATATTCAAACTAGACACTAGCCCAAGATCTGGGAGAAAAAAAAAACAAACATTTGTATTAGTTGACATTGAAATCTAGTTGTATATGCTTTCCCAGAAGAACTGAGTTTGAAATGAACATTTAAATTTGGACTGCAAATTGTTAGGCTTTGAACTACTACAATAGTCATACACATTTTCATCATGAATTTTCATACAAATCAGACAAGAAATGACTAAATCGTCCGCCATTTTAGAGCCGCCATGATGCATTTTCAAATTACCACTGAAAACTCATATTCCTGAACCACATTGAAACTGTCAGGCTACAGAAATATATTCTCATGTGAGTTCTTATGAGAATCGGCTATGAAATGATCAAAATCGCACACCATATTGAAGACACAATCCTGCATCCCAAATTGATTTTGACTAAAAATTTGTTGTTATCCTCAATCCAGAAACTCCTCAGCTATGAATCTTCAAACATCCTTCAAGCTAGCAGTGTTTCAATTCTCTCTTATCATTTTATAGAGAGATATTCATTGCACTTTGATTTATTAAGCAATTTGCGGTAACCCTTTGTGACATGTCTAACTTTCAATCTATGACAGGAGCAAATTTGAATCAAGAACCTGCAATGTGATTGGTGACGCTGAATTTCAAAAACATTCGACGTGATGAAGTTAAAATAACTTTTTGGCATTGCTGCTTAGTGTTGAGGTGAGGTTATGTTCCAGAAACCTTAATATTCATTATCAATTGCTCACACTGTACACATCCCTACTAATTTTATAAATGTGAATGTAAGTTTGTTTGTCGGTCTTTCACGCTGAAACTACTCAACCAATTATCATGAAACTTTGTATACTCATTCTTAGATGTATTAGAAAGGATACATAGGATACTTTTTATAGATAAAAAAAAATTTTTTTCACGGGTGGAAAATATAATATCCAACAATCAGACATGAAACTCTAACGTCGGTACCTTAGATATTAATTATTTAATTATTAGATTACATCTTTTGGGACTCTTAAGTCTCGGATTATTTAGAAGAAGAAATGAAAATGACAAATATCTAACCAAACATCGGATGGGCACTTTGAAGGCGCAAATTCATTACTGCGTGGGAGATACCCTTCCGATTTTTTGCTATTCAGTAATTTGACCACGAATTCTGCGCATCCAAAGTGTGTGAATTCAATACTACCTGAATTGGCCCATCTAGATACAATACATAGATGTTCATGTTGTAGTGAAATACATTTAAACTTTTGTGAAGTAAATTATTTCACAAAATGCATGTTTTCAGTTTTTGAAACTTCCTTGTATTTAGTATTTTTTAAATACTGAATCAGATTATTCAGTTCTATTGGAATGTAATGATCTTTGATATTTATTCAAGTACTTCAACACGAGCAAAGCCGTTGGTAAAAGCTAGTATATTGTATAAATATTATACTTGAAAAAGCTACTGTGTTAGCAAAACAGGTCCACCATATTGAAGACGCCATCATGCATTTATTCATGAAATACACACATTTGATGTAGTATTTGTTCACTACTATTGATTTGTGTATTTTCTGTGAATAAACATGTTCATCACCGATTACCTGTTAAATTCCAATTCTTTCCACAAGAAAATAAAATATCTTTGAATTATGGGATATTTCGCCTTCCTATAATCTTCATCCAAGGATTAGTTTCCTTGCTTGAATTGAATTGAAAAATTGTTTCTGCTGGCTAAATGGAGGACGAAAAATAATGAATTCATCCGCCATCTTGTAGCGACCATATTGAGTCCATCAATATTTTTTTTAAAATACACTTACTGGCAGAAAAAACCGGCCACCAAAAAATTTTTCCAAATCGTTCGCCCTGTAACTATTTTAATTCTTGTCCGATTCTGGTGAAATTTCGACCAAATCGTATATTCATGTTTCGGAATGTTAGCCTGAATATTAGGGCCTGAGAGGAGCTGACGGCTTGATCATTATACAGGAAAAAACAAAAGCTACTTTTTCACCCTCATCTTCCTAACGCCGTGTGGAAAAGGTAAGTCGATGAACTTAGCTTCATTAAGTTTTGGATCGAAGTGTGATCCCTTCTTAACAGAATGATTCTTGATTCACGTCGATAACCACTTTTAAAGAGAAGATACAAGTGTTTTAAGAAAGTATGGATTTTTATTATTTTTATTAAAAATGATGCAGAACCATTCTCCAACCTTCCGCTTCATCTTGTTTTGAATTGAATTGTGATCCTTTTTCGTCCCTTCTTAACACAATGGTTATAGATTCACGTCCATACCTTCTTTTCAAGAGATTATACAAGTGCTTCAAGAAAGTATGTTTTTTTTTATTATCCATAATTATTCAGAACCTATAGAACATCTTAGTGATGAACTTTAGAGGCTCATTCGTGTTCATCCCACCTTGTTAAGACACTTCAAGAGCTACGATTCGCCCTTCAAGGATAATTTCAAGCAATTCTTTAAGACCACTTTAGAAATTTTATCAACTCTATGCTACGTCGGTTGAATGTTGTGAATCAAACTCGAGGAGGCCAAGGAGGGCATACTCGTTATTGACTATACAGATCTAAAATTGTTCTAAAATTGTTCTATCCGTCATTCGGTTGCCCCCTTACGAGCAACCCTCAGAAGTCTTCGAAAGACTTGTGCGAGCAAGGAATGACGGGGGCCTTACCTTTTAACGTGTGATCCCAAACACTTTCTTAGGCCATCAGAAAAAGTCTGCGTTCGTGGGTCTCGAACCCACGATCGATACCTCGACGTGAATCGATATTGAAGCATCGAAGCACTGAGGTACGCCGGCCTATATCTGCTTTGTTTGTTTTTTGTAAATATAGTAATTTTCCTAACAAGTGCGGAAAGTGATTCTTTCCCGCACGTGACTGCCGTTGACACGAACGACGCGAAGCGGAGTTCGGGCAAGCAGTCGAGTGCGGGAAAGACACTTTCCACATGAGTTAGGAACAATATTTTTTCTACAAGCGTAGGAAATTGATTGAATCGTTCAATTAATTATTCAAGCAATTAGGAACAACTAACAGGAGATATAAATATATTCTCTATCTATTAATTATTAGTAATAGCTATTGTGAACTTACAGTTTGACGCATTATGTTGGTTCATTGCAGAAGCCGGCAGGCCCATTAGGAGTTTGGTCTCTAAGTTCCAGACACTTCTATGAAATGAGCCAAAAATACCTATTCTTCATTCGGTTTTTTCATTTCTTTATTGTTGCACCATTCAATAAAACGCGTGTATAGCTTCTCATACCTTTTCTTAAGACTTCGTTGGTGATAACGCATCTGTATCAAATCCCTATAGCTAGAAGTTTTTGATCACATTGTGGCATTTCCACTGAATCGAAAATGACAGTAACGCTGTGTCTGTCACTTCGACAATTTCAAACTTATTTGAGGTTTGATTGGCATGACAAATTGACGTTCCCCGTCAGATCAATCCAAATCTATAGGGGGATTTTTATAATAATCAATTTTTATTTCTCAATATTTCTTAATTTTTACAATGAATAGTGCAATTTGATGGATGATTCTGAACATACATACTCAATACTGCAACAAACAAACTTAAACTTTTATATTTCATCACCAGCCACTTATATTACTAGCGATTTCATCATATCTTTGTTTTCCCGCACTGTTGCGGGAAAATGACACTTCCCAAACAAAATTGCGTGCGGGTATAGGGTGAATCACGCACGCTTGTAGAAAAAGAATTTTTCCGGTAAGTGGTGAGAAAAGAAGGTGTAAATGAGCAACATAAATTCTTCAAGTTGTTAATCGATAAGTTTATGTAGGTTCTGATTATTGTTGATGGAAATTGGAAATTGCCATAATTTGTTGAATCACTCTCAAACCTAAAATATTGACGTGAAACAAAAACTATTGTGTTATGAAGGGATCACACTCCAATCCAAAGCATAATGAAGCCAAGTTCACTATATATTATGAATTGAATACTTGTCTCATTTATTGATGAGACAATTTTCCCTTGTGATAATTTGATATTGTTAAATATTTATTGACCTATGTACATTTATTTATTTTTTATCCTTACTACAAGGTTATATGTGTACCTATATATACAAAATGTAAATGTAACTTGTGACTTGTTTTATACCTTGTATGGTCTACAAAATGAATAAAGTTGAGTTGAGTTGAGGTTAACTTCGTAAGGTTTTTCCCAGTTTATTCAAATTACCTATATGTTTATTCCAATGTATATTTTGTAAACGTTTTTGAATAAACTTATATTATTATTATTATTATTAATAACTCAATTTCGCCACAGGGCGTTAAGAAATAAAGGGTGAAATAGTAACTTTGGTTTTTCCCTGTATAATGATCAAATCATTAGCTTTTCGCGAAAAATAATATTTTGGCCAACATTCCAGAATATGGATCTACGGTTTGATCCTAATTTCACAAAAATCGGACAAAGATTAAAAAAGTTACAGGATGGACAAATTTTTTGGTGGCCGGTTTTCTTTGCTGCTGAGTGTATATCAAGCATTTGTTTGAAATTTCAAAAAGTGTGGCAGCGCGGACCGACATTCGTTTGATGATCTATTCATCTGACTTTGCATAAACTATACTTTCTGTAGGGTGAAAATTTTTAGTGCCATTTATTTCCATAGACGATTGATTTCAGATGAGGGGAATCACCTCTGAAGCCATGGTGATGTGTGCCAGTAGCGATGCGGGGGTAGAAGTACTCACCCCTCCCTCTGACAGTTTGCCAGGGGACCTTGTCCATTGTGAAGGCTATACCAGACAGCCGGACTCTATAATGAACCCGAAAAAAAAGATTTTTGAAACCGTGGCTCCCGATTTACACACCAACAACGAGTTGCAGGCTTGCTACAAGAACGTGCCCTTTAACGTTGCTGGAAAGGGCTTTTGTACTGCTAAATCTTTGAGGAATGTACCAGTGAAATAAAAATGTTATTTATTATTATTATTATTATATTACTGAATGAAATTGTTTTCTACTAACAATAAAGCAGAAAGTTTCAATTTATTATAGGTATCACTCAATACAGTAACAAAGAATAGGAAGACCTAGTATTAAAAAGGTGTTGACACTAAAATGTGCAAGTATTTTGTTACAAAATATGTACAATTATACTATCGACTGTTTGTACAATCGTCTTGATAGTATGTAGTTTACCTGAGGAGAAAAGAATTCGTTAGCATTCGAATTTTTCTGAGAAAAAGCACAAGTAACTGAAAACCTGTAAATAGTCACATTTTCCCAACAATATTAAAACATGATGAAAGCACTGAAATTATAAGAATCCTGAGAGACAAGTTGGTGGTTCAGCAATCCCATAGATACATCATCATTTTGATATTATGTGATATAACTGCAGTAAATTTCCTGTTAACTTGCACCTTTTCCAAATGTTCGCTACCCTAATGCAACAATTAGGTCTACATGAGAAATAGTGATGTGGATTTGCGGCAAGAAAGCACTTTCATATAATATGAAAATTACATAGAAACACGACATTTGAACAAATGGAAGGACATTACGTGAGGATGCGCGAAATTGGTCATTCTCAAAGTCTACGAGCGGTCTAACTACAAGATAATCAAAACCGTAAACTAAGATATTCAATTTTATTCAGTAGTACACCTACCGCAATCTTGCCTCAACCGATCCTTATCTCATTCATGCTTCATTCTTAACTGAACTACATAACCCAATGTAGTTTAAATATATATCTATACCAACGTCGTTCGAGCATCTAACCTAACCAACATCATCAACTCACTCCTCTAACCCATCCTGGGTGCAAGCGACGGGTGTAAAAATATTTAAAATGGCCGCCGATGACAAACGATCAATGACACGTGACCTTCCGGTGCATCTATCATACATCAGTTGAACCTTACGAGTTGGCTATCGGCGGGGTCGGATGCACCGCGGAAGGTCACGTGTCATCGATTGTTTATCATCGGCGGCCATTTTGATCGTTTTACATTCCTTACTTGTACCGAAAGAGTGCATTCACCTCTGCAAGGTAAGTTTGAGGAGTGAGTTGATACTGTAGGATAGGTTAGATGTTTGAACGACGTTAGTACATCCAAACATGGGTTGCGTGCAAAATCTGTCTGGAGGTAAAACATTGAAACACAACCTCGCTCTTCTTATTTGTTTACAATTATTTTGGCATACGAATCGTGTATTTCGGCTATTCATTAATTCGAACATGCCTTCACATTATGGTGTTGTACAATGAACAAAAAATGCAGCGGGATACGAAGGAATCCGATTTTGCAGGTAGGTACATTGTGAACCAAAAGTACTATAGTCACTCACAAATAGATTTCATTTTGTAATGTTGTCATTTCTCGTTGGAATTTTTTCTGCAATAGGAACAAATAGAATTACTGGTGAAGTTTCTAAAAGAAGGCAAGAAGATTGGATTAATGCAATCAATCAAAAGGGGAGGTTTGGTCTGACATGCTGACGAAATATGATCGTGTGTGTTGTAGCAATTTTCATTCTATTAGCAGTATCAGCTTCTATTGCAGAAGTGCATTTTTTGTGCATTGTACATTTGCACAATGTGATGGCATGCTTGAATTAATGAATAACCCAAAAAACACGATTGTGATGTTGTGTTCCAATGTTTTACCTCCAGGGACGGTTATCGTGCACGCGACCTATTGGGATCGATTGAGGCGAGTGTGTAGGTGGACTAGTGAATAAAATTCATTCTTGTTATTGTCACGTCATCTCAGTTTGCGGTTCTTAAAATCGGCTTGCGATTAGACTGCTCGTACACTTCGAGATGATCTCAAGAACGACCATTTTCGTTATTTTGTACCTGAAATTTTCTTATTAGTAGAGACATTTGATAACGAAATGATATATGTCCCAAGGGAAAGTAAAAACATTGTAGTTTATCGAACGGCAGCTCTTGGACTATATGGAAAAAGTGGTATGTTTCAAATTATTCAAGGCCGGCCCAGTACGATATATGCACTATACATGTTGGTCGATCAATCAACTTCTCCAATAAGGCGATCACGTGCTATTCGTGAATTTAATTTAGTGTGAAAATTAGCATTTTCCTTCCCTTTGATGTGTATAGATCAGTGCGTGGAAAATATAGGTGCCTTGTTATCCATCACTTATCACAATGGGCCTTTCCAGTCATTTCTATAACAAATATATATCGAAATATATGGCTCTGGAATTACTTAAAATAATTTTTTGAGATTTATTTACCATCAATTCATCATATAAAAAATGATTGAAAACGCCAAAATGAACGAACGAATTCAAATGATCAGACTTGGCCGCGAAACGTGTGACGTCAGTGCGCGAGCGATTTGGATTGGTAATGCCACAGTAATGCTCTCACCTTCTCGCGGGTGCCAATTAAATGCAATATGGACTTGACAATGATGCCAATTTGTACAGAAAGCTATAATCAGTAGGATATGCATTTCTCCTTTTTTTTCATTTTAGGAAATAATACACTCATCGCCTTGAAAAAATTCCAATACCTACCTCCTCTCCCTATCATCCCTAGGTATGCATGATGTTCTTGAAACATTATAGGGATATCCTTTCGGGCGCTCCAAGCAATAAAAAAGATGCTGTTAGATAACTCAATAGTACCTACATACTTACCTGAAAATTCGTCGACTTTGGGTTTTTATCTATGAACTACACCACTCCACTTTGAGTTACCATGGACTTCTTCCAAAAATTAATTCCTACCTTATTTCCCTTGGTTCTCACGATGTTCTCTGAACATTACAGGATATCCCTTTTCGTAGAAACCAGAACATGAAAAAAGCTATACGTACCTACCTATACCTACCTACTAATACATACCTACTATATGGAAAGGACACATTTTGATTAATACATACTAAATTGCTTGTTTGATTCTATTTTCTATCACTGCCTTCTTGTCAATAATATTGAGAAATCAGATCAGTGAAGTTATGCGGAGGTATTTTCGCTTGGCAACATTGTGTTAGAGCCAATTGTTTAATCTCTTTCTCTTGTAAACTTAGTTGCCACATTAGCAATTACATTTTCCCTCCGGGAATGAGTACTTGAGATATAGTAACACTATTCAATGGGTTGATTATAACAATTAGTCAACAAAATCATATCAAATCTCAAACCAAAACATATGAAAAGCGTCTTATTTACTGTTAGATGCCTATATCACATTTTATCCTAGCTAATCTTGAAACTAATGAAATATTTCGGAGTGTAGAATAAATCGAATGTGATCAGCAATCAACTAATCGTCAACTACATAGCAATCATGACATTCTTTGCACCACCAATCAATCAATCATCGATCAATTCAAGGATTTCATAGAGACCTGGCAACAGCGACGTGCTTCTCAGCCGTCACAAACTCCAACCAATCGAATTGCAAGACGACACTGACATCACAGCTCAGTAGCATTCAAATTCACAAGTATTGAAATAGCATTTTCATTATGAAATAATTCATTTATTGTTCGATTTTTCCCATAAATATAGGTCGCGTGCACGATGACCGACCCTGGAGGTGGAATATTGGAATACAACCTCACTCTTCTGTGAATTATTGAAACACAACCTCACTTTTTTATTTGTTCACAGAGGAATCAAAGGATTGAAATAGTTTTTCTCAACATTTTGGCATACGAATCGTGCTTTTTGCTCTATTCATTAATTCAAGCATGCCTTCGCATTGTGCAGTTGTACAATGCACAAAAAATGCAGCGAGAGACGAAGGAATATGATTTTTCAGGTAAATAGTTGTCATTCCTTCTGCCACTCCTGCAATAGAAGCTAATACTGCTAATAGATTGAAAATATCTACAACACACACGATCATATTTCGGCATGTCAGACCAGTCCTCCCGGTTGATTGCATGAATCCAATCTTCTTGCATTATTTTAGAAATTTCACGAGTATTTCTATTAGCTCCTATTGCAGAAGGAATTCCGATGAGAAATCAGAGAAATTACCAAGTTTCAAAAATGAAAACTATATGTGAGAGACTATAGAATAGGTACTAACTTTTAAATCATGATGTACCAACAGGATTCCTTCGTCTTCTGCTGCAGTTTTTGTGCATTGTACAACAGCACAATGTGACGGCATGAGCGAATTAATTAATAGCCGAAAAATACTATTCGCATGCCGAAATAATTGTGAAAAACTATTTCAATCACTTGTAAACAAATAAGAAAAGTGAGGTTGTGTTTCAATGTTGTTCCTCCAGGGTCGGTCATATGGTCAGGATAACGTTTTTGACTTTCCTTCATGACATTATAATAGCGAAAAAGTGTCAACATTTCACGATAGTGGAAAGGCCTATTCTCTCCTTCATCATTGCATCAGAGCAGTACCACAACAAATCAAAAACACCAGAAAAAAATCATACAACCTTTCTTGTCCGCTCGTGAGACAGCCCCCGTCGGCGCGTTCAACGCCTGTGCGACCTCTTACCCCTGCCGCTGCTCGCGCTCCTCGACCTCTTCCTCCTCTCTCCCCTACTCCTCCTGTCCCCCCTACTCCTCCTCTCCGACCTGCTGCTACTCGGGGACCTCTTCGAGTACCGGCTGCTCGAAGGCGATCTCTTTGAGTAGCGGCTGCGCGACCGACTGCGCGAAGACTTCGACCGTCTGGACCGGTTCCTGGACCTCGATCGGTCTCTGGACCGCCTGGATTTCTTGTAGGAGGAGGAGCGGGATCTGGAGCGACGCGAGGAGGACTTCTTCTTGGAGCCGGTCGAGTCGCGCCGTCTGGAGCCGTTAGAGTCGCGTTTGGAGTCTCTGCGTTTCGGTGGAGAAGGCGAGCGCGACCTGTTTCGTTGGGAAATACTATCATGATACTGAAGACTCCAGAATGTTACTAGAATGTTCGAGGATGTTGCAGAATGTTCTAAAATCTTCCAAAAGTTTAGGGCTTGTTCCAAAAAATTCTGGATTGTTTCAAAACGTTTTTAGAATTTTCAACAATATTCGAGTCGGTGGAGAAGTCGAGAGCGACCTGTTTCGTTGGGAAATATTATCATGATACTGAATGTTCCAGAATGTTAATAGAATGTTCGAGAATGTTGTAGAATGTTCTATAATCTTCCAATAGGTTAGGGATTGTTTCAAAACGTTCTAGAGTCTTCAACAATATTCGAGAATGTTCTATAATCTTTGAATGGGTTCTATGACGTTTAAGAATGTTCCAAAATATTTGAAAACACTCCACATTTTCCCGAAATGTTCTAGGATATATTAAATTGCCACAAATTTTTATAATATCTTTCAGAAGGTTCAATTATGTTCTAGAATATTCGAAAATGTTTGACATGATACTGAAAACTCCAGAATGTTAATAGAATGTTCGAGAATGTTGTAGAATGTTCTGAAAGCTTCCCAGAGGTTAGGGATTGTTCCAAAACATTCTGGATTGTTCCAAAATGTTCTAGAATTTTCAACAATATTCGAGTCGGTGGAGAAGTCGAGAGCGACCTGTTTCGTTCGGAAATATTATCATGATACTAAAGGCTCCAGAATGTTAATAGAATGTTCGAGAATGTTGTAGAATGTTCGAGAATGTTGTAGAATGTTCTATAATCTTTCAATAGTTTAGGGATTGTTTCAAAACGTTCTAGAATCTTCAACAATATTCGAGAATGTTCTATAATCTTTGAATAGGTTCTATGACGTTTTAAAATGTTCCAAAATATTTGAAAACTTCACATTCTTCCGAAATGTTCTAGGATATATTATATTGCCTCAAAATTTTATAATATCTTTCAGAAGGTACAATTATGTTCTAGAATATTCGGAAATGTTCGACATGATACTGAAAACTCCAGAATGTTAATAGAATGTTCGAGAATGTTGTAGAATGTTCTGAAAGCTTCCCAGAGGTTAGGGATTGTTCCAAAACATTCTGAATTGTTTCAAAACGTTCTAGAATCTTCAACAATATTCGGGTCGGTGGAGAAGTCGAGACCGACCTGTTTCGTTGGGAAATATTATCATGATACTGAAGACTCCAGAATGTTACTTGAATGTTCGAGAATGTTCTATAATCTTTGAATAGGTTCTATGGCGTTTTAGAATGTTCCAAAATGTTCCAAAATATTTGAAAACTTCACATTCTTCCGAAATGTTCTAGGATATATTATATTGCCCCAAAATTTTATAATATGTATCTTTCAGAAAGTTCAATTATGTTCTAGAATATTCGGAAATGTTCGACATGATACTGAAAACTCCAGAATGTTAATAGAATGTTCGAGAATGTTGTAGAGTGTTCTGAAAGGTTCTCAGAGGTTAGGGATTGTTCCAAAACATTCTGGATTGTTCCAAAACGTTCTAGAATTTTCAACAATATTCGAGTCGGTGGAGAAGTCGAGAGCGACCTGTTTCGTTGGGAAATATTATCATGATACTGAAGACTCCAGAATGTAACTAGAATGTCTGAGAATGTTGTAGAATGTTCGAAAAACTTCCAAAAGGTTGGGGATTGTTCCAAAACATTCTGGATTGTTTCAAAACGATCTAGAATTTTCAACAGCGTTCGAGAATGTTCTATAATCTTCAACAGGTTCTATGACGTTATAGAATGTTCCAAAATGTTCTAGAATGTCCCAAAATGTTCGAGAACACTCTAACTTTTTCCAAAGTGTTCTAGGATATTTTATATTGCCTAAAAATTTTATAAATTCTTTCAGAAGGTATAATATTCAAAAATTTTTGAGAATGAATCATCCAGAACCTTATAGAAACTTCTAAATTGTATGAGAATATTCAGAACTTTCCAGGAAGTTCAAGAATGCATTGTTGGAATCTTCTAGAATGTTCAAGTATAGGTACTCTCTCAGAATGTTCTAGAATATTTCATAATATTAGAGGTTGTTCTAAAATATTATGTATGTTCAAATATTTGATGTAGAATCTTCCAGATGTTCTAGAATCTTCTCTAATGTTCCAAAATGTTCGAAAATGCTCTAGAATATTCTTCAGATGCAAGTACCTGATATTTTCTGGAGGGGTCACAATTGAGAAATCCAAATGTTGAGGAAACCAGGTGAGAAATTGAAAATTCGAAATTTCACGAATATACAACCGATAGAGAATCGGAAAAGTGCTTTTCAAAAATGAAGCAAAAATTCATTTCGGTGGGGAATTCGAGCGCGACCTGTTTTGATAAAAAGACCGTGAAAGCTCCAGAATGATACAAAAGGTTGTAGAATAACCTAGAAAGCTCTAGAATCTCTCAAAACTTTCAAGAATCTTCGATAATATTCGAAGGTGTTTTAAAATTGTCAATATATTTGAAGTAGAATCTTTCAGGCAGCAGAAGGATCGAGAACATTATAGAATGTTCCAAACTGTTTAAGAATACTCTGAAATAATCATGAATACTTTAGAACCATCTGGAATGTTCTGAAATCTTTCATAATGTTAGAAAAATCTTCTATAATGTTCGAGATTAATCTACGATACTCTAGAATGTTTCAAAACGTTTAAAAATTCCAAAATATTATAAAATGCTGAATTTCACACGCAGTTCTAGAACCATCTATAATGTTCCAAAATGTTATAGAATCTTCTATAATGTTATATAATCTTCCAGAAGATTTGACAATGTTCTTGAAACTAGGTGAGAAAAATGAAATTTCCCGTACATACAATATCCGACAGAGAATCGAAAGATTGACTTCAGGGGTTCTAAAATATTAAAATTCGTGTATTGGTGTTTTCGGGTAGGAGATTATGATGCCTTCGTGAATAATTAGGATATTCAAAATGGCGGACGAGTTTTGTGATTATGATTCCTTCGCCAAAATTAGTGAATTTAAGATGGCGGATCCAATACGGCGCATTTTTTCCCTTTCGAAATTTTTCTCCTGGCTTCCGTTATCAAGATACAGGGCGTCAAAAAATACAAAAAAATCTGTTTTTTGCTACTATCTCAGGAACCGTCTGAGCTACGGAGTTAAGCCTTCATACACACTTCATCATCAATAACCTGGGACCCCTACTGTTCTCAATTTTTTTGAACGATGTTGATCAGTGTTTCAAATGGACTAAATTCAAACTTTTTGCTGACGATCTGAAAGTGTATCAATCGATAACCACTCAGGAGGACTACCAATGCTTTCAATTGGACCTTGATAGGTTCACAGAGTATTGTGCAGTTAACAAACTTCAATTGAACGTTGGTAAATGTCACAAGATCCTGTTTACCCGTAATAATCATCCTCCCACCTCCAATCTCGTACTGTGCGGTGAGGTTCTGGGAGATTGTGATGTCATCAAAGACTTAGGTGTTCACCTAGATACTAAATTAACCTTTGACACACACGTCGAATTGACGGTGCAGAAAAGTCTAAGAAATCTTGGGTTTATTATGAGGGCGACAAAATCCTTCCGAGACCCCGATGCTGTTAAAACGTTGTACAACTCCCTTGTGAGATCCTCCCTGGAGTATGCATCTGTCATCTGGAATCCCTTTTATAATAATCACTCCAATAGAATTGAAAATGTTCAGAGGAAATTTGTCCGACACCTGAATTTTCGTTTTAACCATGGAAAAATTTTCTCTGCTAATGTTAAACACTACAAAATTGAAAACCTTCAACTGAGGAGAAAATTTTTCGACATTCTTTTCATTTACAAAGTGGTCAACAATCTAATTGATTCTGAATTTTGCACCAATTCTCTCACTTTGAACTGTACTCCATATGCCGTGAGAAACAGACATCTCTTCACAACTGGACCTAGCTCTACTAACTCTCTACTGAATTCACCCTTACATAGGTGCATAAATTCTTATAATGCGATAGGAAACAATTCTCTTGTAGATATTTTCACCACGAAAATATTCAGGTTTAAAACCAAACTGAGGCAAATTATTCACTCTTGACTTCTTTTCACATAATCAGGTATTGTAACCTCAATTGTAACGACTCCTCTTCAAATAGCTAACTGAAATTCACCTTTTCCCATTTTTCTGTTCTTTATATTCCACTGTAGTAATCAATCTCACTTATATAAACTTCAACTTTTCATAGCCTTGGATTGTTAACTGATGATTAGTATATTTTGTGCTTCTCTGTAATTGGGTCATTCGACCTGTTGAGTAGCCTGTAACCTATAAAAATAAACTAAAAAATAAAATAATGACTACTTTTAGGGCTCCTGATCAATTTCCTTGGACGTGCCAGTGGAGGATAATTCAGCGCCTCGTAAAGGTTTAACCCCCCAAACATTTATGCCACTGGAGAAATTGTAATATTCGAAGTAGATTCTGAAGCGCCAATATCTTTTAAACAAAAAACGTCCTCTTGTCTCAATGCTCTAAAGTGAACAGTTTTCGCGAAAAATTGCTCTTTATGAATAAGAACATATAAAATCCTGATGGTATCTCCAAAAATCGTCTAATAATCCACTGGAAATAAACACCTCAGAACTGTCTAATAGTATGTTCAATCAAATGTCAGGTTCTTGAGTATGATAGTCTCAATGCTGGTTTTCAAATTGTTAAGTTTATTAAGTATGTTTAATTAAACTGAACGTTTTGGTTTTTTGGCGCCCTGTATCTTGAAAACGGAAGCCCGGAGAAAAATGTTGAAGAGGAAAGAAATGTTCATTTTATTATGAGGAATCTACAGTATTCCGTTGTGACACTTATTTGTTAACACCCTGTATGAAGGTAAGCAAAAAAAGTAACAAAAATATAATATGTACTGTAGACAACCTTATAGCTCAGAACGACTGCAATAAATGTCATACTTTTATTGAATGGGTACAGCAACCGAAGCAAAGCCACTCGGGACCGGACAGCTAGTTACTTTATAAATTCCTTCCAACTGAAATTATCAACCAATCGTTATCCACTCACCTCAATCGCTTCTCCGAGCTGTTCGACCTCCTCGACCGCCCCTTGTTCTTCCCCTTCCTGTACGCATCCTCGGAGGACGAAGACCGGCGCGACCTCGCTTCGCCCCGTTCGCTCGCCTCGGACGACGCCGACGCAGATCGCGCCTTCTGCTTGGAAGACACCGACGGAGATCGCGCCTTCTGATTGGACGAGGCCGACGGAGATCCCGCCTTCTTTTTGGGCGTATCGCTTTCGGGCAGCGGAATGTCTAGGCTGTCATCTTGTTGCCGGTCAGCGCCTGGAAATGAGTTAGACGTATGCGAATGGATCGGGGGACGAAGGCTTGGTAGGTTGGGTGCAAGGTCTATTAGCTTCTATTCGCGGGAATCAATGTTACTAGGTGGCGCTCGGTTTTAATCTTTCCATGTCAAAGCCACTTCAAAACTGCGGGAAAACAAACTCAATCCCATTAGTGCCATTAGCTTGTGTACTGTGTACTGATAAAAGTGATGTTTTTAAATTTCTCGACATTAATTGTCAATATTCGATCGAAAACGCCTGTTGTAGATGTTCTTTTGGCAGATATTTTGCTCTATTTAGATGGAAAAAACCGACCAGTAGTGCACTTTGTCTACAAACTTCGGCGATGAAATCTTCCCCACATGAAATAAAATTGAAGTTGGGGTCCAGAGGAACTCCTGTAGAATAATGGATTTGTATTTGTTCCTGCAAAGCAGTACAATCAAGGTATTGTAAACATGTTGTAGCTGTTCTTTTATATGTCATTGATTTGCTCGTCATAATTAGTTTGAATTGTTTGAACTATCTCCAATTCTTCACCCGTTCACTGTTCACTAAACTAATAAAAATATAATGATGTAAAAAAATTTACCAACTCAACCATCATCACTACCAACAGTGCCAACACTTTGTCATTGACAAGTTTGACTACAGCTACAGCAAGCTGAATGCAATGTAGTCTATGCACTTTATCCATAGACAACAGTGTGTTTTCCCCCAGTTTGAAGTTCGTATTATGTAACCTAGATGTCGCCCACTTCGTGAATCTCGCGAATAAGGTTGCCTCATAGTATAGCATTAGGGTGCGTGGATACGCGGAGGGGGAACGATCTGTGACGTCACTGTTTACCCGCCATATGGTTGTAGATTTCGTTTTGTGTCACTGTCAAATGGTTTGAAAAAAAATTTGAATTTAAATTCGAAAGATTCGCGAATTTTAGACCAACGTATATTCCAATGCAAACAGAACACAAGCATGCCTTTTCTCTAGAAAAGCCGATCTCACTGTGCCCAACATAAGCTTGTCAGGAGTAACCATACCTTTGAAGACATCCATTTCGATGCTTGGAATTACTATCAGCAATAACCTTTCTTGGGAAAATCACGTGAGATCAATTGCTAAAAGTGCATCCCAAAAACTTGGTTTTCTGTTTCGGGCCAGGAGCTATTTCACTTCCAGTCAGCTGCTTATTATCAATAAGGCACAGATCCGACCTGTCCTGAAATACTGTTCTCATATTTGGAGTGCAGCATCCGAACATACCCTGAAACTGTTGGATTCTGCCAAAAAAGGTCAATTCGTCTCGTGGGTGATGCCTCGCTCACAAACTAACTCACTTCTCTGGGACACCGTAGAAGAGTTGGCGATCTAGCTCTATTTTATAGATATTTTCATGGACGATGTACTTCTGAAATATCAACAATTGTTCCTCCCTTGGCAGTCCCCGCGAGATTAACCCGTCGAGTTGAGGCTTCGCAACTCTTCGTGGTCACTTTGGAGACCTGCAAAGCATCTCTTTCCTAAGATAGGTATGTAACCTCCAGAAATTCAAGAAGAACACCAATTTCTACCTTATTTCCCTTGGTTCTCACGATGCTCTCTGAACATTACAGGATATCCCTTTTCGTGGGAACCAGAACATAAAAAAACGTGGTGACAAGACTGAAGATACCTTTGAAAGAGGGTGAGAGGCTGTATAATAATATGGTGCATTATTTAAGGCTGGTCACATCATAATATATTATGTGTGGAGTCAAAGAGTAGATATAGAACAAACAAATGTAATAAAAAGCCTGTGTTTACAATCTTCTGCTCTTGGGCAGCTTCCACATGGGATTCAAATAATTCCGAAGGAAAATGATGAGCTGTGGAAATGTGAATGTTTCTGTGAAGCAGGCATGTCACAGTTTTGTAGACACATTTTCTAGGGACTTATATTGACAGGTAGGAAGGTGCACTTTTGATTTATCACATACAGGTAAAACAAATGAAATTTCAGGAATGAAGACTTGGAATATGTGAGCTGCATATATAACACACACAGAAGTGGTGAAAAGAAAAAAAGATCAAAGATCTTTTATACAGCAAAACCATTTCAAGGGTTCTGCCATCCATTTATTAAAAGAAGGAAAGTGACCCCCTAACACGTATGAAACGAACAGTACCTACATACAGGGTCAAGTAGTAAGGATGGAAATCAATGGGAAAATCATTCTCCTTTTATATAATTCAAGTTTATTCCACAGGTATATCAGTATATCTCTTTCGTTTTTTGTTTGGAAGCACAACTGTTCCATTTCTTTACATATTTTTTCTTTTTTCAGTGTTTTCTGTTTATTTTAAATCCACATCAACAAATTTGTTGAGAAATTATAAAAAAATACATTAGACAGCAAATTTCTCAAAAAATTATCTGGGAATATGAATTTGAACTTTTGAAGATTGAAACCATGTTGCAAAGCTTTTTTGGAATTCCTTCAGGAAAGGAATGTATTGAAGAAATTACTATTTACTATCATAAGGGGTATTATTGCATGGTACTCAGGATCACTGGTGAGTTTATTGAATTTTAACATACCATCATGAAAACTGTATACTTACATTAATTTTGAATTATTTTAGGCTATACTTGCTACTTCATTTTTACATGTATCAAGGACTCTTGGGAAAAAAGGCAATCAACTTCTTTTTTCCAAAGGATTTTACAGATAAATTTGTTCAGCATGGAGTCGAATATGAATCCAAAGCTCTTTTAAAATGTTCATTGAAAATAATGTTGAATTTCAAATCATGCAAACAAATTTTCCATGGTTAGGATGTTCGCCATATGAAATTATTTTTCAGGATGGAAGACCATGAAAATAATGGAAATAGTGTCCTTACTGAGGTCCTTACATAGAGGTTTGTTAAATAATGTTCATAACATTCAGCTTGAATTATTTTTCAAATTTTCAGGTAAAGAAAATGGTTCAGAACATTTCGTGGAGCAATGCCATTTCTTGATAGGAGATGGTATAAAATTTGAAGTTGAAAGAGAGACACACTTATTATGGATAAATTCAGTAGGGAATGATGGTCCTAAAATGTCCCTAATGAACTTGAAAGAAACTTATTTTCTTGTATTTCTCCAAAACTTACGAAGAGATTTTAGTTCATTTGATGAAACATTTTGTGTTAATCTTATAAGGAAGATATCTTGAAGATATTTCCATTATGTTGTTTCTTCTTTCGAAGAAATGGTAGCCTTATCAATTTGAATTTTCTTCACATCCCTTGTCAGTCAGCATGCCCATATCCACCATGATTCCATCATTATATTGTTGTTGTAAAATTGTTCTATCCGTCATTCGGTTGCCCCCTTACGAGCAACCCTCAGAAGTCTTCGAGAGTCTTGTGCGAGCAAGGAATGACGGGGGCCTTACCTTTTAACGTGTGATCCCAAACACTTTCTTGGGCCATCAGAAAAATTTCTGCAGTCGATGGGAATCGAACCCACGACCGGCAAGCGAATGCGGATTAGAATATAGACACTCTTTCCGCACGGCTACCTGGCCGGTTCAGACTTCCCAATAAAATTTTCTTTATTAAAAATTGCTTCATCAGTAGCTCGACCTCCATATCCTTAAATGCCAACAGAAATCAGTCCTGATGGAGTGATATTGCATTAAGAATTTGACTGTGTAAGTTTTTGTAATGTGTCTGTACAATAGGAGCACTGAGGAACTGAACATATCTTTCTAGATTTCTGTTTTCAGTCTTCTGTACTTGCTGCATGTTTTGGGAAAACAGTATACTAACTCGTAAATAAAAAAAAACATACTGAAAATCTTCAAAATTTATCAAAATTCACTCGATTACACAATGCTAAATTTGTTTGTTTTGTTTATCACCTGCACCATTTTCATTTAGCCGCTCGACAAAAGACCAGTGGGGAAACAGTGACGTCAGGCAACAAAAAATGAGGCAACCTAACAGAAGTTGATACGACCTTGGGTTCGGTGCTCCGTGCACAAGTCTAAGCCAAGATGGCGGCCGTTGGCATAGTGTCAGTTGTGTCACAGATCACAAAACCGAATTTGTATTGTACAGCTTTTATATACTACTTTCCGAACCTGATGGATTAGAATAACATGTGGAAAGGTTCGATCAACCTTCATTTTCTCAAGTGTGATGCATTGATGAAATCAGCTCTTTGGCGAGAATCAAAAAATGCAATGAAATACAGGGTGTACCATTTGAAATAATAAAGTTGTTGCTACTTTATGTTAGAAGCGGCAACGCCGCAGAGCTGAAATTAATTTAGAACGATGTCCCCCTCGAAAATGTAGTTGACGTGTTTCAGATTGTTCTCATAATCCGGTTTTGGCAACCTACAGAGCCTCTGTTTCGTTTTCAAAGGGGCACCCTGTTCGACTTTCATATAGTTCCTCAACTTGCCACTTTGGCGCTGCCCCTATAGCACACCCCAGTCTACTTTGAAGCGATGTGCTCGTTGGGTGATCTATGATAGTGTCATAAGTGGGGGGATATTCCAAAATTCTGATAAAATGATAATAGTTTCTAGTCATTGAATAGTTACGTTGTTGTTGATTAATTCCAAAATTGTATGAACGATGTTCTTCATGCTAGTTTGAAAATAATGACCACTGTGTCACAAACTATAAAAAAACGTGGAATAGGCGACAAGAAAGTCAGAACCGTCAATAAACATAAAAAAAATTTGAAGTAGCGTGACGTATGCCAACAGAGTCCACCTTGGATAAGAAATACTGTATAATTGAATTTCGTTATCTTTCAATCAGTCTTATCCGTCCACACAAATATACTATAAGAATAGATGATGAAAGTATATATTCTATTGACAATGTGACTCATCTGTAACATTTGAGAATTTAACAATGCATTTCCATAATTTCATTGAAATTTAGAACCAATCATTCAAATTAAAAGTATCCGATAATTTTGCACCAGTGCAATTATTGATGACTGTACTAATCTGACCTTAAAATCGATTTTGAAATATGTCACGTGATCACTGGTATGGCGGTAAATTGAGAAAAACGACTATGAAGATGCAAAAAGTGGGGTTAGATGGCAATGTATCAAAAACAATTTGAAAAAGTTGCTCAGAAATCAATTTCATTGCTTCCTCTTCAAAGTTATTTTTTTAAATATACTGACAACATTTATTTCTTGGTTATTGGACACGCATAATAGATCCCCCACACTGTATATTCAGAAGTAATAAGCAATGTTCCAAACCTGAATATATTCTATATTTAAATTCAAAATCATTGAAAACCATTCTAGAGCTACTAGAGATAACGAAAATATAAAACTTGATTCATGTCAATTTAACCCGAGAACGCTCGCACCACGGTCGTTTTACCGCCAAGCATTAATTTTGCCCCTCCCACATTTATTTGGGTCGGGATTTTACGACCCGCTCACAAGTCTTCCTAAGTCGAACCGGCGGGCCAGTTCACGTTTGGTTTCGGTCAGAGGGTGTTGTTTGGTTGGAGCTGAAAATTGACAATTGGTCGTTTCCACCGACGCGCGAGCATCTAGAGGTTTGTACCAAATTATTCATTGTCTACAAGGAAATTGGGGGTTATAATCAAGTAAATGTGGCAAAATCAATTAGATAATAGTAATAACTCTTTATAGATACTGAATACCTTCAATAAACAGCACAAATACTGACGAATTTTGGGATTTTCTATAGTCGGTCAAAACGACCAGCCGCGAGCATCAACGTAACTTTTCATTTTTGTTCAGAAATATACCAACTTTGTGTTCATAGTCGATAGAGTTTTCATAAGAAGTGTATCAATACCTGAATACCACAAATACTGACAAATTTGGGGATTTCCTATAGTCGGTCAAAACGACCAGCCGCGAGGATCAACGTAACTTTCTAGTCGCGAGTGTTCTCGGGTTAAGAAAATACGATTAGTTTTGATCCATGACATCTTTCATTGAATATAATTTGTGCAATGAAAACTATTAATTTTCATTGCAAGATTAGTAGTGATAATTGAAATTCTATGGTAATATTAGTTTTTTGTCTGTAGTTTGAATTCTTCTTTGACCAAAGAGTTTTCATCTACATTACCTTGTGCCTTAAAAACAAACAAAAGTGTATAAATAGAGAGGTTCAGCTAGCTTTAAGAGAGAGAAAATATGTATTCTTCATCTGTCCTTGTCTTCAGTGTTCCAACATAAGAAACTGAAAATTTCATGTTGGCAACACTAGAAGTGAGAAGAAATGTAGAAGAAGGATATTAACCTCAATAAAGAAAGTTAGAATAGCCTTCCTCTCCATTTTTTACCATTTCTAGTGTTGCCAACATAAAATGTTCATTATTTTACATTGGAACCCTGAAGACAAAGACAGAATGGAAAGACTAGAGTGAGTAGATTAAAAAGAGTGTAGACAATAGACCTCCAAATGGCTGCCGCTTCCGAAATGTCATTCATGGTCAAGTCACTGAATAGCTAAAAATCTCTCAAGCAGTAATGAATGTGCGCCTTCGAAGTGCCCACTTGATGTTAGATATTTGATATTTTCATTTCATCATCTAAATAATCTGAGGCTTACGAGTCCTAAAATTAATTAATCATTCCAGGATTACGTCATTTGATAGGTCGTTGGAGTGCAAACATTATACTTTGTCTTATGAAATCAGAATTTATGGGATTTTCCATTCCAGGATCTTGAACCAGCAATATTTTTATAAGGCATGTTGGGCTAAATCTCCATATTTGAGTGTTTACTATCCGTAGTTCAGAGAATTCCCATTCCTAATTTAATAAATAAAATAATTAAAATGTCATAAGTGGAAAACGAATCTCTTCAAGGGCGAATAACACAAAAACCGTTGAAGCTAGACAATTTGATAAAGAGTACAATGTTCATGTGAAATTGAACCAGTTTTCAGATTTTCCACTTATTTTGATTATCAATGAATTGACATAGAATAAAATGATTAAAATTATCGAAGTAACAGAGTGCCACCAGCGCCCTCTATGAGAAATCCCAAAATAAGTTGCAAATTCATATTCCTCATGTCAGAAAAACTAGAAATACAAGATTTCATGTGCATGCTGTTGAAACCAACAAAGTTATTGTGAAATTTTGAAATAACATCTCCCCCTAGAACACCCTGTATCTCCTGAACCAGCAACATTCTCATCAGGCATATTGGGCTAAATCTCATTATTTTTGTGTTTACTATCTGTAGTTCAGAGATTTGGGGTTTGTTGGTTGAACCCGGCCATCGGAAGATCATTTTCAATACCTAACATAAATGGTGCACTTGTTAAGCGTTTTTGTTCTGTGCTCTGATAATATCTTGCTCGTATCATGGTACCCAAGAAGTGGTTCAAAATCCACTAGGAGCTATGCAGTCATCTAGCACTTCTCAATAGTTCTCAACAACACATGAACATGCACATTCAGACTTGGGATTTCAACTTTGAAGAAGTGATACACGAACAATATATTCAACTCTTTGATATAGATACATCAATATTTGGTACATCTGAGTTCCACAAAGTGACATATGTTTTCACAAAATTATTATAAGAGTTCGTATACGAAGATGATTAAAAGAATTCTTGGTTGAACAGGGATGTGAAATCAGTTTGAGTCAGTCAATTCAGGAAGTTTCTTCTATTTCATCATCAGTGGCTATTGTGATCTCTGCTTTATCATTCCATCACAAGCAATAACCAGAGTCCAAATTGGAATAAGGTTCTTTTCGATACTTGCTCAGTTTATAAATTGTGGGTTCGGCTCTTTCTCTCAATACGATCCTATTCTTCAACTTCCTACCACGAAATTTAAATACCTCGCAAATTGTGTGACCTGAACCTATATTCCATACCGGCTGTATCATATTCTGTTTCCATTTTGGTAGAAATACGTTATCCGATGAAAATTCGAATAGAGTTAAATGATTTTCCGTTTTCTCACAGTTGGAAACTGCACAAACTTGCATCTTTCTCCTATTTGTCTCAACTTGTCAAACCTTTGAAATTTATGTCATGTACGTCCGTGTACTGTCAATTTCCGCTTTTTCCATCAATTTATTTGTGGTTATGTCTGATTGTCAGTGCTTGTCATAGTGTCCGTACTCTAATATACAAAAAACGTCAAAATCAGCAGTGTCAAGTACATTTAGGAACTCTACTCGCGTCTACCTGTGAGTCATTGTCGTCCACTCTATTTATAAAGATACTCTAGGGAAGACATTTTTTACTCTCAACGCTAACTGACCTTCTCTAATAGACACAGGCCGACGATTGTGCCGGAAAAATCCGGTTAGACTTTTAACGACAATACTGACCTTGACTTCTTGCGTCTACCTGTGAGTCATTGTCGTCCGATTCCGGCGACGGGGACCTGGTGGCGCCCTCTGTCCTCCTCCTCTCCACCTCGTCCAGCCGGTCTTCTATCGCCCGCTCTGTTTTCTGGAACTCGGACATCCTTCGTTTTATTGTGTCCTAAAGCGGAAAACCAATGAATGCCTACTGTAAATAGCTATTTGTGTAACAAGGGAGGAAAGTGCTACTTTTCCTCCCTTCGGGCAGTAATTATTCAAGGGAGGCAAAGGCACCTTACCCCTATGTTATAGATATGATTTTTCTGCCTACCTCTATCCAAAGCATACATTTTCACGCCGGAGGGAGTAGAAGTTAGTTTCTCTGGTAACAAAAGAGGGACAGAAGTCTCGTATTATTCCCTAGAGAGATAATGTGACATATTTTCTCCCTAGGGAGTTTATACCAACTTTACATTTTCCGCATAGCTCTGCGCTTTTTTTTCGGCACACCCTTATCTGAAGCGAGTATAATCTGCATCATACAGATTTAAAGATCTCACTGGTAGCAAGTTGAGAATCACTGCAGAAGCAGTATCAATAGTTTTTTGGGGTTTTCCCTAGACTTATTGTTCCATAATCGGTTACCATTTTCAAAGCTGTTTTCATAAATTTCAGTTTGATATTTGCTGTCACCATGGGTTGTCAACAAGATGCGTGTTGTCAAGATACGAATTCCACAAACTATACTACTACTAATTATGACAAAACACTTTGACCAAATTTGTATTCTTTCTAAATTTTTGCGTTTTCGTCAGCGTAAAAAAAGTATATACACCTCAGGAAAGAATGCTATTTTTCCCTCGGTGCTTTGTATCTCTCGGGCTTCGCCCTCGAGCTACAAATCGCACCTTGGAAAAAATCTTGCATTTCTGTCCCTTGATGTATAATGTACTATTCTTGGCATCATTGTAGGGAGCAGTCGTACCTTTCCTCCCCAGGAAAGAAAAGTGAAGTGACTTCATGGTACGTCATCAATGAAATAACTCGTACGGCATTGACGACCTAATCTATATATTATTATACAGGGTTATTCACGTTATTCGACACGAAGCATTGTGGCTAGAGCATTTGGTTTTTTGACTTTTTTTTGTGTTTGATGAACAGGGACCTATCACCGCTACATTTCAAAAATATCTTATTTATTTATTTATTGAACAAATAACTTCCAGACAGAATAGGCTCTGGTATAAGGAAGTACATAATTATATACCTATAGGTAAACATATCATTATACAAAATATATCAACAACTGTAAATTGACAAACAAAGAATAATATTTGTAAAAAAAAAAAAAAAAAAAAAAAAAATGGCATGTTCAATTTTATCCAGTTCGCTCAGAAATAATCAATTTTTTCACTTCATTTTTGAATGAACCTATGTTTCTGCAATTTTTTATATTGTCAGGTAGTTTATTGAATTCAGTTAAGGCTGAATGAGTGAATCTTTTTTGTCCGATAATGGAGCTAGCGGCGTCAAGATGAAACAAGTTATATTGTCTTGTTTCATGATTATGAATTTCAGAATTCCGTATCAACATAAAATTCGACTTCAATTTTTTATTTATGATATTATATGATATTTTGAGAGTTTCAATTCTATATATTTCATCTAAAGAATACGTATTTGTTATTTCAAACAATTGATTGGTTGGTGTATCAAATGGGAGACGATACAATACTTTTAACGATTTTCTATATAATGTTGATATTTTATTGAAATTGTTCTTTGAACAAGTTCCCCAAACATTGTTCATATCTACCACAAATTACAAAACGTAGGATGCAAGAATGAAAATAACGCGGATTAATCCTTTGAAACATGTCCTTTTGTCAATGACCGTTGATCATTATTAAATTGTTTATGTGGTGGAGTTGTAACTGTAAGTTCTTTCACCCCTCCTGATTTATATCACCTCCACTGTAAGTTATGGATCACCTACGTTGGTATGTATAAATTGAAGAGATCTACACGTCTAAAATATTTCGAAGAATGCAGCGTTGCCGCTTCTACTAGTAAGTAGCAGCAACTTCGAATTTTTAAATGGAACACCCTGTATTTCATTGTATTTTAGATTCCCCCTGAAGAGCTGATGTCATCAATGTATCACTGAGGGCTAGCGCGAGAGATAACAGAGATACAGGGTGTTCAAAATCAAGATTTTTCAACTTTAGGATTTTTTTGTGTCGAAACTATTCATTACCGGTCAAAATGGCTCTCATGTCCCTTTCTCAACTTTTGATTTATGATCTACTGACATTTGATTGAAATAGATACAGGGTGATCAGAATTCTGAATCTTGAACCAATTAAATGTCAGTAGATAGTTAGTCGAAAGATAAGAAAGGGAGATGTAAGCCGTTTTGAACAATAATGATTAGTTTCGACAAAAAAATCTAAAACTTGAAAAATCTCGATTTTGAACATCCTATATGTTTGTAATCATTTCCGCAAGACCCCAAGTGTGATGCATTGATGAAATCAGCTCTTCAGGGAGAATCTAAAAACGAAATGAAATATAGGGTTTTCCATTTGAAATATCAAAGTTGCTGATACTTCCTAGTAGAAGCGGCAACGCCGCATCGTTTAAAATATTTTAGACGTGTAGATCATGTCAATTCATACATATCATACATTTTTCAGAATCATCTGTAGCTTAGTTTGGTAGAAACGTCTAATTAAGGAGAAAAACCCTGTATATGTTATCACTTAAATAACGTACCGTATGTCTCATTAAACAATCTGTCGACTCTTTTTTCACTGGAATCATTGAAAAAGCGCTTTCATTCTTTGGATAATAATTGTTGGTGGAAAAATGTTTGTAAACCTACCTTTAAATCATCATCAGAGTCAAGTGAATCATGTTGGTCAACATCTTCTGGTTCATCTTCTTCTGTGCCACTAGCTGAGTCGTCAGCATACATCCCCAAACCTATATTCATAAGTCATAATGATTCGACAAAAATGTGGGTTGAACGTAAGATGGTACCATAAAACGGAAGAAGGTGGGAAAGTGGGAGAGTGAAAAAAAGTAGTAAGTTGGAAAAGGTGTTACAAGAAAATGCAATATCCTGTTAATTCGCCACTGGGTTCAGAATTACAAATAAACCAAATTAGTCACAGCTGATTCAAATATTTACTGAGATTTTGCTGCATCATCTGGAGGAGAATTGCGACTTCATGGAGGACCCATTACTTCTGAGAGAGATATAAAAAAGTCAACGATTTTTAATTTTTCGCAAAAAATTGCTAATATGGTTTCTTGAACTTTAAACTCTAACGCAGTACGCCTTGGTTTTCGTAAAATAAAATGTTTCGTCGTCAAGTATAGTTTTTCGATCCACAATTCAAAAAAAAGTTAATACGAATTTTTATTGAGGTGTCCCGCTTTCAGGTCACACTGTATATGCAGAAATTGAAGGTAACTGATTTTGACCAGAGGGTCTATCATTTATAAATGTATTTCGTCCAAAAATTTATTCATGATAACCATATTTCAACATAACAGTAATCTATCATAGCTGTATTTTTTCTGAACTGTAATGGGGAAGTTTTCAATATTTAGTTTATCTCACAGTGAAGTTTGTAGAAATTTAATATATACGTATTTTTTTTTCGTAAGATCAAACTTCAATTCAGAAAAAAAATTACGTACTCTATAAAAAGCCATATTAACGCACAGTTAAAATACGATTCCCTATGTCAGTACGACGTTGCCGGTATCATCAATATGTCCAGATTTCCAGAAATTGTTCTATGAATTCATAATAACTATATCATAAAAGCAATGGGATACAATAGGTTTTTCAATCATACTTCGTCGAGTATTATGAATGATTTTCATAAATCTCTCATTTTCTGGATGAAGCTGATTACTAATAAAGATAAATTATGATATTTTGCAATAGAATCTATAATTTTCCAGTTTCTTTATATCACAACACAAGTCACTATTTGTCAGTGATTTTTTTTTTAATTCGTTCCTTCATAAAACGGATCTATTTTTTAAGAAAGTTGCAGCTTATCTTGCAACAGCTCATAAGACTTTGAGCCCGTCCACACCACACAAAATACTGACAGGCACACCGAAAGCTGATCTGATTTTGTGGTTATGTATATTTTTGTTTACCAGTTTTACTTGTGTCAAAATTTTTGATTTCCATTTAGTTACCCTATGTCTGGAATTTATAGTTGTTTTCTTAGTTAGTCCATCAACGTTATTTTTCATGATAAAATCAACAACAACGCGAAGTTGTCTTCTTCTATTTCTATTTTCTTCATTAGTTGTTTATTATATTTCTATTCACTAGCTATATTCTTCACTATCAGCTGTATACAATTCAGATTAGATTCAGAATGTACGTCTCAGTTTGCCACACCAAAAATTTGAAATTACTTTATTTTGACATTGACATTATCTATCGCCATTCTGTACAGCGTGGATATAAAACTGAGGATTTCCGAACTAATTTTATGAAAATTCATCTGAAAGAAACTTCCTCATTATTCATTGAAGTGCGAAGATCAAGAATAAGAAATGAAAAAAAAAACAGTTCACTAGCCCATTGCATTTTCTCGTACACTTTCGGTAGGTTGATCGGGAAAACAATGATGAAAAAAAACTTACCGAGTCTGCTGCTAATGTTGGCACCGCTCGGTGCTGACCAACGTTGATCTGAAGCTGAAGTTTATTAGAAAATTTAAGGAACAAACCCATACAAGCCCTGTCAACAGTCTTAGGAATAAATGAGAATAATACAAAAATTGCACTGACTAGCCCCAACTGGAGCATCATGTTTAATACAAACGAACTCATACAAAATGGCACTAAAATCACAATACCTTTGCGTTTTTTAGCGAAACGCTGCAGTTCTTCCCGACACACTGCTTCGATGTGTCGATTTGTCACGCTCAACAGGATTTCTGTCATTGTCCGACGCACTTTCAACATCTAAGATAAGCAAATGTTTAGTAAAACTGAGATAAAGGGTTTTTGAATGAATATTACCAACTCGTCTTGGGTGAGAGGTATAGGTTCAGGACTGGACTGTCTTCTCTGGGGTTTACTCTCCTCCACTGAACTTTCCTCATCACTATCCTAATTAATAATAATAATAATAATAATATCATTTATTGATCCCAAAATCTACAACTTTGCTATTCAACTTTTTTCTAAGGGACTCTCAGTTTTTCCAGAAATCGTGATTAACCGTTTTTCACCCTTATAAACTCACCCCCTTTTTCTTTAACTTTTGTGATGTTCTCTTCTTTTTTCAATGAGTTTTCTATTATAATTTTTTTCCGTTTTAAAAATTATCGACCCTGGTCTAAAAAGACATACTCTCTCTAAAATGTACCTATATGATCTTCAAATTTTGTGAGAAATATTTTTTCAATATATTAATGAGAAACTCATTTTTTTATCTTGGATACTATATTGAAGGAACTTATCAATGACTACAGACCAATAGCTCTGACAAGCAATGGTAGTAAAATATTGGAAAAATGTATAAAACTACGATTAAATAGCTTCCTAGAAAATAATAATTTGATCTCAAAAAGTCAATTTGGATTCAGACAAAACTGTAACACAAAAGATGCTATTCGCGGGAATCAATGTTACCAGGTGGCGCTCGGTTTTCATCGTTCCATGTCAAAGCCACGTCAAAACTTGGGGAAAACAAACTCAATCCTCACTGAATTTCATTAGTGCCATTAGCTTGTGTACTATGTACTGATAAGAGTGATAAGTTTTTAAATTTCTTGACATTAATTGTCAATATTATATGGATAACGCCTGTTGTAGATGTTCTTCTGGCAGATATTTTGCTATATTTAGATGGAAAAAGCCGACCAGTAGTGGAAGGAGAAGCAGTTCTCCGTGCTAATTATGTGATTTTGTGTTAATCAGAAGACTTCAACAAAAGGCACATTTTTGCACTTTGTCTACAAACTTCGGCGATGAAATCTTCCCCACATGATACATGAAGTAATATTGAAGTTGGGGTCCAGAGGAACTCCTGTAGAACAATGGATTTGTATTTGTTCCTGCAAAGCAGTACAATCTGGGTATTGTAAACATGGTGTAGTGTTCTTTTATATGTCAATTGATTTGGTCGTCATAATTAGTTTCAATTGTTTGAACTATCTTCAATTCTTTACCCTTTCACTGTTCACTAAACTAATAAAAATGTAATCATGTAAAAAAATTTACTAACTCAACCATCATCACTACCAACAGTGCCAACACTTTATGTCATGTCATTGACAAGTTTGACTACAGCTACAGCAATGTAGTCTATGCACTTTATCCATAGACAACAGTTTGTTTTCCCCCAGTTTGAAGTTCGTATTATGTAACCTAGATGTCGCCCACTTCGTGAATCTCGCGAAGTAACTGAACTCATTACAAAAAGTTTAAAAGATGACAAAAAAATATCATGCAATCTTTTAGGACTTGGCCAAAACCTTTCATACTGTGTCACACTACATTCTACTAAACAAACTGGAGCAAATATGTATCAGAGATATACCAAACGATCTTTTCAAATCATAACTAAACAACAGGCATCAACAAGTTAAAATTAGCCAATGTCTCAATGACTCTTGTTCTGTGGAGTGTGGTGTGCCACAGGGCACTGTGCTGGGGCCAATACTTTTCATCATATATATAGACAGCTTGACCAGTCATATCTGAGGGAAAGGTGATTTGCTATGCAGACGACACTGCTTTGTTGTTTGGGGATGGCTCTTGGAATTTTGTGTATAATAAAGCTGAGACTTCCTTATGTTTAGTAAAAAATGGCTTGATAAAAATCTTTTAACACTACATGTTGATAAGTCCAACTTCATGTGTTTCACTTTAACAAAATAGAACCTCCCTGAAAAGGAATCGCTGATATTTCATAAACCTAATTGCAAAGAAATGAACAATTGCCAATGTGATTTAAAAATCAAATTTATTGATAGGTTCAAGTATTTGGGTACTTAGTTTGACCCTCACATGAAGTGGAACTATCACATTGAATATGTTGTATTGAAAATTAGAAAGTTATATTATAAATTCTATCAAATTCGACAAATTTTGGAAAGGAACTGCAATAACTGCATTATCAATATTTATAGGGCTTTGGTATAGTCTGTGTTATTATATGGAATTTCAGCCTGGGGTTCAGCTTATGCAAATGTCATGACTCCTTTAACTTTAGCACAAAAATACATTTTAAAAATTATTATGTTCAGAAATAAAACATTTCCTACTGACAAACTCTTTGAAGATGCAGGAGTTCTTGACATTTCTCAATTATACTTAAAACCTTTTATAAGATATATTTCACAAAAAAAATTAATGTACCGAAATTTAATCATGTTATATCAGCTAGATCAGTAAAAAATGAAAATGTAATTGTTCCTACTATATCTTATGTAACTATTCAGTGAAGTTCATTTTATATAGGGCCGAAAATCTATAACACACTACCAAGGGAACTCAAAGGCAAACCATACAAAAAAATCAAAAATAAAATATCATCTTGGATTTTGAAACACAAACCCAATACCTAGCTATTAGTTTGACATATATTGCATATAATGTATACAGGGTTGGGCAAAAGTATGGAACCAGGTGAATATCTCGGTAACGGTTTGTAAGATTTTTTTGAATATATGTACAGGGTGATTTCAAATCGTGGCGGATTTGAAAATGTTATCGTCGATGTTGCCACTTTTTCAGTTATCCCGGAATTAATAATTCTTTATTATTATTATTCCCAAGAAACATACATGTTTATAGCAGGGAAAATTATGAAAGAGCAACTAAAAAAAAAAAAAAAAACAAAAATTAGATAATCAGATAATCATTTTTAAATCATATACATAATACATATAATGTTGTTTCTTCTAGAGACTGTTAAATATAATTTCTTGAATTGATTCAGGATGACATGAAGAGAATCAAAGACATAAGTATTTTTTCAGTTCTTTTTTGAATTTTTCAACACTTAATTTTTTCTTTAGTCTGGCAGGTAATTCATTATAGAGAATTGTTCCATTGTATAAAATAGATCTTTTACCCATATCTGATTTAATTTTGATGAGAGTTAACATATCTTTTTGTCTGGTTATGTGTTCGTGTTTATGACTATTGACTTCAAAATTCAGATTTGAATGTTTATAATTATATTTGACGGAATGGATGAAATTCAATATTTTGAATTTGTAAATGGAGTTTATATCTAACAATTGCCTAGGTTTATAAAGATTTCTTGTTGGTTCCAAGTAATCTAGTTTGTATATACATTTAATAACTTTGTTTTGAAGGATTTTGATTGGCTTCATGATTGATAATCTAGCTGTACCCCAAACTGAAATCAAGTATTGTAATTTTGAATAAACCAAGGAAAAATATATACATTTCAAGTATTTCAAAGTGATTTGGTGTCTGATCCTGTAGAGTACTCCGATTACTGGAGATATTTTCTTTCTGATCGATTCAATATGTTTGGACCATGACAAATGTTCATCAAGGAATATCCCAAGGAATTTGATGGCTGTGGAATATTTGATGATTTCATTATTAAATTTGATATCAAATTTTAGTTCACTTGAGAGGCGTCGTTTAGAGATATACATGAATGCTGATTTGCTGTAATTTATACTCAATTTATTATAGGACAACCATGAAGATAAAATAATCAAGTCACTTTCAATTGCATTTCTGATTTGTTGGATTGAGTCTGCGGAATAAATCAATGTAGTGTCATCAGCGAACATGTAAACTTTTCCTTTCAATTTGATGTTAACAATCGAGTTGATATATATCAAAAATAAAACAGGGCCTAAGATTGACCCTTGTGGTACTCCACATATAATGTCATTAGCTGTACTTGAAACTGTTCCTTGATAAACAAATTGCTTTCTACCACTCAAATAATTTTGAAACCATTTATGAACTATACCTCTTATGCCAAGTTGGTATAACAAATTGAGGAGAATTTCATGATTCACAGTATCAAATGCCTTGCGAAGATCTATTGACAGAAGTCCACACATCTTATTAGCATCTAGTTGCATTTGAAATTCTGTCACAACATCCAAAACAGCTGACTCTGTGTCACAAGATTTGCGAAAGCCATATTGATGGTTGTAAAGATATTCTGTTGCCTCTAAATAATCATGCAGTCTGTTATTCATTGTTTTTTCCATTATTTTTGAAATGATTGGTAGTAAGGAAATAGGTCTATAATTCTCCATATCATCCTTTGATCCACTTTTATAAATTGGTTTAACTTTCGCTATTTTCATTTTTTCAGGTATAATCCCTGATAAAAAAGATAAATTTATCAATTTTGAAATGATCGATGATATTTCATATTTAACAGTCTTTACAATGCTTACACTAATGTTATCAAAACCTGGAGATTTTCTTGAATTTAAGGAGTTTATGATATCTTCAATTTCTTCATCATCTGTTGGTTTTAAGTACATTGAATTTGAACTTAATTTGTCAATTCCCATTTTAAATGAAATAGGAATCTTTGCTGCTAATTTTGGTCCAACGTTTATGAAATGTTCATTAAATTCTTCGCATATTTCGTTGGGGTTGAATATTTTCTTGTCATTCTTCTTAATAAATTCAACATCCTTATTGGGTTCTTTCACTTTATTATGCATTATGGAATTTATGGTGTTCCACATAGATTTTTGGTCTCCATTAGTCAAATTTTGTTTATAGTAATCCTGTTTTTTTTCCCTGATGGTTTTTTTGACCAGTTTGTTATAATGTTGATATAATTCAGCAGCAGTTGATTCACCATTTTTTTCTTTCTTCATTTGAAAATATTTGTCACGTAATTTAATTAATTTAACTAATGTTTCATCAAACCAAGGTTTCGAATCTTCTTTTATTTTCAAAGTTGTAGTATAGGAGCAATTTTCAAATACATCGAGAATTTTTTCATAGATTATGTTAGGGTCTTTATATGTGTTTATAGGCATTTTCAAGAGTTCATTCTTCAGCATATCAACTTTAATTTTCTGTAAATCTATTCTTTTGAATTTTGCTTTTTTGATGTTACTTTTTAATGGAAGATTCACAATCTGAATTTTGTGATCACTAATTGGTGAGTCTTTCAGACATATTTCAATGTTTTCGCTCGAATTTGTGATGACATGGTCAATCAGACTGGTTGTATTGTTACTGACTCTTGTTGAAACATGTTTGTTGCATAAATCGAAGCTGTTTGATGAATATATGTCCATGAGTCTTTTTGTATCATTATCATTCTGCTTTGAAATATCAATATTTACGTCACCCAGTAATAAGCTTTTACATTTTAATTTACCCAAATTTTCCAATTTTTGATCGATGATATTATAAAAACTCTCTTTCCTGAAGGATGGTGGTCGATATATTCCACTTATAACAAAGTTGATAGTGCTTAATCTTACTGCCAGATAAGATAATTCCTGTTCCATTTTATCAAGTATCTCAAATTCCAAATTCTTATGGATAAAGATTCCCAATCCTCCCCCTCTCTTTTCCCTACTTGCATAAATAGAATGGAAATTTTTGAAATTATAGTATTTTTCTTCTTCTCTCCTCACCCACGTTTCGCTAATTACAATTACATTGATATCTTGGTCAGCTACTATTATATCAATTTCATCCATTTTCGTCTTCATAGATCTTGCGTTCATATATAATATTTTTATTTTTCTATCTATTTGATTATTCATCAGATTCAGATTAGTTTATATAATCGATTTGTTCTCTGGCAATTTTGATTCTGTTGAGATAAATAGGACACTGGATAGTATTAGCTTCATGTATATAATGATTTTCTTTTCCAAATTTAATGTGTGCCATTTTACAGTTTGTGCAACACGGAGTAGATTTATCGCAGTTTTTAACGTCATGTTCACCAGCACAAAAAGCGCAAACTTTATTGCGGTTACACTCTGCCGTTTTATGTCCATAGCCACAGCATCGGTAACAGTACCTTATATTGATATCTTCCTTAATTTTGCATTTATTCCATCCAATACATATTTCCTTATCAACCAATTTTTTCAAAGTTTGTCCTGAAGTTTCAACATAAGTAATGTATTTTTTTGAAAATTTTGACTGTCTGGTATATTTTACGTATAATTTATCATCCACGTCAATATGCCTAAGTACTCTCAATTCATCCTGGAGTTCTTCATCTGTGTATTCCCTTTGGAGTCCTATGAATACCATCCTAGGTCGATTCATTTTTGTGATATGTACAGTATAATCAGGACCCAATTCTTTTTCACTCAAATCTTTCATTCTTGCTATTTCTTCATTACTGTTTGTCTTTATAATGATTCCTCCATTTTTTAGTTCCCTCACACTTTTAATCGATGCTTTGGCTTTCACAGGATTTATTTTCTTATGTATTTCTTCTTTAGTGAGTTTACTAGTTTGAGTTTTTTTGGGTCTTATTATTAATGAAGGTATATTTTGTTGAAGGACTGGTTCTTCCACTGTGGCTCCACTGACCATTTCAGCATATGTTTTATTTTTATTCATGGCGGGCAATTTCGTTTCGAAAAGTTTTATTAGTTTATCATCAATTTCTTTCAGTTTTGTTGCAACATTCTCATCTCTTTCCAAAATATCTTCTAGTTTTTCAATTTTCTTTATTATGTATTCTATTTTAGTATTTATTCCATGTAAAATTTCTTCTAGCGAGTTTTTTCCTGCTTCTTTACTTTCAACTATACTTTTTGTATCATTCTCTGTTTTCTTGATGAGACACTTATTACATACCCATTTAGATTTAAATTTCTTGATTTCATTGATATCTTTCCTTGATAATTTGGAACAATTAAGGCAAATCCAATTCTCACAAACTGTGCATTGGATAGAATATGATTTTCTGTTGAAATGTGCTGAACAAATGGAACAAATTTCACCATTTTTGCTCAAATTAGCAATAGAATCTTCATGGTCGTCGTCTTGATGTCTTTCTGAGCTTCCTGCTTCTCTTTCATCTTGTGTGGAGATATAGAATTGTTTTTTGTATTGTGCAAACTTTTCATCTGCTGGGTATTTCGTTGGTAGATAGAAGCTTTCTTCATCTGAATTTTCTTGTGTGGAATTCGTACTGGAAATTTTGATTTCTTCTGACTTTGACAATTTTTTTTTCTTTTTAGATGTCATGTCAAATTATTTCGATAAAATCTTTCGATTATTCTTCCAAAATCCTCTTTGTGGTATTCTGAGAGCGTACACTTTTCTTGGATTATTTTTCACATAATTAACACTATAATAATGAAAAATCTCAGAAAAAATGGCTTGAAAATTGCGTTTGATGTCACCGAAACTTCAAAATGATTCTCTACTCAAAAAGCTGTCGAATATATATATCAGTGAATCTATTTGAAATCAGGTCTACCATTTTCAATGATTGATAATAACTTCCTTATTTCAAATAGAACACCCTGTATTTTATTGAATTTTCTGATTCTCCCTGAAAAGCTGATTCCATCGATTCATCACACTTGGGGTATAGCAAGGATGATTACTGAGATATAGGGTGTTCAAAATCGAGATTTTTCAACTTTAGGATTTTTTTTGTGTTAAATCTATTCATTATTGATCAAAACTGCTCACATGTCCCAACGTCAACTTTTGATTCACTATCTACCGACATTCAATTGAAACAAATATGGGGTGGTTCAAAATTCAGAAATCAGATCACCCTGTATCTTTTCCCCAGTAAATACCAATAGATAGTAGATCAAAAGTTAAGATAGGGACATGAAAACCGTTTTGACCGATAAGGTATAGTTTGGACACAAAAAAATCCTAAAGTTGAAAAATCTAAATTTTGAACACCCTATATCTCAGTAATCATTCTTGCTAGACCCTAAGTGTGATGAATCAATTAAATCAGCTTTTCAGGGAGAATTTGAAAAAACAATAAAATTCAGGGTGTTATATTTAAAATAAGGAAGTTGATAATAATTCCGGAATAACTGAAAAAGTGGACGATAACATTTCCAAATCCACCACATTTTGAAATCACCCTGTACATATATTCAAAAAATCTAACAAACGGTTACCGAGATATTCACCTGGTTCCATACTTTTGTCCAACCCTGTATATTCAGATTGTATTATATTAGTTAGATAGTCCAGATATTAGTATATAAGAGATTCATTAGTGAATTGACTCATTGGTGAATTATCTGTTGCAAATTATAAATATTGTTGCATTTATGCTTTATGATGTGTAATCCATACCAGTATATCAAGGTTCAATCAGAACTCAATTTGTTGTGGAAAAAACCGGATGAAGGCAATTGCCTTCCCCCCCTTCTGACCCACTAAATAATCACCATGATATTGCCCAGAGATTTCAGAAATAATTTTCAAAATATATATATCAGTGAATCTATTTGAAATCAGGTCTACCATTTTCAATGATTGAGCCATATTTTACACAATCACACAATCAACTTTGAATAAAACTTTTTTGAGAATTCTAGAAATGCCTACAAAAAATATCAGTACAAGAAATTACTTAATTGTCTCAAGTTTGATATGTTATCAAACAGCATTTGTACTTGAGCATTTTTACAGTAAGGATTCATCTAAAACAGGTGTGTTATTGAAGAATTACCCCCACAAATGTAAATAATACTATTCATTATGATGTAGTGACCATATCACATTGAACTACAAAGAATTCAAATAATTCATGTATTCAAAGTTGACCTCTTATTATTATTATTAGAATGTATACTTACTCAATGCATTGTTTTTCTGTTTCCTGTTGTCAACATATATGCATATTTTTTCTTATGAACAATAAAAATGATATGCCTAATTGAAACTACTATTTTTTCAAAGACAAACATTCTTCTTGACTTGTTTATGAGACAATTTTATATTACTCATGTGGGTCAAATGGACTATTTTTTCATTTTCCATGAAAAACTCTTGCACAGCAATGTTTTCAGCATCAATCATTACTATTGTCCATAAGCTATAATTTGACAAGATTATATTTAAAGGTTTTGTTTCAATCCCATTGAAATATGCTTTCTTACAAAATTATGATTTTTTATAAGATTGAAATAATGTGATTACAAAATATATTTTTAAAATCATGACTTTACCAAGAATTTCACATTCCAAAGGATTGTTAATGTGTTGAAAATTTCATTGTAACTGCCAGGAACTCTACCAGTTAATATTTCCATGTATTTTTCTTCAACAGAATGATGTGAACACAATGCAGTTATTTTTTAATGGTGACTGAATGACCATGTGGTTCTCAGAAATAAAATAAGCTCCCCCAAGATTACAAAACAGATTCAAATAGTTACATTAACTTCAAATATTCATCTTCAGTTGAAAAGGTACTCACGAATCTACTCTTAATCCTTTCTTTCATAGTGCTTTTCAGAATCTCCATGGTTTCCTTATCAGACTGTTTATTTTTTTCAATATTTTCTTCCCTCTCTTGATTTTGTTTCTCCTTCTCCATTTGCCTCAACTTATCTTTCTCCATTTTCTCCAAACCTCAATTTCAATAAGTGGTAATGAATTATCAGGAACTAAATATATTAACAACCCAAATGTGACTGAAAATATAATTAATTTACCTTCTCTGATCCATGCTGGTAACTGTTTTCTCTTATTGGCATCCAGGGATGGCATGGGAGCTACTACTATTGGTTCAGGATCTGCCACCACTGGTGGTAAAGGTGCAGTAGCCCTAATTGGCACATTCACTTTACTATACCTCTTGTTATGAGGCTTAATGTGCTTCTGACCACTAGAACTTGTCCAATAACTTGAATGATTACCTTCATTTGTGGATGATGTGTTATAACTGGAAAACAATAAGTCAGAAACAATAAAACATACAATTCTAAGTTAGTTATTCTTACCTGCCAAAGGGCACAGCATTGTCACTGTTGCTTTCAGGAGGGGCACTGAAACTGTTTGAAGGTGTGGGCAAAAGTGCAGGCTTAACAACATTGATACTAGGAGGTGGCACTACGGTAGGCTGCACCCAAGTGTTGTTCCAATTCCAATTCGGGTTCTGAGAATAGTTACCCCACGTTTCGGATCCAGGAGCCGGCGGAGGCTCGCTGATATTCCAGATTGGAGCTGGAGGACAAGTCCCCTCAACAAGCGCTTCAACTGGCGAGATTTTTTCAGGAGGTTTCTTGATGATGACGGGCTGTTCGCCTGGAATAGGCGGAGGGCCGGATTCTTTCATTATTATCCATTGCTGGGCTAAAGCGGCCCAGTCTACTTGCTCGTTAGAGAGGTTTTGGTAAGTGGCTGGGTTCAGAGCCCACTGAGGGAATTTTTGGGATTCGTTGGAATCGCTGCCGGAATACATTTTGGTCTATTTCACCAGACAGGTCTAGACCTATTGAAGTTCATACTTTCCACATATTTATGGAAATATTTGGAAATATCTTCTACGACAGTATTCAATATTCAAGATGAAAGTGTCAAGTGTCAGCCTGTTGTCAGTCAAGTCTTTCAAAAATGTCAGTTATCAATGTCAGCAGTGTTGCCTAAGCGTAATTTGCTGACGGAATGAGAAGATTCGCTATCACCATAGTTTCTCTACCGACCAATCAAAACGATTCTGGTGGTAAACTGGTAAATTCGAATCGAATTTGTTTACGAGTTTGGCGGTTGCTGGTGATCAGTGGAGTGGGGATGGGGGTGATTATGATTGCTCCCAGGTAAGATCTCCCAGTAAGCAAAGAAAATCTAATAATACTCCTCACAATTCAATAGATGATAAATTTATACGATTTCATATACAGACAAAAGAACTACATTTTCAATGAAGCAAAATGATTTTTTAGATGAATTTAAATCTACGGTCTTTATATGCTACTTCTCCGGTTCTGTATTTGTGTTCAGCATTTGACCTGGATGTATGCATACAGTAAGTAGAAAGGGAAACGGGTATAACCAAAAAGGCTAACGCAATAAGAGCATTTTTCGAAGTAGGTCTGAAGAATTCAAAGGTGTTAATTTTCATCGCTTGGTACCGCTGCAATGCAGGATCAAACTGAAAATAAATAGGGATTGTTTTTATAAGGGTATTACCTCAGAGCCTCAGAGGTTTCTCAGAGGGTCTTGCCATCATTATCTATTATGATGACATAACATTATGATTTATGATTGTATATAGAAGTATACTTACAACCGTGCCACCCTCATTTGAAGCATGTCTGAAAGGATCACTTTTCAGTTTCAAGAACTGCTCTCGAAGAAATAATCTTCGTTTGGCTTTTTCTTCTAAAAGTCTTCGAGTAGACTCACTTACATCATATTCAGCAGACATTTTTATTATTGTGATGGGATAGGATGTGTTAAGAGAACCGCACACCGTCAATATTGATGAAATAAAATCCGTCAATTTAATATTTTTGGTTTGTCTATGGTTCAGACTGGCTACTTCTAAAGCGGGGTTCACAACCAAACTTTTTACGTTTTGTTTTTTACGTTTCGTATTCTGATTGGTGAAGCGGAATCTGAAATTAAACGTGAATCAAACTGAAGCAAATGTACTTCTCGACAAAAAACTTCAACGTGAAACGTGAGTTTTTACGGCTTTTCTCAGTTGCCTCGGTTTTGTCATTTGTGCTTCATCCTGAAATGTGAAACAATTAGGTAATTAAATAACGAATAATATTCATGAGTAGAATGATGGAAATGAGTAGATGGTGTACGTACTGATGCGCTTTTGTTTCAGAAATTCTCGACCTCCCGAGAGTCCCGTGAAGAATGTTTTTAGCTGGTTTCAGATAGATGGCGACATTGCACAATTATGACATCGGTCAATTTTTTAAATTGCCGCAGATTTTTCGAATTCAGGGTTAAATAATCCCACGTCACAGCAGCAATAGTAGCAGAAGATAAATACCCTATTCAAATAAATTCATGTAAGAATTTTTAGTTCAGTGGATTGTGAATTTGCATGGTATGTGCAATTTTGTGACTGATATTTTATGATGCAATAAATATGATTATTGATTCTTTGTGTTCTCATTTAAATGCATTCTACTCCTTTCTCGCATCGAATGCCTAAGAATTGCACGTACACTATATGAGAAAAAACTGGACGAGTAAAAAGTTGTGAGTCTTTTGAATGTCATTGTTGTATCAAATTTCAACATATTTCCATTCAGCTTAAGACATCTAAAAATCGACTAATACTAAAATTTTGAGTAGAACTGAAATTAGTGTAACCTTCATTCAAAGGATAAACAGAAACAATGAATTTCATTGCAACTAAAAATTTCATGATTAATTTCATTTTGTACCGACGAAAAATGAATTCAACAATTATGTATGTATAATAACAATGGAGAATAAACTTCACTTGATACATAAATAAATTTCGCAGTCCAATCAATTATTGAAGTTTCGGATTACATTTCATTTCGTAATAAGTATCAAGAATATTCAAATTATAATTGAAAAAATTAAACTGAATAAAATTTGTTCCGTAAATAATATTTCTAATTTTCATTTCATTCGCCTTGCAGATATTGTATTTCAATTCGTGAAATAATGAAATGTGTGGTTGATTTTTTGAAACATGAATTTCTATGTCTCTGTCTCTGATTCAGTCTAAAGGATTGTTCCTATTCATCTTGAATGGCAATTAGGTATGGTACCTTATTAATGAAAATGACACTTGCATTTTCATTGAATTAGATTGAAAATGCTTTATAAATTTTTTTGGTAGTTGATTTCTGTGCGTAGTTGATATATTTGTATGTATCCTGAATTAGAATTGTTTTCAATTTCTATGGAACATGAAATAATATGATACATGAATCTCTATGATAGTTGAATGAAAATATTACATGGAATTTCTATGGTAATGAATAAAAATGTTGCATGAATTTGTTTGGTACATATTGATATGATACCTAATTTCCATTGTAGTTGATTTTTTGTTTCATTTCCATTCATGTTAAATAAAAATTGTATTGAATTTTTATGGTAGGTATATACACGAATAAATAAGATACTTCTATTTCTATGGTAGTTGAATAAAAATAGTATACGAATTTATTTGGTACATATAAAAAGTATATACTTCAATTTCCATGAATGAATGAAATGAACAGACTGAGAAACCTAGCCAGCAATAACTAAAAACTAAAAAATAAATAGAAATAAAAATTAGCTTTTATTTGAACGCTTTAAAAGAATAAAATGAAATGTTCCACAAATATACACAATTTATATGATCATAAAAGCGACATAAAAATTCATGTTTCAAAAAAAATAAACCACACATTTCATTCTTTCAGGAATTAAAATACAATATTTACAAGACGAATGAAATGGAAATTAGGAATATTATTTACGGAAAAATTTTTATTCAGTATAATTATTTTAATCGTAATTTGAATGCCTTCCGCATATTTTTGATATTTGATGTAAATCGCCAAATTTATTGTTTAGAATTGAAATTGGATACAGGAACTTCGTGTAATAAATAGTAAAACATCTTTCCATAAAAAAACTGAGAATATTCAGCTTCTTGCGTCATGTCGATTCCAGATTTTGCTTCACTAATTATTTCAGACTGCGAAACGTAAAAAGTTTGGTGTGAACCCCGCTTAACAGTGTCTAAAATGCTACGTCAGATGTTGACCTTGGCTACCGCGAATTATTGTAAATTAAAAGTACCGTATGACGGTTATTTAGTCACTATTTCTCCCCTTCCTCTTTTCGAGTCCCCCTCCCACTTTAGTCACTGTTTGTTTTGTGTCACAGTCAGCTGTTTGTTTGTTGAATTTGTTGTCCGACTCACTTGGTGAACTCACATAAAGTAGCTGATTGCTGAGTAGCTATTATAGTATACAGTTGGTACACTAATTATATTTACCAATTAACTTTTTATAAATAATTGCCATTCCACACTGGTAAGTTGGGAATCCTAGGATTTGATAATTGTTTGATTATTTGGATAATTGGTATTTGGGAACTGGACTTCATCACTGATGAAATATTTTTCATTTTGAATTCAGGTGAACATGAAGGTGCTATTGCTGCTTACAGCCCTTTTTGTGGGACACCAATGCGTTTCCTTCTTTGATTTGGTCCAAGAAGAATGGGGAACTTTCAAGGTCTGTACAACCAAATTTCTTTGTTGTTTGTTTTCATTGTCATTGCCTATTGTTAGATATATTTCTACCTGTACTGAAACTGACTAGATTTTTTGTTACACAGGTAGATATGTTTTGCATTCAAAAACTATGTGTAATTTTTTTATTGGACCTATATTGTCAATTATTTTATTACCTTAATATACCTCAGTAGGTCTTTTTTCATAAGTATTTACTAATATACCTCTATACTTGCGAGGAAAAACCAGAGGAAAAAACAGTAATCATTGATTTGAATTTTGAATGTGGTTAATATTTTTTTAGCTTAAATCTTGGTTTACATTCATCTCATGATTGAATCATGATTTCTTGAAATTATACATACATGCCTATAAATAATTATATTCAAAGCTACCCATCAAAAGGGTAGTAGAGTAATTTTTGTCTCTATTTTCGGGAATCAACTTTATTTCAAGGAAACAATGCAGGAAACTTATTAATTATTCCATTATTCCAGAGAAAAAACTGAATATCCTCCCAATTTCATTAGCTAGATTCTTGTAATAATTTTGACAATAATATACCATTATTGATAATTCTCAACGTCTGTGTTTAGTTAGATATTGAAATCAGTTTAAATATTTCATCATCATAAGATTTATATTGTTGCCTTGCTTCTTTCTTCTTTGCCTTATCAATATTTTTCTTGAAGAAATAGTCCATGAGGTTATCAGCTAAGTATTGATGTCATAGTCTGGTGTACTCTCTGATTACATATGTTGCTGAATTGATTCTACGGAAATAAATGGGAAAACAATAACAAGTCATATTATGCTTCATACATATTACTGAATATCACCTAGACTCATGTAGGCAGGGTTGGGATAAGTTGTAGACTTTTATAAAAAAGTCATCAAAGTCCGACTTTTTGAATTAAGTCAGACTTTTTTGAATTAATTCATTTAAAAAAAAAACAAACAAATTTCATTTACCCAAAGTGAAATAGAAAAGAAGAAACAAAAAAACTATGTTTTTATTCCCTTCAGAAATCTTGTAGATTAACATCATAATATAACATGTCATTTTTTCAAAACAAAATTGAAAGTGATGATAGAATACAAATTAATAGATACATATAGATCCAGTATCATCCATAAAGTTCATAACACATGGAGAAAAAGTTTATTAGTAGAATATCGAAACATTTTTTCTCGGGGATCTATTATGCATGTCTGACTACTTAAAAGTCGATTTTGACACATGTCACTTGATCACTGGTATGGCGGTTAATTCAAAAAATTACTATGGCAAAAAGTGGGGTTAGATAAGAAGATGAAGTTATTTGAAAAAAATTAAAATAGCTATTTTCAGTTTACTCAAATAATGGCTGGAAACTCCATATGTGAGCATGAAATTGAATTCTATTCAACTTGTACATCATCAACATCACTACTGTCAGAAATAAAAGAGAATTGTAACAAAATTGAAGAATATTCGAAAAAATATAGCTATTTTCAATTCTCCTCCAAAAATTGCTGGAAACTGAATGTGGAATAGCAACTTAATAAGAAATGTTTATGGATATTCTGTTATCTAACCCCACTTTTCGTCGCTTTATAGTATTATTTTTATTAATCACCATACCAGTGATCACGTGACATGTGTCAAAATCGATTTTCAAGTTATCGGATAATGCATAAAGGATCGCCGAGAGAAAAAATTCGATGCTGTGATAATAAACCTGTTCTCATATGTTATGGACTTTATGGATGATACTTGATACTGTTAGTAAAAACTCTCTGTCATGCTTGAAATAACTAAGTCTTGCCAAAAACGATCTAATTTTTCAGTTTAAAATAGTTGACATCAAAGGTAATACATAGTGCAATTTGTCTCATTTTTTAAAATTTGAATGAATTCATGACTTTTTCGAAAAAAGTCAATAGAATTAATTCACGAATTAAATCACTGATATAATTCATATGAATTAATTCATGCCAACCCTGCATGTAGGTATTTCATTATGATGTCTATTCCCTGAAATCCTTTTTTCAACCAGGAATAAATATATCCCAGTTTATTTTATGTATTAGGTAGGTATATCAAAGGGATATCACTATTTACCTAGAATTCAATACATGTATGTTATATTGTTGTTTCCTGTTAGCTATGTCATCAGATCTGGCAATATTATATTACCCATAACTGATGGTCTTTCAACTATAATTTTGCTGCTGATATGAGTGATATTCAGTGAAAACATGTCATTCTATACCATTGTTTATTTTTAAATGTTTCTGTTCAATATGTTCACTTGAATAATATTAATGAATGCCAGTGATTCATAATTCTATTCAGATATTTTGAGGACATATTGTTGGGATCATAGTAAGACATATGTATATACAGGGTGTTTGGTTCACCGACGTATATCTGAAAAGGGGTGATAGTTGAGAACATTTCTAATATATTTTACCATATATATACTATTATACAAAGTGTTTTAATTTTCGAGGTATCATCGTTCTTTCAAAGATTTTATCTGATTAAATCGCTTTTTTCTTAGAAAGTTGAATACGCATTTCATCGATATTGAACAAGATATGGGACTATAACTCGGCTACGCCTCGTTAAAAAAATCAGATCTCGATCACCAAAGTATTTCGCGCTCGAGTTGCAAACAAAATTTTTTCTACAAACTGCAAAAAATATTGTTCTAAAGTAAAAATATCGTTAGCTTGATATACAAAATAGTGTTGAATTGGCTAAAAAGGCCTCCCTCTATCCTCCGTAGGTACGCACGATGTTCCACGAACATAATAGGAATTTCCTTTCGTTCGATCCAAGAGATAAAACGAAGTTATTGTTGAACATTCATAAATAAATGATTTCGTGGATGTTTGCTCGATTGAGGACCATAAAGTTGAAATATGAATATCTCATATATTTTACATAACAATGCGCGAAGTAGGTACTTCGCGCACTGTTTAACTTCGCGCATTTTTTTGTGCAAGGTATCATGGTAACATAGGAAACTGAAAAAAGTGTCACTTCGCAATTTGTTATCAATGCGCGAACCTTGTCATTTTTTGACGTTTGTAGAAAAAACGATTTTTGTAACATACAATTTTGAATATATAAGCTATGATTTCTCGAAAAGTGTAACACTTTGTATAATGGTATTAAATGGTCAAATTTGTTCAAAATCACATAACCTACCACCTCCTTCCGTATATACGTCGGTGAACCAAACACCCTGTAAATATATATATATCAGCGAGGCTCTGGAACACATTGCCAAGGGAGGTGTTCCCCGAGGCATATAACCTCCAGAAATTTTGGAAGAACACCAATTCCTACCCTATTTCCCTTGGTTCTCACGATGTTCTCTGAACATTACAGGATATCCCTTTTTGTGGGAACCAGATCATAAAAAAATATATACATTGGTATATCGATATACCGATTTTTTTTCATAATATCGTTTTTTCTGTGACGGAAAAAAATTTGGCATTTCATCTCTGTTGGCAGGTTATAAAATATCACTTTTCATGAATAACTTTTTTCCCGTGGGAAAAAAGTGAGTAATTTTTTCCCGGATATACAGGGTGCCCCTAGACCAGTGGGACAGTTAAATATCTTCTGAACCAATAGGAATTTTCAAAATATTATAATTTCACATCATATCGCATTATGAGTGCTAATTTCAGGAATGACTATATTTTATACGAGGGGCGCAAGAAAGGCTCACAAAATCGAACATCATTTTTTCAAATGGAACACCCTGTATTTCATTGCATTTTCATATTCTCCTTGAAGAGATGATTTCAACGACCTAGCACACTTGGGGTCTAGCGGGAATGATTTCCGAGATATAGGGTGTCGAAAATCGTGATTTCTCATTTTTAGGAATTTTTTGTGTCAAAACTATTCATTATTGGTCAAAACGGCTTACATGTCCATATCTTAACTTTTGATTTACTATTTACTCGTATTTGATTGAAACAAATACAGGTTGGTGTAGAATGTGATGTAGAATTCTCAGATTCAATCTAATTATCGGAATCATATGGAATCTTGCCGAAGAGAGTAAGTATGATCTCGTTGAAAAAGTATAGTATGTTACGCGTTTATAACTACTTGTTAAGTACATAATATACTATTACAATAATTAAAATAGTGGAGAAAAAAATATCTTTGATAATATTGTTTTCAATTAATGAAATAATGAATAATGTATGTGTGTGTCAGTAATCTTATCAGTGAAAATGTGTAATTCAAACCTCTAAACTAATCTCCCGAGTCCAAACCCATGAAAAATATTTGAAACAGTAATCAGAATAGCGTCACGAAATTATAAGGGGATATCTTGTTACCAGAGAGTCGCTACTATTTTTATTGATAAGGTTTTTTTCACTGAGGCATTATTTTGACTATCATACATATCTATCCAACCAACAATACTCCTGAATTTCAGAGAACTTATTGTCTCATGTTTGTATGTTTTTTGATGAGTCAGAATCCATGGAGTCATTAGTAATTGTTTTGTTATGATTATGAAATAATCTCCTGCGGTGTTGAGATAATGCATATAAAAATTCTCGAGTTTAATATGCCATGCATTGATAAATCCTATTCAATTATACATGAAATAATATTGGTATAGAAGGAAAATAAAAAGAAAGAAAAAAGTTGTTTGGTTATTTCAAACGATCAAAAAGATATTCGCTGCGTTCGAAGTTACCATTATGTTCAACGGGTGTGACTTCGCAATATCGAAACTTCTTTCTCTGTCACACTCATTGAGCATATGGAAACTTAGAACGCGAATATCTTCGTAATCATTTGAAATAACCCTATCAAACAGTTGTATTTTGAATGATTTTTTGGTTGTTAATTTAGCAAGTAATTGAATCGCAAGTAAATCTGCCACCCACAATATTCAATATTTCAATTACAGTTTGTTATTTGAGAAACAGATGATTTGATAATATACAGGGTGTCCCACGGCGATTATATTTATCATGTCATTATTCATCCCTATGAAACGATTTCAACAAACAATCACACTGGTGGACTAAAACAATTAATTCAAGAACTGCGCAGGTACTTCAATATCCTTTGTCCTAAAGTGTTTTGACTACGTTTCTCAATAAAATATAGTCAAATATACAGAGTGACCCTATACTCGAATAAATTCGCAGTTTCAGACCTTTGTAGTTATCGTCGTGGGACAATAGTACATTATACAACTAGGGAATAAAGTGCTATTTTGAATCCCTAGACATAAAGTTTATAGTACGACCAACGGGAGGGCTATAAAAACACTTTAGTCCCGAGATGTATACAGGGTGGGTCACCAGTAACGCCTCGGTCTCTAGAAGGCTAACTACTTATCTTCTTGGAATTCTTCCTCTCTAGGAAGTTGCATGTCAACATAGGCTACCATTTAAAATTATTTCGAAACATACAGGGTGTCCCCAAAAACCATAAAACACTGAAGTTAAACTTTTTTCTATCGAACACCCTATATATTATTTCATTTTGAGATTCTCCCTGATGAGCTGATTTCAACGACCCATCATACTTGGGGTCTAGCAGTTATAATTACTGAAATATAGGGTGTGAAAAATCGAGATTTTCCAAGTTCAAGAATTTTTTGTGTCGAAACTATTCATAATTAGTCAAAACGGCTTACATGTCCCCTATCTCAACTTTTGATTAACTATCTACTGATATTTAATTGGGACATATACCGGGTGATCAAGATTCTGAATTCTGCACCACCCTGTATTTGTTTCAATTAAATGTCAGTAGATAGTTGATCAAAAGTTGAGATAGGGACATGTGAGCCGTTTTGACCAATTATGAATGGTTTAGACACAAAAAATTCTTGAACTTGGAAAATCTCGAATTCTCACACCCTATATCTCAGTAATTATAACTGTTAGACCCAAGTATGATGGATTGTTGAAATCAGCTCACCAGGGAGAATCTCAAAATGAAATAATATATAGGGTGTTCGATTGAAAAAAGTTCAACTTCAGTGTTTTGTGATTTTTGGGGACATCCTGTATGTTTCAAAATAATTTCAAATGGTAGCCTATGTTGACATGCAACTTCCTAGAGAGGAAGAATTCGAAGAAGATAAGTGGTTAGCCTTCTAGAGACCGAGGCGTTAATGGTGGCCCACCCTGTATACTATTTTATGCACTTCAGGATAAGTAAAACGTTGTAGAAAAAATAACGAGAAAAAAATTAAATGCTACTTAATATATCTAATCTAATATCTGAATTCCCGAATGGGGGTAAACTAGGGGTAAATCACGGGCCAATTTCGGGTACACTAGACTTCCTTTGTCGAAAGTATTCCCGGAATTCTTGGGACTACCCAAATAATTCCCGGACTCCCTAAAAAATACCCGGAATTCCCAGACTACCTGGACTACCCAAGAAATTCCTGGACTTCACAAAGACTACCTGGACTACCCAAAGAATTCCCGGACTTCCCAAGGAATTCCCGGACTTCCCAAGGAATTCCCGGACGTCCCAAAGAATACCCGGACTACCCTATGAATTCCCGGACTTCCCAAAGAATTCCCGGACTTCCCAAGGAATTTCCGGACTTCCCAAGAAATTTCCGGACTTCCCAAAGAATACCCGGACTTCTCAAAGAATTTCCGGACTTCCCAACGAATACCCGGACTACCCAATGAATTCCTGGACTTCCCAAGGAATTCCTTTGATTCCCAAAGACTACCCGGACTTCCCGAGGAATTTCCGTCTCGGGTACACTGAACTCTTCCCACATGATTTACCCCTCGGAGGGTAAACAGGTCTTTTAATCTTGATTGTTTAACAGTAAACATTTCTGTAGCATATGAATCTGAATTAAAAGTTCAAAAGATGTAAAAATATGGTTATCAAATGATAATATCGTCATTAATAGGAACCTCACGTCATTGTTTTTAGTTGACCCACAAAAAACAATATGAAAGCGAGACGGAAGAACGCTTCCGTATGAAAATCTTCATGGAGAACTCGCATAAGATAGCCAAACACAACAAACTGTACGCCATGGGACTCGTTTCCTACAAACTAGGAGTGAACAAGTATGCTGACATGCTGCACCATGAATTCGTCCAAGCTGTGAACGGGTATGTTTTCCTCAGATCTAGACGAGTACGGATTTGAGTTTTTTTTTTTCAAATAACGTAACTTGATATACAGTGTAGACAGTTAAAATGATACTTCACTGCCTAGGCAGTAAAAGTGATACTTTACTGTCTGGCAGTGAAAGTGATACTTCACTGCTGAATTTAAATAGAAAACAATAATTCTTAGTTGGCATAATATTATACTGTTGATGCACTGTATTTATCAAAACGGTTCAATATGAAGTGAAAGTATAGAAATGTTCCTCAGCGGGATTTTTTGCAGGAAAGAGGAATATTATCGTTGAAAAAATCCAATCCCATCCATCATTAGGCAATAATATTCGATTTTTGATAATATTCTACTGATTTGATTTATTTTTCATTAGAATTGACCGATTTTACTCCGGTTTTAATCATTTTTTTTTTATTGAAATATCAACATTTACTTTTCAGGATTCCCAAAATATCATTTTTCTGCAACCGACACAAAAGTCGTCCATTTTGATAACAAAATTAGCTCTTAAATTGACGTTTCTATTACTGACACAAAAATAGGTATGTTGCTAGGCAACATATTTGGTTCCTAGGAGCTAAAGTTGAATTTTAGTTCCTAGGAGCTAAAGTTGAACTTTAGCTCCTAGGAACTAAAAAGGATCTACTGGGCGTCATCAAGAATAAACAACATTGTGACGGTTGGTTATTTGGGTTGAGACGCATACCTGATTTGTTTCCGATTTCAGCAGATTTGGCATTTCATACCCATGCTAGAGATATAAATACGCCCTATTATAGTTATATAAGTATTGGAATTATAAACATCTCAGTCGAGTATTTTTGTTTTGATCAGGGAAGCCTTCAAGAGTCAAATACTCGCTTGATCTGTATTTCATTCGTTATTCTCGGGATGGATAACTTGTTTTTGAATAATCACGGCAAGCAATAGTTTTTTTGTCTCAAACAACGATATTGTTTAACTTCATTTGATTATCAAGTCAAACACAGTGTAGTATGGAGAGGAATAAATAATCACTATTATCATTGTTGATATGCTCACTAACCTAACATTTTCCACGTCTTGTTCCTATAGCTGGCACTAGCGCGGTATTTGTCATTAGAGCACCTGGTCCATACACAAATATGTCACTCTGTGGTTGTATTTATATTGAAACTACAATTCGAACTTCCTAGAAAACCTAACCTGCTGTTAGTGCAGGTAGAATAGTCTCACCACATGGATTATTTGTCAATATTTGTTGCATTGCATACATATGGCACGGCATTGGTGGTTACTTCACATGTTTATTTGAGTTAATTGTTTCGGTTGCAGAAAAAATAGCATGTTTCATTCGGATCAAAAGTGACTTTGTTCGACTCGCAAATTTTGCTTTCGCTCGGCTTCGCTAAACGCTCCGCCTCGCAAATGCAAAATTCGCTTGTCAAACAAAGTGTCACTTTTGATCCTAATAAAACAATCTACTATTTTAATATTTTCGATTGATTATCTAAAGATGAAGCACAAGATTTGCGGAATTTTTTAAGTTTCCGAATCTAAAATTTCGATACTATCAGGGTTCAGTAGGTATTGAATCATAGATCTTTTTTTTCGTTAATTCAATACACAGTGATACTGGTAGTTGAACAGCTAATATACTGATGGTCAGAGACTCGTCTTGACCAATTTCTCTTATAAATTCCACAGATACAACAAGACAAAGAACGTTTTGAGCGGAATAGAAATGGACGATGCCATCACTTTCATTCCTCCTGCTAATGTGAAAATGCCAGAAGAGGTAGACTGGAGGACCAAGGGAGCCGTGACTGGGGTCAAAGATCAAGGTCATTGCGGTTCCTGCTGGAGTTTCAGCGCTGTAAGTGTCAATGTCACCCTCAGGGGCTCACGACTGCGGCGAAACTCTTTTAAATCTCAGGGTTTTTTGTTTAGGGGGTTAGGGTTCACACTGTGTATATTTGCAGCAAAGAAACGAGCCGAGTCAGACAAACCAGTTTCATTTTTCCCAAACTTGCTAGGTATCTACAGCTGACAGATAAAACTTATGATTATGCCGCGTGACTGATTCACAATTGAATGAAAGAAAAATAGGAACTTAGCGGAGGCCAGTACTTGATTGTTATAAAGATGTTATTAGCATCAACTCACCTGATAGATCAGGTACACTGCTACTCAAATAAACGTATTTCAGCGCAGTTGGAAACCACAAAATTCTATTCAATATCAGATACTTCGCTGGGTATGAAAGGTATTAATAATCGTAGATGACAGTCTGATATGCAATGCTCGAAATTCACTAGGACCACGAACAACGACAATTTCGTGAAAAAAATGAACAGACTTTTTGGACGCTCTAAATAAAAACGGGCAGCGATTTTACTAAATATACTGCACGCAAGCATAAACCACGCCCACCGTAAAACGTCATATCTCCAAACATCGCACTAAATATACTGTGCTCCAACGCGAGAATTCACTTTTTATGATTTTGACACGAATTCAACTGAAGCTCTATCGCTGTCTCTTGTATGCAGTAAATTTATATACCCAACGGTCTACTGGTTAGCCCTGGCGACTTCCAGTCCGAAGGTCCATGGTTCGAATCGCTGTGAACTTATACTTTGTTTGCAAGTTTTTTTTTACCAATGTTTTTTCACTTCATTCTGGTTTTCCTTCTTCAGAAAATATTGCAATCAGGAATAGGTAAGTCCGTTAAGGATAAATAGTCTCTGAGTTTTGCCTAAGTAAAGTACTTTGAAGATGAGATATAACGGTGGGCGTGGTATGTGCTAGCGTACAGTATATTTAGTAAAATCGCAAACGGGCATAGGTACCACACGGCGAATAGTAATCCGAATTATTTAGCTCCATTGCAGTATTCGTGGAGTGGTGATAAGCCAAATCCAGAAATGAAAAGGATGAAATTGGAAGGTTGTATGCTACTCTATATCAGTTTCGCTACACGACTTGTGAGTGCGGGAATCACAATCCCGAGGTACCCTAGCCGGATACTCATTAATCTTCAACTTGGTATTTTGTGGTATCCTCTTCATTCTTTTGTATCGGCCCCTCTTGGTCAATTCTTCTTTTTCCCTTCTCCCCTAAAACCCAACCTCACCATAGTGCGGGGAGGACAAGCCGCGGCTGCTCGGCAGATCAAGCATTTTGTCCCCAAGGATGGGGCAATTTGTGAACATCTGCTTATGTATAGAGAATTTCAACATACAAACATATCAAAGAAAAAACAATACACTAAGTCGGTCGACCACAAAGTTTTATTACAAAAAACTAGACTAGTTTCGGCTCAAACAGCAATCTTCAGGCACAATACACAGTACCTGTAAAGATATTTGGTATACAAGGATAATAAGATATTGAGGAAAAACATACCAAAAAGGCCACGTGGAAATATAATTAATAAAATTAAAATATTAAGAAGCAGAGGTCATTTGGCCAAAATTCAGTCCGGTAAAGAAATATTAAAATAATTGAACCGACTGAACAGCCGCATAAAAAATTGAAAACAAAAATCGAAAAGTTTGTCACAAAAAATTGTTAATAACTCTTATGCTTTTGTAGACTGGATCCCTGGAAGGCCAAAATTTCCGCAAAACAGGCAGACTGGTCTCCTTGTCCGAACAAAATTTGGTCGATTGCTCCACCAAATATGGCAACAACGGCTGCAATGGCGGTCTCATGGACAACGCTTTCCGTTACATCAGGGTAAGACATATTTTTCCTACCATTTTCCATAATTGATGGCATTTTTCAGTACACTATATTACACTCATCTCTTGTCGGTGTGAAAAATAATTCATTTTCACCATTTGACCTGTCATTTATCTTGTTGACATCTTGTCACCCGGACGTTTGATGTTTGATTTTTTTGATTTTTCAGTGACGCTAACCTCAAATGCACTTAAGTCTACTCATGTGGATTGTTGTTAAATTCTCGACCAATTTAGTTTTTCACCTCATCTAAACCTCTTGAGGGTATCTCAGAAGGTACATGCCCCTCTCAAAATGAAAATGTCTGCCAAAATCAAAATATTTTGCATGTTTCATAATTTAATTCAAGAATGTATCACAAATATTAAAAACAGTTTTTTCATCCTCAGTGTGAGTAAAATTAGCTATTACCGTGTTCCTGTTACTAGTTTTCACTATTGTAGGACGATATAGAACCTTGGCTGATGATGGGCTTGTTATAAGCCCGAAACAAGTCCCCCCAATTGTAACATAACTATTTTTTGATCTTGTCCTGAGGTATATATCGGTCAGACAGGTCGTACGTTTAATCAGCGCATTCATGAACATAAGATGAATTTTTTGAAAAAGAAAACAAATTCAACATACGTCAACCTAGAAGAAAATCATAGTTTTGATGATAATTCAGAAATTCTTCACGTAGAAAATTAAGAAATGAAACTCAATCATTTTGAATCATTAGAAATCAAAAATTCTGACATTTTACTTAACGATCGATTAGACCTCAATAGTTCACCACTGTTGAATGTGTTTCCTTAGTAGGTGATAATATTTATTTGCATCAACCCTTTCAAGTTAATCCAGTACACCATATTTTAATGTAGTATTTTGAAAATGTATTCTAATTGTTAATTATTTTGTACTTTCTTAAATTGATATCCCACTTCTGATGTTAGATTCTTGGGAACGGATAGCTATCACACACACAAACACAAAATACAAAATTCATTTCTTAAAATTATAAAGTTAATATTGAACAAAAGCAGAACGGCAAATATTCCGAGCGACTTCATCCAATCCGACAACTCGAATGCCTTTCGATGAATCGACCGGTAACGGTTGTGCTCACGTAATTCGACAATACACGTTTCTTATCAGACAAAACACGTTGAATTTCAAGCAATGAGTAATCTACTGTTGGAATTTAAGAAAGTACAAAATAATTAACAATTAGAATACATTTTCAAAATATCTAACAGTAGATATTGTGCCTAATTTCTGAAAATGGAGGTTTATCGAACCTGACCACAGATAACTAATCCTTCAGGTTAGGAAAGTAGGAAATATAAGCAAACCAAGGTTAGTTTGTTCATCATATCACATTACAAAGCTACTGTGTTAGCGAAACATGTCCGGTGTTTGAGAATTTTGTGAAAATCTTATCGTTTGTGAAGTTTTCACATTTGTAACATAACTATGTTCAACAATTTAGTGTCGTGAAGATGATTCTGAGATTTGCTATTCCTTCAAACACTATCACTCCACTTTGAGCAGTATGGACTACTTCACACGTTTTTATATCGACATTTTCATTCATGGCGTCGAAAAGAAATAATCTCAAAATCACCATCTGAAAATTTCTGAACTCTTCACTCATCCCCCGCGTTTTCTTTCGCGACCTTCAGGACAACAAGGGCATCGATACGGAGGCCTCGTACCCGTACAAGGCCGAAGACGAGAAGTGCCACTACCGGCCGCAGAGCAGGGGCGCCGTCGACAGGGGCTTCGTCGACGTCGAGTCGGGCAACGAAAACCATTTGAAGGCGGCCGTCGCGACGGTGGGACCAGTCTCGGTCGCGATCGACGCCAGCCACGAGACGTTCCAGCTGTACTCGGAAGGTGAGTGGAAGACACCGAGATTCCTTAATAAATCATTCGAAAGTCTACGCCAACAATTTTAAACGCCGAACACGGATAAGTAAATAAAATCGCGAATAGTGGGGATAACTCTGTGGAATTATTGTTAGCCAGGAGACGTTCCAGCTGTACTCGGAAGGTGAGTGAAAAGACACCGAGATTCCTTCATAAATCAATCGAAAGTCGACGCCAACAATTTTGAACGCCGAACACGGATAAGTGAATGAAATAGCGAATGGTGGGGATAACTCTGTGGAATTATTGTTAGCCATGAGACGTTCCAGCTGTACTCGGAAGGTGAGTGGAAGACACCGAGATTCCTTAATAAATTATTCGAAAGTCAACGCCAATAATTTTAAACGCCGAACACGGATAAGTGAATGAAATCACGAATGGTGGGGATAACTCTGTGGAATTATTGTTAGCCACGAGACGTTCCAGCTGTACTCGGAAGGTGAGTGAAAAGACACCGCGATTCCTTCAATAATCATTTTGTAACGTCTTTATAAGGTTATTTGATATCCTCAATATTTCAAACACATGAATAAAGTTGTCAAATGTATACACCGTGTCCCAGCTAAAATGTCTCCACCTGTGCAAAATCAACCGCGCGATCGAATGACTTGAAATTTGGTCACCCAGTATATTTGATGATGCTGACTGGAAGTATGCTATTGAATAAATCGAAGTTGACGTTATTATACTGTGGTATTATAAACAATTGATGATTTTAAATATTTTATTATGATCAGATAATTATTTACGAACCTAACCTAACTTGAAATCTGATCCTCACGTCGGTAGTTTCTATCCTTCACTTTCCATCCTTATAGATTCAAAGAGTTCCTCTCATTTTGGTCCCATTTTGTTGAGATATCGTATAGGCGATATCTCAACAAAATATACCTATATAGAAATAGTAGATGTATGGTCTAACGTATCATCTGCACGGATGTTTGAGCGAAACTAGAGTTCCTAAATGTAATTGACACGGCAGTTTTGACGTTTTTTGTGTATTAGGTACGGACACTAGACAAGCAGTGAGAATCAAAAATAACCACAAACGATATTGAAGCAAATCATATTTTTTATCAGACAAGGACAAGAATATGTTTTTTGCTTAGATAAAGGATCCTCGCATCTTCCATCCTCCACAAGTCCTGGGAAGAGTACATCCATATATCTTTCTCTGTCTTTGATTCTTGTATGAGAGTGCATAGCGTCTCCTCGAGTGGGTAAAAGGGTATGATGAATTTATTAGAAAATTATTTCTTCTCGAAGTATTGAATGATAAGGCTGAAGGACCTCAATGGTCGATATCCAAGTTGGTGTGTACATATTATATACCAACGAAATACATATACTATTCCTATGAAATAAGTCTCTTATATGTAGATATACAGGGTGTTTCATAATTGGATGTCAATATTCGAGTAGGCGATTCTCGAGCCCATTCTAAGAAGAAATTTTCATATGAAAGTATGACCTAAACGTCCTAACTTTTTAGATACAGGGTGGTAAAGTTCTCAAAAATTAATAAAGCCTATTACAATGAAAAGTTATAATTCCAAAATACCAAATACGAATAGAAAGTTCATAAACTATGAATTGTATTACTGACATTTGATCAAGAAAATAAAATATATTTCACTGCATTGTGATATTGTTATATTAACGATATTGCTATAATAATGCGTAGTGAAAAGCTTTTTTATTTTTTCAAGCGGAGACCGTGCATCAGATTGAAAAAATTGTAGTGATCAAATTTGCTTAGAAATGATTGGGAATTTCAGGAATGATTTCAATTTCGAGATTAATCAGTGGAGTACCATCAATGTCTGCCAAAATAGGTATGTGAAATTCCATACGAACACCACTGGTGGCAACCAAAAAAAATGTGGCACACTAACTGATGCCTCTTGATACATAGTACATGTATGCCAAAATTCATTAGAATATCTAAAGTGGTATTACAGATATTAATAAAAAACTGTTGATTTTCGAGAACTTTACCACCCTGTATCTCAAAAGTTAGGACGTTTAAGTCATACGTTCATATGAAACTTTCTTCTTAGAATGGGCCCAAGATACGCCTCCCCAAATATTGACATCCAATTATGAAACACCCTGTATACACGTTCAGTTGAATATTTTTTCATCACAAAAGTTCAGAATGGGGTAAAAACTGATAAACTCCAACCAATGAAACATACTTTCATTTCGTATGGAACAATTCCACTTGTACAAGAGTGGTAGGTAATAAGTTATCACTTCTTGGGCACTAAGATAGGAGCAAGATATTATCAGAGCACAGAAAAAAAAAACGCTCAACAAGTGCATCATTTATGTTAGGTATTGAAAATGATCTTCCGATGGCCGGGTTCAACCAACAATCCCCTTTAGCAATGTGAACGGCGATCTATAGTGAGTCGAGCGCTTATACCTACTTCGGTATGTCTTGGAGATCCTTTATTATTTATCCTAAGTGAAATCAGCTGTTATTGTTGCCATATCATTTGTTTATTTATTAATTACTCAACACCTACCACTCTTATACAAGTGAAATTGTTCCACACTAAATAAAAGTATGTTCCTTGAAATATCAATTTTTACCCCATTCTGAACTTTTGTGATGAACAAATATTCAACTGAACGAATAAATATACCTACATATAAGAGACTAATTTCATAGGAAAACTATATGTATTTCGTTGATATATATTATGTACCTATTAACTTAATATCAACCTCCATTGAGGTCCTTCAGCCTTATCATTCAATATTTCGAGAAGAAATAATTTTCTAATCAATTTATCGTACCCTTTTGCCCACTCGAGGAGACGCTATGCACTCTCATACAAAAATCAAAGACAGAGAAAGATGCATTCTTCCCAGGACTTGTGGAGGAAGGAAGATGTGAGGATCCTTTATCTAAGCGAAAAACATATTCTTGTCCTTGTCTGGGAAAACATATGATTTGGTTCAAAATCGTTTGTGGTTATGTTTGATTGTCACTGCTTGTCTAGTGTCCGTACTCTAATAGGTCGCGTGCAAGAACTGTCAGATGACCGACCCTGGAGGCAAAACATATTTGTTTACAAGTGATCGAAATAGTTTTCCACAATTATTTTGGCATATGAATCGTATTTTTTCACTATTCATCAATTCGCTAATGCCATCACATTGTGCTGTTGTAAAATGCACAAAAACTGCAGCGGAAGATGAAACAATCCGGATGGTACATTATGATTCAAAAGTAAGTACCTACTATAGTCACTCACATAGTTTTCATTTTTGAAATTTGGTTATTTCTCTGATTTCTCATCGGAATTCCTTCTGCAATAGGATCAGCTAATAGAAATATACCTAAAATTTCTAGAATAATGCAAGAAGATTGGATTCATGCAATCAATCGGTAGGACTGGTCTGACATGCTGACGATCGTGTGTGTTGTAGACATTTTCAATCTATTAGCAGCATTAGCTTGTATTGCAGAAGTGGCAGAAGGCAGAAGGAATTTTAATAAGGAATGACAACATTTCATAATGCTAACTATGTGAGATTACTATTTACCTGAAAAATCATATTCTCTAGTCTCTTGCTGCATTTTTTGTGCATTGTACAACAGCACAATGCGAAGGCATGCTTGAATTAATGAATAACGCAAGAAACACGATTCGTATGCCAAAATATTGTGAAAAACTATTTCAACCTTTGGATTCCTCTGTGAACAAATGAAAAAGTGAGGTTGTGTTCCAATAATTCACAGAAGAGTGAGGTTGTGTTTCAATAATTCACAGAAGAATGAGGTTGTGTTTCAATATTTTGCCTCCAGGGTCGGTCTTCGTGCACGCGACCTATATACAAAAAACGTCAAAACAGCAGTGTCAAGTACATTTGGGAACTCTAGTGCGACCGAACTTCTCTATTCTTCTTCTTTTTATTTCAGGTGTGTACTCCGACCCAGAATGCAGCTCCGCCGAGCTTGACCATGGAGTCCTGGTAGTAGGCTATGGTACCGACGAGAACGGCAACGACTATTGGCTGGTGAAGAACTCGTGGGGGCCCAGCTGGGGCGCGCAGGGCTACATCAAGATGGCCAGGAACAAGGAGAACATGTGCGGTATTGCTACCCAGGCTAGCTATCCTCTAGTTTGATCACAGCGAGTTTCGTTTGGTTTTTTAGGTTAGGTGATTTGTTTAGCGATTTTTTTCTCGATCAAAGTTGCTGCAAGTTTGACAAATAGGAACAACGTCTTACATGGTTTGTTTGGATTGGAAAGTTGAGACTTCAGCTTCAGATGGTTACTCTTATTATTCAAAGTGGTTTCATAATTATTCAAAAGGATGAAAGAAAGCTCAAAGTCGTCTCCACAGTTTTAATGATCTAACAATTTGTTAAGGGGTCATGCTTCCGACTTAGAAAAAGTCAATTTTCAGCCCAAGTTAGAGGTTAATGGAGGTGAAAATAATCCAAAAGTGAATGTTGGTGCCAATCAATGCCCATCATTGAGATTTCCTTCTTCCTTATGAAAAATTCCACTACATTTTGAGCAAACATGGACTTCTAACAGAGATTTCATAATTATTCTCTATCCTTGAAAAAATATGTCATTCTCTTTGATCAAACATCAGCTAAGCTTGAAGAGGATGTTCTCTTATGGGGTCCAGCGTCCCAAAATGTCACAAAAACACTCCGCAAAATACAATTGAACAAACCTGATGGGAAGTAATTTTATCTGTCAAACTTGCACCAAACCTATGTAGGTTAGATTATTCATTCAACCTTATTTTCTATCGATCAAAGTAGCTCTCTTTTTATGATTTTTTCTCTTTACCAGTCTCTCTGAGTGTATCTCGAATAGTTAGTTAGGTTAGGGTAGTAATTCTGTAGACTTGAATCGTGTGATTTTAGGGTTTATAATGTTTTTATGATAGGCTGTGTCCCTGTTAATAAACTGCGTCAATAAAGAGAATTGTGTTTCATTCCTGTTATCAGGTTTCGCGAGTCCTCAAATGATTGATATGCAAAACCAATAAATGTTCTTTGAATCGTGAGCCTATATTTTTACGCGTTTGTCCAACATATTTCTATTTCATACAATGAATAGCTAAATCTGTATGTCCAGATTAAGTTCTTTTGAGATTATGAAGACGAACTATATTGTATAGAAGTAATATCACATGATTAGAGTTGTCGAACGTATATTACGAACATAATATTATCAATAGATTTACACACGGAGCCTCTTTAGCAGTGTTAGTTCAACTAACGAGTGCGTAATAGCATCAAAACGAGTTATGTACTATACTTTTACTACGACTACACTCATTTCCTCTTAAATTCAGTATCTAAATTTTTAAGTGCGCAATAAATAACTTTCTTATGATCGATCAGCTAAGTTGGAAGTGGATGTTCTCCAATGTGGTCCAGAGTTTCAAAATTCCTATAAAACACAGTTGAAACTCCTAAAACTATTAAACAATGCAGGGACGTAATTTTATCTGTGAAACTGCACCAAAAATATCATTCAATATGTTTTTTATCGATCAATGTAGCTCATTTCTTTTTCATAATTTTTGTTCTTTACCAAATACTTAGGTAAGATTATAGGGTAGTATATTTATGTAGACTTGAATCGTGTTTTTATTATTATTACATTTTTTGAATATGGTGTGGCCCTTGTTTATATTGTGTCAATAAAAAGATTCGTTTGTTATTCCTGTTATCCGTTTTCGTGAAAATTTACGATTACTCAAATGATACGCGAAACCAATAAATGTTCTTTGAATCGTGTGCCTATGTTTTTACGCGTTTGTCCAACATATTTCGTGTCGCTTCTTCCTGAAGTCACGATCATTCATTTTTGAAATAGTTGTGCTTTTGTGATTGAATTTTGTTCAATCAAAAAAATCAATTCATCTTGCTAGTATCTGAGAAGTTTTTATACAATTCGCTCAAACGGAATTTTCAGATTTTTTGAGTTAATTTCATTGAAGATCATGAAGAACGAACTAAATTGTAGATATATTTATAACTAGAGTTTTTGAACGCATACTACGCAAATATAGAGATAGTTACAAACGTAACGTGTAACTGACGAATGCGTAACACTATCAAAACTAGTGGTGTACTATACTTTTTCTACTACACTCGCATTTCTTCTAAGTGTCTTGTGTTCCTCTGCGCATGTTATAGTGGATAAATGTTATAACGAATATTTTCTCTTTAGCTCTGGTAAGTGTTGGAAGTTACCTACCTTGTTTGATGTCCATCAATATTCGTTATAGTTGTGGCAGCTCTGTTGTTAGGGAGCAAGGTATGGGTTCGATTTCAATAGGGGTCCTATTTATATTGTCAGGCGCCACCCAATTTATTTAAGCAAAAATTGAGAAAAGAAAACTGTTGGAAATAAAATATCTCAGTTGGACTACACTTATTTAATAAACCCATCAGTAGCAATTTATATAAAGGAAAAGAAGTACTAAGACACAACTGATTTATATAAAAGAAGAGAAATACTTGGACACCACCAAATATTGTTTCAGTTATTTTCTAATTGAACTTTTGTAGCAGTTGTGAAAGTTGATATACTTGTCTTTACACCAGGGTGCCTAAAACACTATCATTTATCAAAGTTACCCCCCTTATATTGGCCAATATATGAGTTCACAAACTGGTGTGAGACTTACTAGTTATTTTAAACTATATTTTATGTATTAATTAATAAATTTCATAATTAAATTTAAGAAAATTAAATATCTATGATTTCGAGTGGTAAAATCCTCCTAAATGGAAATCATGAGGATATCTCCCCTTTTATCAGTAGAAACTGGATGGGTCTAACCTTGTGGTCCCAGAAGCAATTCAGGCATTAAACAGAGCCTGGAGCCTAAGCAGCCACACAGCAAACAGCAGAAATGAGAGCCACACAGCAAGCAGCAGAATTTAAGGTAGCACTACGTCCCTGTAGTCTCATGGGGCCAGTGCCTGGATGGGACAATGTCACGTGTCCTGGCGGTCCTAGAGAAACAGCGGGGCCTTCAACATTCCTGGGCAGCAGATGATCGCAACAGGGCTCCAAAGCTGGGGAGGACTGCTTGACATGCAGGTACTTGCAGGAATCGGATGAAAAGGCAGGTCTAGGTCGTCGACAAAATCCGGCGTGCACGGCGTGGTCCAGGCGTGAGTTAACCTCACCCAAAAAGGCCAGCAAATCTGGAATAATCCCATCTGCTAAAAGGTATCCCGAAATGGGGAATGAAAATAAAACAGCTTACCTTCCCGTAGGAATAGCCTATGTTTCGGGTGCTGCTCACACCGGAGGAAGAAATAAAAATGGTCAACCATCTTCATGGAATCTCAGAGCTCGTCGAACAGACAGAATTTCGACAAGGAAAAAGGAAATTCGTCACTAAATGAGCAGATCATTTTGAAAACCGTTCAGAAAAAACATTCGAAATGTAAATTAGTTTCTGCGCACCTGCAGAACCAACTTAATAATAATAATTATGATATTGCCAACTGCCACATAAAGCAGCAGAAAAACCCACGAGCAGCAAACGACAGTAACGTACGTATCATCCTATAATCGCAGCTTCGTCTACCCACAGACCAGATAGTTGTGAAGTGAAGGTGACCTGACGTCACAGCGAAATCAACTGGGAGGATCCCGGCTACACTGCATCACCCCAGGCACTACACTCGATGCCCTCCAACTGAACTGGAATGCACTTGACCCTTGACGTATAACGAATGACAAATTATGATCATGACATATGACAAATAGGACATTATGCTAATGACCTAATTATTACCTTTTCCTATGAATGTAAATATTGAATAAAAATAAGAGAATTAGGAATTCCACAAACGACTGTTGAAAAATATCTGCAGTACCAGAACCACAAAATTAGATAACCCATTTAAGGCATACTTGTCAAAGGTGAGTATCAACAATTCAAATAGAAATTTATAGTAGATGTCCAATATCTTAGTCAGTTTGGAAATAATACATTTTAATTCTGTTTCAGGAACCTAAACTGGATGCCAAACGGAAGAACTCGTCAGTCCAGCCGTTCATATCAGTGAAGTTCCTGGTCAAGATTAGGTACAGAGTGTTCTGCCAGAGAACACCCAACACTATGTAATTATTTTGAAATAAAGGAATCACTTAGTTCATATTTTTGTTGTTTAAAGACTTTCCACGTATACTGAACGATGGTAGGGTAGGTATTGCTACTAACAATGGAAATGGCCAATTTTCATGTTATATTCACCCCCCTCCTATGGAAAAAATTTGACATTGGAAATGTCACAATTTTTTTTTTTATTTGGGCAATAGTGCAGACCAAAAAAATTTTTTTTAGCTTGCCTTATTCTAAACTCGAGTTTATTTTTAACTTACTAGACGCTATGGACTATGACTATCGACTAACTTAATCTAATATTATACAAGGTTGCACTATATACACGGTTGAACCTATTATTCTAGGCTAGAGTGCTTTCCGCAACAGACCTGGTTTCTTCATCTGATGAGGACCAATCATCAGATCCATATACGGGTTTTAAATCCTCTATGTGCCAGGTTCCGACATTGCCAATGTGGCCTTCATCATCTCTACAGACGTAGACGAGTTTCGATTTTTTCTTTATTATCGTACATTTTATGTAACGTGGTGCCAGTTTTTTACTGAAATTATCTCCAGCATTTGAAAGAACTTTATTTTTTCTTAAAACTTCATCTCCTACGAAAAATTCCTTATCTCTCCTCCTTAGATTATAACGTTTTGCGTTTCTACTATAAGCAATATTAAGTTTGTTCTGAACCTCGTTAAAGATCTCTGACATTTTTCCTAAGTTTTCAACCCAATTTTGTCTGTCTATCAAGTCTAACTCTATATCTCCCCTCCCATAGTATTTACCGGAACAAGGCACTTCTCTACCAAAATTCAAAAAAGCTGGGCTGTACCCTGTTACTTCGTGAACCGCTGTTCTCAGCGCATACGCGATTTTTGGCAATTCTTTGTCCCACAACTTGTGGTTATCTGTAATATAACTACGGATTGCCGTCCCTATGGTTCTGTTAGTTCTTTCAACGTAGTTGGCCTGTGGGTGGTAATATGGGGTATACAATATATGAGTTTCATATTTTTTAACTAAATTCTTAATAGAGTTGCTAACTAGTTGCCTTCCATTGTCGCAAATTATGTGTTGGGGAACCCCATACACTAGAAAAACATCATTTTCGAGAATACGGACTATACTTGGGGCGGTAGCATTACGAAGTGGATAAATTAAAGGATACTTAGTGAACCAATCACTAATCACTAATATGTATTGAAAACCGTTAGAGCTACGAGGCAAAGGGCCCATCAGATCTAAGGCTATAACTTGCCATGGAAATCTTACTTTTTTCTCAGTACCCATGAGACCAAATTTCGAATAGTTTGGGGCTTTCTGACAAGCACAAATTTTACATGATTTTACATAACGATATATGTCACGCCGCATTTTCGGCCAAAAATAAGTTAGGGTCACTCTAGAGAAAGTTTTGAAATATCCTAAATGCGAGGCTGTTGGTGAATCATGACAAAATGATATGATTTTCCTTCTTTGCTTCTTAGGCACTAATAATTTCCAATCAGAAATGTTTGTATTCAAAGGAACTTTGGATGGCACCAGTTTATAGACATAATTATTATTAACCGACCAGCTCGGAAATTTATCTGGTTCCGACAAAATATTGGAGCGCATTCTAATATAAAAAGAATCTAAGTTTTCGAGGTCCACATCTAGACAAACATTATTATCAGAATTTTCAATGACAAAATTTTCGTTAACAGTAGTTTCAATAGGAGTAGATTCATCAGGTGCCCTTGAAAGAAAATCTGGAACTACATTTAAGGCTCCCTTAACATAACTTAAATCAAAGTCAAATTGACTGAGGCGCACGCTCCAACGC